AAAATGCCCAGGGTGATGATATTTAGTCAGTAGCATACTAGGATCAAGGGCTACCAAGTTTGTTTAAATGTATGACCTTGAATCATATTCAAGGTCACAAGGAGCAAATATGTTCAAAATATTTAAACAACTTGTTTTGAATAACCAAAATGCTCAGGATGTTGATATTTAGTCAGTAGCCTGCTGGGATCAATGACTACTATGTTTGTTAGAGTGAATAACTTTGACTTATATTCAAGGTCACAGGGGTCAAATTTGTTTAAAATCTTTGAACGACCTCTTCTGAATAACCATGGGTCCCAGGATGTTGATACTTTGCAAGTTGCATCCTGAGATGAAAGGCTATAAAATTTGTTCAACATAATGACTTTGTTCGACTTTCAATCACAGGGGTTAAATGTTTTAAAAAAAATTAACAGAATCTTTTGAATGAATTTTAATCATAAATACTGATATTTTTCCTGTAGCTTTATTTCAGATCACTTTTAAGGTTACAAGTGTGAGATTTATACCAGGTGAGCGATGCAGGCCCATTGGGCCTCTTGTTTCATGTAGCCTTTCTGATTACAAGTATATGCATCTGTTTTGAATAAAATTATCTTCTAACAGCATCTATAACATCGTCATAAATGAGTGATCTATTTTACGTTTAAACCTATTGATATCGTACTTTCTGCGGTTTGAAAATTTTCCCTGCGGCACCCTCTCGGTGCATGCATGCTCTTATTGAACCTGTTCGTTCTTATTCAAATCCAAATGTGAACAGAAATATCTGATTAGAGGTATATATTATGATATTTATAATTCTTACTTGCGATGTATTGTGTAAATTCAAGAATGTGTGTTATGTGTGAACTCGGACCCGTAACTGGCACTGTGTTGTCGGTCGACATCGTAGTGCTGTACAGGTTTACTTCTCACTGAAAGCCCCGGATATTGCGCTATTTCGGTCGTAGCTATTTTTATCACCGGCTTTCCCAAAAGATGAAACTGACCACACAGGTGATTTGCTTCAGGCCATGTCATTATCAACCACATAAACTTTCGTTAGGAGATGTATATTTTCAGCATCGACTTGATTTTCAGGTAATCAAAAAATCTTACTTCACTAAATTGTCCCTTTAATATCTGGAAAGTTGTAACTAATTCAATGGCTGTGCCTAATCTTCACTGCATGTGGATGACCACTACAATCTACACTACATGTGGATGAGCGATACAATCTTCACTACATGCGGATGACCGCTACAATCTTCACTACATGTGGTGACCACTACAATCTTTACTACATGTGGATGACCGCTACAATCTTCACTACATGTGGATGACCGCTACAATCTTCACTACATGTGGTGACCACTACAATCTTTACTACATGTGGATGACCGCTACAATCTACACTACATGTGGATGACCACTACAATCTTCACTACATGTGGATGACCACTACAATCTTCACTACATGTGGTTGACCACTACAATCTTCACTACATGTGGATGACCACTACAATCTACACTGCATGTGGATGACCACTACAATCTACACTACACTGCATGTGGATGACCACTACAATATTTACTGCATGTGGATGACCACTACAATCTACACTACATGTGGATGACCACTACAATCTTTACTACATCTGGATGACCGCTACAATCTTCACTTCATGTGGATGACCGCTACAATCTTTACTACATCTGGATGACCGCTACAATCTTCACTCCATGTGGATGACCACTACAATCTTCACTACATGTGGATGAATCTTTACTACATGTGGATGACCGCTACACTCTTCACTACATGTGGATGACCACTGCTACAATCTTCACTACATGTGGTGACCACTACAATCTTTACTACATGTGGTGACCACTACAATCTACACTACATGCGGATGACAGCTACAATCTTCACTACATGTGGTGACCACTACAATCTACACTACATGCGGATGACAGCTACAATCTTCACTACATGTGGTGACCACTACAATCTACACTACATGCGGATGACAGCTACAATCTTCACTACATGTGGTTGACTACTACAATCTTCACTACATGTGGTTGACTACTACAATCTTCACTACATGTGGTTGACCACTACAATCTTCACTACATGAGGATGACCGCTACAATCTTTACTACATGAGGATGACCACTACAATCTACACTACATGCGGATGACCGCTACAATCTTCACTTCATGTGGATGACCGCTACAATCTTTGCTACATGTGGATGACCGCTACAAGATTCACTACATGTGGATGACCACTGCTACAATCTTCACTACATGTGGTTGACCCCTACAATCTTCACTACATGTGGATGACCACTGCTACAATCTTCACTACATGTGGATGAATCTTTACTACATGTGGATGACTGCTACAATCTTTACTACATGTGGATGACTGCTACAATCTTCACTACATGTGGTGACCACTACAATCTTTACTACATCTGGATGACCGCTACAATCTTCACTCCATGTGGATGACCACTACAATCTTCACTTCATGTGGATGACCGCTACAATCTGCACTACAGGTGGATGACCGCTACAATCTTCACTCCATGTGGATGACCACTACAATCTTCACTTCATGTGGATGACCGCTACAATCTTTGCTACATGTGGATGACCGCTACAAGATTCACTACATGTGGATGACCACTGCAATCTTCACTACATGTGGATGAATCTTTACTACATGTGGATGACCTCTACAATCTTTACTACATGTGGATGACCTCTACAATCTTTACTACATGTGGATAACCGCTACAATCTTTACTACATGAGGATGACCACTACAATCTACACTACATGCGGATGACAGCTACAATCTTCACTACATGTGGATGACCACTACAATCTTCCTCAAAACTAACCATGAATGGAAAACGTTTGGATGCTTCAACAAGTGGTCAAAATTGTCAATTAGGTCAGAGATTTGGTTGTTGACTACCAGATCTAACATACTACGGTGTTCTGATGCAGTTGTCAATCAAGATAATAACAGAGACACAGAAGACAGAAATATCTTCTTCAAATTTATTTTTGACTTGAGAATCACATGTAATAATTTGCACACAGGCAACTTACATGTGTACAATATAAGTAACTAAACTGGTTTTGGCACAGATATGAATACCTATCCCAATGATGAATAAGCACTTCATATCAAATATATCAACCTTTCTCATGTGTGATAACAAATAAATACAGTTAATACTGGATGATATTGCTTTGTGGGAAAATTTCTGTAGAGGATGTGCAAAATACTGCTATTTAAATTTGGATAAATATATATAATTTCTTTATATAATAATTGCAATGTATGGAAACATGACAGCAAAAAATATCTTACTTGTTAATGTATAACACTGGAAATCAGTTTTATTTTTAGTTCCCTAGGACATGTTATGCATCCTGTGCATATTATCTGTGAAGTTATGTTTTCTTACGTTAGTCTACTTAGCAGTAATCTTGTTTCTTTACACTGGATGGACAGCAGTAATCTTGTTTCTTTACACTGGATGGACAGCAGTAATCTTGTTTCTTTACACTGGAGGGACAGCAGTAATTTTGTATCGAGATGTGAGATAATATAACTACAGACAAGACGGCAGTATACACCCAGAGAATGGTGAAAGGCAATCCATAATAATTTACTTATCTATGAACAAGACAGTTGTAACAACAAAGGAAAGGTTATCCCTAATAATGTATGTACAAATAAAACAACAGTGCTAAAACATTGCTCAGCAGTAACGGTATTACTCAGCAGTGAGATCTGGACGTACTCTACAAAGTGTTCAGCAGTAAGGATACAGACGGATTATAACATACTATAACTCAGCAGTGAGAATACAGACGGATTACTCAGCAGTGGTCACCAATGGTAAAGAAATCCACACTCACCCAAGTACCTAGCAGTACGAGTAAGGACTAAGGACGGATTCACTCTCAAAGTATCCAGCAGTGAGAGTAAACAGATTCACACAAAGTATCTTATAATAAAAATCCATATTTACAACTATTTTTATATATATATATTATAAAAACTCTTTAAGATAAAACACAACAATATCACAGTCTGTTGAGGGAATAATTGTACAGATCACAGTCTGTTGAGGGAATAATTGTACAAATCACAGTCTGTACAGTAAAATCCTGTACAACTTGTAATGATTTCTCAGCAGTCCCACTTTATATATGTCACATTTGCACCAGTTCCTGTTGCCAGTAAGATTGGTCCCGTGTACTGTAAATAAATGGAATTCTGGCAAAACTACATCAGCAGTATATCTTAGATGCCTTAGTTTTGTTTAGAGTACCATTGGTGAATACATAATACTGTTATAAGTTAAATATGTTTGTGATGATTTTAAACACTTGTTATTGATCACAGGAGTTTCTGTGATTGTTTTTGATGGTATTCCTGTGGTAGCTGTTTGTTCAGACCCCGCTGACGAGGAAGACTCGAGCCTGATACCAGGCACTAGGAGGGTCGAGTGTGGGAAGGGGTAGACACGTGACCAGGTTGGGGTCTCCCTGCTGACTCGACTCTTGGGTACAGAATAAAGGACACTGATACAGGTGGTACTTATCAGCGAGACGGGACCCAGTGTCGGAAGGTTTGAGCCAGAGGACTGGCATCTCCTGCCATGGCTGACAGTCAGTGTTGTTAGACATGAGCGTGCCCCGTGATGTGTCCCACAGAGCGTTATACAATGTTAAACCAGTCAGGAATATGCCATCTCGTGGGGACGTTGATGGATTCATTCCAGCAGGCATCACCTGGAAATAAATAGCGTTGTATCAGTATTCAGCAACTATATGATATCACATTGCAATGCAAAAACAATGACATGTTACATAATTTCTCAATTATCAAGACAAAACAGCCTTACTGCAGGCAAACCTGACTCCAGGTTACCGAGTACAATGTTGTGACAAAAATAATGTTCGTCTTCCAGTGAAAATACCTTGAACCCATCATAGACAAACTGTAATATTCCAGTCTCCTCTAGCCCCAAAACAATTGTCTTAAGATCCCCTTTTTGATATATTTTTGTTAAAATATAATCCCACTATCCCTTTTCCTCACCTTGCCTCTACTTATTTCTTTTAGAAGTGCTTACTGTGTATAATATTGAAGATGTTCGTATATTGATTTGACCTTTGGGATACGAGATTGGAGAATTATTTGACCTCCTGCCATAATCTTGACATTCGGGTTATTGGACTTTGAATAATATTTGACCCCTCACCATAGCCTTGACCTTTGGGGTATGAGCTTGGATCATTTGACCCCTCACCATGACCTTGACCTTTGGGTATGAGCTTAGATCGTTTGACCTCTCACCACAATCTTGTCTGTTAGGGTATGGGCCTTGGTGAATTGTTGAACCCTTTGCCATAACCTCAACATTTAATCATTTGACCCCATGACCTTGACCTTCAGGGCTTGGGAGTTTAACGTAATTGTGGTCTAGTCACAACACAACATCCATGAAATTCTAACAAAATCAGGAGGAGATCAGCTAGGCAGATTGGATGTACATACAAACTTGGTGACTCTATATCCCCCCTAACTTAGTAGGGGGTAGGGGGTAAACTTATAGAGGGGTAAGTGTTATCCCCCTAACTTAGTAGGGGGTAGGGGGTATACTTACAGAGGAGTAAGTGTTACCCCCTAACTTTGTAGGGGGTAGGGGTTATACTTACAGAGGAGTAAGTGTTCCCCCCCCAACTTTGTAGGGGGTATACTTACAGAGGAGTATGCGTTATCCCCCTAACTTTGTAGGGGGTAGGGGTTATACTTACAGAGAAGTAAGTGTTACCCCCTAACATTGTAGGGGGTATACTTACAGAGGAGTATGTGTTATCCCCCTAACTTTGTAGGGGGTAGGGGTTATACTTACAGAGGAGTAAGTGTTACCCCCCCAACTTTGTAGGGGGTATACTTACAGAGGAGTAAGTGTTACCCCCTAACTTTGTAGGGGGTAGGGGTATACTTACAGAGGAGTAAGTGTTCCCCCCTAACTTTGTAGGGGGAAGGGGGTATACTTACATAGGAGTAAGTGTTACCCCCTAACATTGTAGGGGGGATACTTACAGAGGAGTAAGTGTTATCCCCCTAACTTTGTAGGGGGTAGGGGCTATACTTACAGAGGAGTAAGTGTTACCCCCCCAACTTTGTAGGGGGGTATACTTACAGAGGAGTAAGTGTTATCCCCCTAACTTTGTAGGGGTAGGGGGTATACTTACAGAGGAGTAAGTGTTTATGAGGTGTGTAGATATACACTAGATGTAGACAGACAATACATCAGGTATACGATACTATCAGCAGATCCTGTTTCTGTATGCAGCCTCTGTCCTTGTCTAGCTGAATACACGTTGATGGTACTTATCTGATTGTTAGGATTACACACCAAATTCCACTGTCATAACTTTCTCCTACCAGGAAACCATGTATACATCACAAGGATGTTAGTACCCAGTACATGTGTACTGACAGTCTACACTCTGCTGCATTGTATGTGTGTAGTATTATACGTGCAGAATGTCTATATACCAGTGCCGATGACTTATACTTTCCCCGACACCAGTAAATCTATAGTGTTTATAAATCTTACTTAATTTCCTTCGATCCTAGAGATTTGAACAGAGATATTTCAATCATAACATGAATTGATCAATCTGGACTGATTATTTATCAGGGTCTATAAAATCAGACGTAGATCTGTAACTCCTACGACTATCAGTATTATTACAGTGATTTCATATCAAAGCCAGATAATGAAGTTCTTTTAACATGGTTAAGACATTTTGCAGCCTGACGTTAATTTTCTATGCGAGTCAATTTTTCAAACCAGACATAAATTAATTTCCTATCAAAGCAAGAACAAAAGACCTTTAAAGAATCTTTATCTAATTCATATTTACAGACCTAGTTTATTTCCTATTGAAGTCAGACAATCCAAATCATACATACTGCACCATTAATTATTATTCTCTCTAAATGTATTTCTTCTTTCGTTGAACCCCCTTCTTACAGACTTCTTAGAGGAATATGTAAAGTGTATTTCACAGATGTTGTTGAGCTTATGTTGATGGTTATCCCTAGCTAATCTGTAGCGGGGTCACGAGTATTCTACACAGCTTACTAATTTCCTTTTTTCATAACACTAAGTTATGATTGAATGATCTGCTCTGAAAGCCAACAACATCAAAGAGAAGGACTGCTGTGTAGTGATAAACAGGACAGCCGAGGGCATCTGGTGTCCTCATCACAAGGCAAACACCAGATACTCCTCCAAATGTAAGGGGAAGTAACTACATGTGTTTCTCTCACAAAAGTAAAAGGGAGATAACTATATCAGTATATCTTATCTTTCTTTTTTTCATTCAAAGTTACAAAGTGCAATTATGATTTTTTCTTTCCTGCAAAAACTAGGGGATGTTACTGCAGGTGTTTCACAAATTCGAAAGTCTAGAGATAATTAACTAGGTGTTTCTCTCATCCATAAGTCAGAGATTAGTAACCAGGTATTTCTCTAATCCGAAAGTCAGAGATTAGTAACCAGGTATTTCTCTAATCCGAAAGTCAGATTAGTTACCAGGTGTTTCTCTCATTCGAAAGTCAGAGATTAGTAACCAGGTATTTCTCTAATCCGAAAGTCAGAGATTAGTAACCAGGTATTTCTCTAATCCGAAAGTCAGAGATTAGTAACTAGGTGTTTCTCTAATCCGAAAGTCAGAGATTAGTAACCAGATATTTCTCTAATCCGAAAGTCAGAGATTAGTAACCAGGTGTGTCTCTAATCCGAAAGTCAGAGATTAGTAACTAGGTGTGTTTCTAATCCAAAAGTCAGAGATTTGTAACTAGGTGTTTCTCCCAAACCGAAAGTCAGAGATTAGTAACTAGGGGTTTCTCTTGTCCGAAAGTCAGAGATTAGTAACCAGGTGTGTCTCTAATCCGAAAGTCAGAGATTAGTAACCAGGTGTTTCTCTAATCTGAAAGTCGGAGATTAGTAATCAGGTGTTTCTCTTGTCCGAAAGTCAGGGATTAGTAACAAGGTGTTTCTCTAAACCGAAAGTCAGAGATTAGTATCTGGGCCCGTATTCATGAAACCGTTCTCATGCTCAATCATGGATTCTGTGCTCAAGTCTAATTTCTTTTTCGGTTTATAAAATAATAATGAAGGATTATTTTGACAATGATTTCGAAAATATTTGAAGAGACTTAAAGTCAAATACTGTTTACAATGTTTACATTTGACTTTTTGATCATTTTACATGAATTAAGCGAGTTCCAAGAAAGTTGGTTTGAGCACAAAATCCATGCTTGGGCATGAGAACGGTTTCATGAATATGGGCCCAGGTGTCTCTAGCATACAACTGAAAGTCATGGGAGGTAACTACTCTTGTTTCTCACATCACATATAACATATTCATATTGAAAAAAATATATAACAAAGGTGAAAATTTATAATAATTTTCACTACACAAAAACCCTACAGATAAGACAAGGAGAGGTAATCCCGATTACAATATACTGTGTATCACCTTTAATTCGTGTGGGCATTTTAACATTAATGTCTTGAGGTTTCCATCCTTAACTCCTAATTGCGTACCAGTGAATATGTTTCGATAAACCTGCTGCAACATTGACACCAAAACAACATAGCTTGTACAGATGTACTGACCTGAAATCAACATAGCTTAATGTACAGATATACTGACCTGAACATCAAACTCTATGGAGTTAACATCCTTGAAGTTTTTGCGAGCATGTGTCTGTTTGACAGCTTCAAGGAAGCGGTCAGGACGCATGAATGCTGACAGGTTGTAGGTGGGGATATGAGGTGATTGTCTGAGGTAAGATAGAAGTGTCTCAATCTTTGTGGGCAGGCAGCTAATCCACTCTGTCAGACTGGATGCTGACGGGAACGTCTGAGCCAACCAGGTGTCTGGCACAAGGTCACTACTTAGGGCCGATATGACATCCTGGAAGGGCTTGCCGAGGAGGATCTCACCACGGGCGCGGCGCTGGAGAAGGGCAAGGTCGGCCTGGATAGTGGTTAGAAGGCCACGGTAACACTCCACCTCCCCGTGAAGGAATGTGTCCAATGGTAGCACCTGGTTTCTGTTGGTGTCAGGTAGAGTTGGGCACGCCTGGAGGCCAGCTACAATGCGAGGGAACACTGCCTCAGCATACCAACCCATAGGGGGTGTACTGGTTGTCACCTTCTGGAACAGCTCCGGAGCTCCCGTCACCTGGATCAAGTCCTTCACCAACACCCTTTAACGCAGGAGAGGCTCGGGTATAGTATACATAGGTTACAGCAATACACAATATGCATTTTCTATAAATAAAACATTATCAATGTTATGACTATTTACAGATTATTTATAAATATTTTATACCTATATAGTAAAAAGGTGAATTCAACACCATGCAAAATATACACATTAAATTAATAGTTCAAATAAGTAACTGAGGGCAGATTCAATGCAAGGCAAATTGATTTTAACCCCAGAGGGTAATCATTTAAGATATTAGTCTGTAGTATGCAGCAGTTCACTTTCAGTACACAGGTGATATAACCAGGTACTAATGCTCCGGTAATGCTCAGGTAATATACAGGTAATAATTCACAGAAATACAGTGATACAGTCACAAACATTTACAATTAACACATAATCTACCCCAAGATAAAGTAAAAAAGGTTGTGTAAAAACATAGACATTAGAAAAGAAGGTCCTTTTCAATGTAACACAGTGTCTAAATACCTGCTGGTAACAGAGGTAACATTGGTATCAGCCGACTCTGGTAACCCATAACTTTTAGCGGAGAGTTCCTCCAGGGAGTCGACTGCTCGCCGCAGCTGGAAGTTGTCTTTGGACTTGAGTAACTTATCCAGCAGGTTCACAATGTTGGACCGCTCGCGGGGAGGCTGCAGTAAGTAACGGGGAAACTATATCACTACAATGATTATTTACTAATGTATACTGTCAAATAAACAGACAAATTAACACTTTTAATAGAAATTGGTTTATTTATTTGTATCAGAGGCATGTAGTATTCCCTCAGAAATATAATATCATTATACAGTAACTCTCAAGCAAAAATAAACACAGCATTATTACTTCACACATTACTGTGCAGAGAGAGCATGGTAGTTTCCCTTCATCAACATTTAAAAAACCTTATGTCTTCGGCCAGGAGGAGTGTATACTGACCGTTTTATCTGGGTTGGTTGCATATTCGGCCAGAGAACTGACCAAAGACCTGACCACCTCGGCATCAGTCTGGTCCGTGCAGTGGTCAAAGTAGACTTTAGAAACAAGCTCCTTCACCCCTTCTGGACTGTGGCTGCCTTTCATCACTTTCTTGAACATGTCCACTGCCAGAGCAAGGTCAGTCAGTGTCCAAAAGTTCTCGCCACGGAACGCATTTCGGCCGTAAAAACTCTGTTGTAGCAGTAGGGAATGTAGCAGGGCGAGAGGCATGATGTAGCTAGACTTCTTTTCCTGTTAACAGACATATACTTAATTATATTTGAACTCAGCCTCTGTGTTGAGCGAGGTATAATGTAGAGCCCTACGATTCTCCTCCAGTAACATATACTGAATATATACTGAAGCTCAGCTGCAGTGTCATGTAGAATGTAACTGAAAGAAAACCTCCTGTTATCTACAAACAACTGCAATGTGGAGTGAAATATAAGTACATTTATTCTCTCCAGGTACTGGTCTGCGTTTTTTCTCCAGGTACTCCGGATTTCCTCAACCACTTATAACTGGCTCGTCCTTAAATGACCATAACTATAAATAGGAATTTAAGCATAAACAAACCAAATCCACTGAGTCCAGAATTATTGTGAGTTACCTGTTGAGTGTCAGTGAGGAAGTCTGTCATAAGGAAAGCTGTGGAGCGGTACGACTTTTGGAGGGTGGCCTTGAAGTTCCCAGTCTGCTCACAAGTGACCTTGAACCCATGCTGAACCAGGACTCCTGTAAAGGAAATACGGTATTGTACATCTGTTTCTGTATATAGTTCCTAACAGTGCACAGGGAAAGTAATTGGTAAGTAGATTTATTCACAATTTTAAGACAGCGTCACTTATTTGATTCCAGGTGTTAACATTCCTACAAATTGAACTTCAACATTAATGAATATCAGCCAGATTTCTGACGGTGTATGATTATATAAATACATTTATTTATAAGACACTTTCATTTGAATATACAGGTTTAGCTTACTTACAAGCAAATCATTTTTGTTATCATCACAATCAAGTGTTCAAACTTTAGTTAGCTGGTTTGAGATGCAAATAAGTAGTCAACAGTGATAAAAGTAACATAAGGATTGAACACCATTTTTTCAATTCAATACTGACATGAACTTTGAAAAAATGCTGTTAAATCCTTACATTCACATTCTAAATTTTAAGTTATTGTTGAACTAAGCAAAGTTATTCCCTTATATTTTCGATATTTAATTACCTGTGTGGTAAGTGCAAACTGGGACAGGCTAACATCACCAAAATGTTTGCTTCTAACAATTGTCTCATGTTAATTGAGGTTGAAGGAAAAATTTCAAAATGAGGCTGATCCAATGGCGTTCATAGCCCCTTTAATGCAATTTCTAAAGGTTATGCTTATAGAGGAACTTGCAGTGGAAATATAAATATATGTTTATACAAATCAGTTTTCTGTCGATTACAAGTGACCTCGTACCTGGGATTTGTCGCCCAGCATCAGCCTTGGTCGTGATCCAGAGGCGGAATGTGTCGTGAATGACCAGATCATTATCGGTGTTGATGTTTGGTTTGGCGTACACGACAAGGTTAGCAGTGTTGTCTACTACTTCTGTGTGTTGTCTCCGACGTTCGTGTTGAATCCACTTACTGTACACAATGTCCTGTAACACATTGTCATCAGTTTTTTTTTATACTACATGTCACAGTAATTATTTATAATTGTTACAGGAAATAAATCACTAACAATAAGTCCCATCCACAATACATACGGTGTAACTCATAACTTAGGCGATGATAGCCTCAAACACAACAACACTGTCATACACGATGCATAATACAAGCTGCAGTTTACTGAAAAAGTATAGGTGACTTGTCTTTTTCCTGGCACTATGACTTCATGCAGTTCGGTGAAGTGAAGCTAACAAATTATAGTATGGAAACAATCGGCTAATCAGAATGTGGACAACCTTGACTTTGAGAGAGTTACATGAAAAAGAATCTAACTCATACTAAGGGTTGTTTATGCAGATTAACTGGTTTTGTTTATCATTTAAATGTAATACAAATGTATTTCTGTGGTACAATCTGACAGACCTGCAAATGTTAATGCAGGCCATGAAAGTCTTTCCACAGGCCTGCTAGAAAACATCACCATAACACTCGGTCCAGCCCTAACTCATAAACCAACAACTCGGGTCCAATCTGTCCAACCGTTTGGAATGTGATAAGTGAGAACGGCCTAAATACTTCAACCTGATCAAGTTTAATGAGGATGCAGCTAGAAACAGGTAAGTAATAGAGCTGAAACCTTGAAACCTGTTTTAAGGTTGATCTGACTGGTAATATCTAAAACATTTGATTTTCAGTAAGGTCTACCTTGAGGAGGGCGAAGAAGGGGCGGGCAGGCTCCTCAGACAGGTGGTAGTTCTGTAGGAGAAGCCAGTAGCCATTCTGTATACACTCCTCCAGGGCATGGCGTGCTTCAGACGTCTGACCTATCACCCCAAAGTTCATGACCTTCACCTTGCCATCCATGCCGACCTCCTTGGCGAGTCGCTTGATCTCGTGGGCAGGTGTTACATAGGTGTTACCTGGAAATGTCAAGGTCATAAGTATACTCAATGATGCTCAATGACGTTCAGATGAGGCTAGAGAAAAATGACAGGTAGTGGACTGTTTCTAGGAGTTATCAATACAACGATGTGTTTGAAGCATTAAATAATAGCTGGCTGTAATAATAGACTTGACAACACATTGAAACAAGGAGGTTTCTTAGCGATTACACTATATATGATAAAATCTTTACCCTTTGTGCCCTCAGACATAGTTTGCTCGTTCTGAGAGTTGGGTAGAACGAGGATGGCCGGGGTGGTGTTGTCGATGTAGTTGTACACCTCCCGGATATTGTAGTGGTCAGGCACCTTCCTCAGACTTCCGAGCTCATACAGGGTTAAAGCTGAGGCAATCTCAGCAAGCTGTCAAGTATACCAGAGTTATATAGCAAGTCTCATCTCAAACACTTTGAATTCAAACGTTCCTTTTAGTTCAATATTGGTGAATCGGAAATGCTCAACAGCTCTTTAATTATGATATATATTTCTGATAAAACACAGCTTCAGGACATATCTGATGATGTCCCATGAAGATAAGACTTACATACTTGACTGTGTCCCAAACTAGAACATACATACCCGATGGGGACAGATGATTTTCCAGAGAATACACTTTTGGAAGACGCTGAGGTCTTGTAATGTGGAGCCAGGTACAGGGTTCATCAAGGCCACAGGGTGCTGCAACACACATAGCAATGTAGGTCAAAACAATGTGGAACACACATAGCAATGTAGGTCAAATCAATGTGGAACACACAGAGCAATGTAGGTCAAAACAATGGGGAACACACATAGCAATGTAGGTCAAAACAATGCGGAACACACAGAGCAATGTAGGTCAAATCTCTCTGTAGGTCAAATCAATGTGGAACACACACAGCAATGTAGGTCAAAACAATGTGGAACACACAGAGCAATGTAGGTCAAATCTTTCTGTAGGTCAAATCAATGTGGAACACACAGAGCAATGTAGGTCAAAACAACGTGGAACACACAGAGCAATGTAGGTCAAAACAATGTGGAGCAATGTAGGTCATAACAATGTGGAACACACAGGGCAATGTAGGTCAAAACAATGTGGAACACACAGAACAATGTAGGTCAAAACAATGTGGAACACACAGCAATGTCGGTCAAAACAATGTGAAACACACAGCAATGTAGGTCATAACAATGTGGAACACACAGGGCAATGTAGGTCAAAACAATGTGGAACACACAGTGCAATGTAGGTAAAAACAATGTGGAACACACAGCGCAATGTAGGTCAAAACAATGTGAAACACACAGCAATGTAGGTCATAACAATGTGGAATACACAGAGCAATGTAGGTCAAAACAATGTGGAAAACACAGAAATGTAGGTCAAAACAATGTGAAACACACAGCAATGTAGGTCAAAACAATGTGCAACACACAGAGCAATGTAGGTCAAAACAATGTGGGACACACAGAGCAATGTAGGTCAAAACAATGTGGAAAACACAGAAATGTAGGTCAAAACAATGTGAAACACACAGCAATGGAGGTCAAAACAATGTGGAACACACAGAGTAATGTAGGTCAAAACAATGTGGAACACACAGCAATGTCGGTCAAAACAATGTGAAACACACAGCAATGTAGGTCATAACAATGTGGGACACACAGAGCAATGTAGGTCAAAACAATGTGGCGCAATGTAGGTCAAAACAATGTGGAACACACAGAACAATGTAGGTCAAAACAATGTGGAACACACAGCGCAATGTAGGTCAAAACAATGTGAAACACACAGCAATGGAGGTCAAAACAATGTGGAACACACAGAGTAATGTAGGTCAAAACAATGTGGAACACACAGCAATGTCGGTCAAAACAATGTGAAACACACAGCAATGTAGGTCAAAAAAATGTGCAACACACAGAGCAATGTAGGTCAAAACAATGCGAAACACACAGCAATGTAGGTCAAAACAATGTGGAATACACAGAGCAATGTAGGTCAAAACAATGTGGAAAACACAGAAATGTAGGTCAAAACAATGTGAAACACACAGCAATGTAGGTCATAACAATGTGGAATACACAGAGCAATGTAGGTCAAAACAATGTGGAAAACACAGCAATGAAGGTCAAAACAATGTGAAACACACAGCAATGTAGGTCATAACAATTTGGAACACACAGAGCAATGTAGGTCAAAACAATATGGAACACACATAGCAATGTAGGTCAAAACAATGGGGAACACACAGAGCAATGTAAGTCAAAACAATGTGGAACACACATAGCAATGTACGTCAAAACAATGTGGAACACACATAGCAATGTACGTAAAAACAATGCGGAACACACAGAGCAATGTAGGTCAAAACAATGTGGGACACACAGAGCAATGTAGGTCAAAACAATGTGGAAAACACAGAAATGTAGGTCAAAACAATGTGAAACACACAGCAATGGAGGTCAAAACAATGTGGAACACACAGAGTAATGTAGGTCAAAACAATGTGGAACACACAGCAATGTCGGTCAAAACAATGTGAAACACACAGCAATGTAGGTCATAACAATGTGGAATACACAGAGCAATGTAGGTCAAAACAATGTGGAAAACACAGCAATGAAGGTCAAAACAATGTGAAACACACAGCAATGTAGGTCAAAACAACGTGGAACACACAGAGCAATGTAGGTCAAAACAACGTGGAACACACAGAGCAATGTAGGTCAAAACAATGTAGAACACACAGAGCAATGTAGGTCAAAACAATGTGGGACACACAGAGCAATGTAGGTCAAAACAATGTGGGACACACAGAGCAATGTAGGTCAAAACAATGTGGAGCAATGTAGGTCATAACAATGTGGAACACACAGGGCAATGTAGGTCAAAACAATGTGGAACACACAGCAATGTCGGTCAAAACAATGTGAAACACACAGCAATGTAGGTCAAAAAAATGTGGAACACACAGAGCAATGGAGGTCAAAACAATGTGGAACACACAGAGTAATGTAGGTCAAAACAATGTGGAACACACAGCAATGTCGGTCAAAACAATGTGAAACACACAGCAATGTAGGGCAAAACAATGTGGAACACACAGAGCAATGTAGGTCAAAACAATGCGGAACACACATAGCAATGTAAGTCAAAACAATGTGGAACACACAGAGCAATGTAGGTAAAAACAATGTGGAACACACATAGCAATGTAGGTAAAAACAATGTGGAACACACAGAGCAATGTAGGTCAAAACAATGTGGAACACACAGCAATGTAGGTCAAAACAATGTGGAACACACAGAGCCATGTAGGTCAAAACAATGTGGAACACACAGCAATGTAGGTCAAAACAATGTGAAACACACAGCAATGTAGGTCAAAACAATGTGGAACACACAGAGCAATGTAGGTAAAAACAATGTGGAACACACAGAGCCATGTAGGTCCAATCAATGTGGAACACACATAGCAATATAAGTCAAAACAAGGTGGAACACACAGAGCACTGTAGGCCAAAACGATGTGGAACACACAGAGCAACGTAGGTCAAAACAATGTGTAACACACAGCACTGTAGGTCAAAACAATGTGTAACACACAGAGCAATGTAGGTGAAAACAATGTGGAACACATATCAATGTAGGTAAAAACAATGTGAAACACACAGAGCAATGTAGGGCAAAACAATGTGGAACACACTTTGCAATATAAGTCAAAACAAGGTGGAACACACAGAGCAACGTAGGTCAAAACAATGTGTAACACACAGAGCAATGTATGTCAAAACAATGTGGAACCAACATAGCAATGTAGGTCAAAACAATGTGGAACACACAGAGCAATGTAGGATGAAACACAGCAGATTTTACATAAAATAGTAAGTTAAGGCTCAAAAGATAGACTATTTGACATATGTAAGGTTTACATGGACGAAATACAACATGAACTAGGCAATTTGCTGGGGACTAATGTTTACCTGGAAGTACTCCTGCCATTGAGAACTGGTCTGTTGGAGTGAGCGCCGGAGTCCGTGGAACGGATGATGGAGCTGTTCTATCACCAGACAGTCCACCCAGGCCTGTAGAGGAAGTGAGGTCTCGGTAAATACATCTCTGAGTATAATACATATAGTTATTCTCAATCATTATAATATATGAAGATAGAACTTTAATTTGTCACTTAATAGTTTCCCCATCTAAAGATTACTAATGTTAATAAGAGATTTATCCTATATTTGAAAACAAACAAATTTGTTCGTCGAATAATTCGGTCCAATCACTTTAACTTTGTTTCTTTCCCTCAAGTTCTGTAAGGACTTTTAAATATCAACCTGGTTGGTCATCCATTGAGGTTTATTTTCCAGAAGTGTGGACTCATCAAGTCCAGTTTTCTCGAAGCCATTGATGAAAAGACTCAGTTCCTTTGTTGAAGTTTTACGTGTCAGTCGCATGCTCTCCATAGCAACAAGGAGTTGGAAGAGGGAGAAATGTAACTCAAACATCATGAGGGAGACCTGTTTGTAGATGGCAGAGGACATGGCATTGGACAGCTCTTGGGCCCTTGCTTCAGGGGCACCTGTTGTGGGTAGAAGGTGAAAGGTCAAAAGTAGATTTGGCCATACAAAGTGAAAATAGTCTGACAAACAATAGACAAAAAAACACTTCCATATATTAAAAACTAATTAATGATCATGGATAACATGCAAACACAGATATTTTCATGTAGACATTAATGTGTCAATCTGAAATAGACATCTATAAGTTTACCTATACTGCCATTGAGATCTTACCTATACTGCCCTTGAGAGCTTAATCATACTGCCCTTGCGAGCTTACCTATACTGCCATTGACAGCATACCTATACTGACATTGAGAGCTTACCTATACTTTCCTTGAGAGCTTACCTATACTTCCCTTGAGAGCTTACCTATACTGCCCTTGAGAGCTTACCTATACTGCCCTTGTGAGCTTACCTATACTGCCCTTGAGAGCTTACCTATACTGCCCTTGAGAGCTTACCAATACTGCCTTTGCCCCGGTAGCATATCTTCAGCACACTTGTGAAGATGTCCATGAACTTGTAGAAGGGGAGATAATAATGATGGTGGAGGACGGCCATTCGTTTGATTGTATTGTACACCACAGATGAGTTCATGATCATCCCCATGTAATCGGCAAATTTCTCCTCTAGGTTCTCGCCCATGTAGCGTGTCTCTTCCAGAATGAGGCGGTTACGCTCGACCTCCTTTTGACATGCAACCAGTGACTCCAGCATTGTCTTGTCTTCTAGGATGGGCACATCCAGGTTGAGGGTCTTCTCCCGAATCAGCTCCTGGTGATCAGTGACATTTACAGTGAGAAGAATTTCACTGGCATATTGATGGAGTCTTATTTACATGTCCAACACTTAAATTGTTTTAATTGAATAAAGGCCCAGTGACAAATGAAATCTGTGTAAATGCTTATCAGCTATTTATATTTTATAAAATCTGTCATTTGTTTTCAGTTACAACAAATTATCACCTTCTAGTCTAGCAACATGAAAAAAGACATTGAGCAGAAAAAGTAATATATATTTTTTTTCAATCTTATTTAGTTAAGAATACTTTGTATATTACTTGTCCCGTAATGGACAGGTTAATAGCTAGGAAGACATACATGTTCCTGGAAAAGTCTCTGACGATGGAGGATAATGTCATTCTCATTGGAGCGTTTCTGTCCCTCAAATTCTTTGCGTTCAATCTTCATCGTCTCAATGAGCAGTAAGTTGATGATGGCCTCGTCACTCATTGCTAGGTTGATGATACACATCCTGTGTATTGGTACACTGTACAGGCCGTCACCTGCGACAAGGGGAGATAACTCATATAATAGGATCATAATTTTACATCAAGAACATTATGGGCACTTTACTCTTTCATAAAACAGGGGCATAGCACATACAAGGAGTACATAACTAGACAGCAGGGTTACTGAGTTAGACACAACTATACAACACATGATACCATGTCATATATATACAGACATTCATGACGCTATCCAGAGACATAAGTATAGGAAAAACACTTATAACAACCACCCAAGTCTAATTTCCAGTTAATTTATGGTCAAGCTTGTCTTTAACAGGTCGTTGATTTACATGAGACTAGACAAGGGAGGTAACTTTGAGGAAGAGTGGTACAGATGTACTTAGGTAAAGTCAGGAGTTGGGATAATGAGACTGTAGACAAGGGAGGTAATTTACCTTTGAGGAAGATTGGTACAGATGTACTTAGGTAGAGAGAGAAGTTGGGATACTGAGACTTGAGACAAGGGAGGTAACTTACCTTTGAGGAAGAGTGGTACAGATGTACTTAGGTAGAGACAGAAGTTGGGGTGGTAGCGGAACTCGTAGCTGCCCACTTTGATGATCTTGTGTCCCTCCTTATCTACAAAGAACTGTTTCAGCAGTAGTCCCCGGAACAGCGGGTCGAGGGGTTTCCTCTCCAGGTGTGTCACGAGTACTGTGATACCTATTGTAAACAAGACAATCGAGTACATGGAAGTATTATGTTTGGTAGATTACATTATTCTGAGAACAACAGTTTCTTCAGTAGAAAACAGAACATATCATAAACTGCAATGACGGTAACAAGATTTTAGCTCACAATCATAGTTCAAAATTAGACTTTTCAATTCAAGTTTTGCTTGTCACAGACACATGAAAGTCAATAAGCTAATAACGGTGCTCTTTACTGTTGATGATGTACATACCATGGACAATAGCGTTGATGAGTTTGCTGTCCAGACTGGGGTCGTCTGCCTCTACAATCCACAGATTATGCTCTGGGTGGTCGACATTCTGGTCGGCTCGGAGACTGGTGGTCTCCCAACTGTTGGTTACCGAGGTGACCGGCCGCAGGTCCTCGCTGTTCCAGGTCTGTCGGGAATGACGTCCACCACTCTTAGTGTAGTCGGTCGTCATGGTGGCAGCACTGGTTGATGTGTACGCAGTGCGGTCTGTTGTGTGGCCATCAGTGGTCTGGCCCTCTGAGTACATATCTGAGAATGTTAGTATGGTGCCACGACTCGGGGGAAGTGGGTCAGATGTACTCTCTTTGTCCCTGCTTGACTCTAGTGGTATACCTGTAATATATAGAAACTTGTCTATGATAACGATAACTACAATCAGCAATTTAACAGTCAAAAGATATTTTTATATAATGATGAACATTGTCTAAATGTGTGAGTTATGTAAAGTTTATTATAAGTGTTCATGTCATGTATTATGTATTTGTAGTTCTTTGTAGAAATTAAACTGATACAAAAGAATCCCAAGCGCATGGTTATTTGTAAGCCAGTGTTACAAAAGTAAAAGAAAAAAAAATATTTCAGTAGATTTCGTTACAATAAAAATAGACCATACATAAAAACAAATTAAGGTTCTTAAATATTGCTCTATCACAACCTAGGTTGTCTCTAAGTGGTTCACAAATTATTATGCGTATTATTATTATTCTGGTATACATTTGAAACAATGTTAAAACAATCTTTTATTTAAACAAACATCAATCAGTGAATTTATAGAGTTTGTACATACCGTCCACATCATCTGGTGTACTGGCCCGGAGGTCCTTTTCTGAGAAGATATTACGACTTGTCTGCAGAGTTCGGACCCACATCTCTGCCCGATTATCGGGGTCAATAAGGAGTGGCCAGCAGTGTTTACGGTTGTGACAGCTGACCCGCATGAGGAGGGCGTTCTGTATGGAGTGTAGATCTGTTGGTAGGTTGTCAAGGCGCCACTTACTCAGCTCGTCGAAGTCCGACAGGATCTCCTGGAGGATGTAGCCCGTCCTGTTGAGGAGAATACTCTGGTCATCCTCATCGTCGGAATCCTCTCCCTCGCCCTCGATGTTGAGTGTGCCGTCATACTCGATGCTGCCCCGCTTCTTCAGCTCAGACTTATAATACTTGCGGGTGTCATACACAGCTGGGGGATACCGGTAGATACGGATCTCCGGCAGACTTGGTATAGATGTGGCACTGTCACTGTGAACACTCGAGTCGCCGGCCTGGGAACTGTCACTGGGGGCATCCTTCTGTTCCAGACCCTCCAGGATACTGCTGAGTGGATACCTCTCCTGTCCCATGTGTTGGTTCAGGGTGAAATTACCCTGACGACAGCGGTCAAGCCAGTCCTGGAGTAAGTCAGCACGGAACTTGTCCTCCAGGGGTCCATGGTACAACACGGCTGCCGCGGTGACAAGTGCATCACCAGGCGCGGTCAGGACGTGGGTCTTGGCTTTCTTGAGTTCTGACTTCCAAAGGTAGTGCTGCATGGACATGTTCTCCATCAGGTTACACGCCCGCGCGATCATCTTCTCTATACTCTGTCAACAAGCAGGGTAAATGTCAGCACACAAAATATCTTACACAAGACTTTTAATCAGTCAGTCAATATATTTCCATAAGATTTTATATTTTTTTTAAATGTTTTTATTATGTCAATCACATGATAACAATACAATTTTCCTGTGTTTTTAAAATTCTTTATACATGGTGTATACTATTTCAACAAATTATAGATATATGTGCTTCCAAAAATTACCATATATTGATTAAATATTCAATAATCATCCATTGAGTGTAAGTATAACAATGAGTTTCACATTAAATTTCCCTCTAAGACCATACAACATGTCGGGATAACTTCACGATACAGAAGTGTCCGACTTGGCTACCTTTAACATCGTGGACACTAACGATGGCAGTAGATATGAGACACAGTACCAGTTACATACCTGCATGTGTTTCTCTATGGTTTTCGCCCGTTTAACAGCTGCTTTGTGGTCAACAATTTTAGTTTCCAATGAACTTTTAATGCGGTTAGCTTCCACTCTCATCTGTCCTAACTTGGCTTGAGCCTAAACACAGGAAAAAACAGTGAAAAAACATTAACTGATTACTAGTAAAAATACTACAAGCAATTACTATGCAAAGGTGCATACATTAAGTGTCCTCCCGAAACAAGCACATAAACAGCAGTGTTAACTTCTCGTGGCCATTTCCAGACTAGCTATACAACTCTGGTCTTCATTATAACATTCGTTTATTAGCAATATCATCAGGTTTAGATAAACAAATCAACATGTCAATAAGACCACTGCTCTAGGATTTCTCAGTCAGCAGTTATTTCCTACCATGAGTACAGTGATCAGAATACTGATGTGAATCATAAACAACTGTTGATTGATTATGAAGGTTTTATTGTGGTGTTTACCTGAGTAAATTTCTCCTCATGCTCCAGTAAGTTTTTCAGGCGAGGCTGCATGTTGCGGTGGATGTGTGCGTACTGGTACACAGCCTGTACCCAGCCACACACACCTGCGGCAGCACAGCTTACACGTCTGATGAGGGCGGGCTCAAACAGCGGGTGCTGGATCATGTCCCCGAGTTGCTCAAAGATGTCGTTGGGGATGTTATCCTTATCATAAAACATCATGTCCTCAACAACATTTTCCTTTATGAGGAGCAGCTTAGCATTTTCCCAGCTGTAAAACAAAACAAAGAAACGCTCAGTTTTGGATAAGGAAAAGGGCAAGGTAATGAAAAGGCAGAGTGGAACAAAAGGGGTGTGGGAGGACAGGCTGAAAAGGATGAAGGCAAAAGGGGTGTGGGAGGACAGACTGAAAAGGATGAAGGCAAAAGGGGTGTTTGAGGACAGACTGAAAAGGATAAAGGCAAAAGGGGTGTTGGAGGACAGACAGAAAAGGATGAAGGCAAAGAGGTGTGGGAGGACAGACTGAAAAGGATGAAGGCAAAAGGGGTGTGGGAGGACAGACAGAAAAGGATGAAGGCAAAAGGGGTGTAGGAGGACAGACAGAAAAGGATGAAGGCAAAAGGGGTGTGGGAGGATAGACTGAAAAGGATGAAGGCAAAAGGGGTGTAGGAGGATAGACTGAAAAGGATGAAGGCAAAAGGGGTGTAGGAAGACAGACTGAAAAGGATGAAGGCGAAAGGGATCTGAGAGGACAGATTAAAAAGGATGAAGGCAAAGGGGGTGTGGGAGAACAGACTGAGGGGTGTAGGAGGACAGATTAAAAAGGATGAAGGCAAAAAGGGTGTGGGAGGACAGATTAAAAAGGATGAAGGCAAAAGGGGTGTGGGAGGACAGATTAAAAAGGATGAAGGCAAAGGGGGTGTGGGAGGACAGACTGAAAAGGATGAAGCCAAAAGGGGTGTAGGAGGACAGATTAAAAAGGATGAAGGCAAAGGAGGTGTGAGAGGACAGGCTGAAAAGCATTAAGGCAAAAGGGGCAAGGAAAGAAAATGGTGGGATGGGGAAGAAAAGGGGAATCAGAGAGAAAGTCCGATGAGAAGAAGCATATTGACAGGAGAATAATGGAGGAAGGAATAGGACAAGGAGAAACACAGAGGGATGAACAGGACAACAAGATGAATGAAATAGCAAGGAGATATACTGAAGGAAAGGATAGACAATAGGACTGTGACAAAGGGACAAAATATTAATTTTGAGAATAGGGTAATCTACTTAAGGAAAAAGAATTAGGACAGAATGACAGATGGAGAAAAGGACAAGAAATAAGGTAGTTTCCATGGACCTCGCCTTCATTTACATACTGCATACTTACTTGATGGTAGTGTGATTATATTGGTGGGAGCCCTATACTTACTCCTGAGGGACATTGAAGAGTAGACACAGGGCCTTCATGACAAACTGGACAATCTGGGGGGGATCGCGGTATGACCTCACTTCCTCTAGGTCCTTCTTGTGTAGTACACTAAGGGCTGTTAGGGCCGCTTGGTAGTTAGGGTTCACCTGGAGCAAGTATCAGACAGGGGTTAACATTGGCAACTCAACATAGACAACAGACAGCAGTGGCAACTAGGAATGTCTCATACGTGCATGCAGTTATAGAGAAATATATAGACTGTTCTGTTAGTGCTGTCTTGGTCTGATGTTACCTACCTGTATCTGACTGCCAAAGTTAGGCTACACCAGCTAACGGTCAAATATTTAATAGTTGTAATGCGAATGAAATGATGACATACAGACAAATGTGTTCTGTAACAGACTATGTAGTTCTTACTACACCAAATTTTATATTTCAAAGACCAAAATCTATTGTTTATAGTTCAATACATTTATTAATTCTGTACATGCAGCAATATATATTTCAAAATTAAACAAATTAAAAAATGACATGAATCAACAATATAAGCAATCCTTAATATCACTGTTTTTTGTTGCTGTTTCATTATGATTATACCTAGTAGCATGTAAATATCAATTGTATTTCAAACATAGGTGTGTTTTATACAAATAAACAGTTTAAAAAATAACAGAGACATGCGACACTAAAAATCCCTAAATATTTATGTGTACAGAACAAAGACCATGGTCACTGTACTAATGTGCTGGCCACCCGGTCAAACAATATAGTATTGTCCCAACAATAAACAGGAAGGTCATTGGTGGAACATTATAGCTGATGGATATTCAAAGGATATGGCTAATTGATTCATATTTTCTTGCTGGTCATGTTTGACCTCATAAGGGTCAAACATACAGCCAATATATGAACAATTTATTTATGGAGGGTAAATATTTAAAAAAAAAAAAAGGAAAAAAAAGGAGTGACTGGGTAAAGGAGCATGTCGGTGTTGTCCATGTTGTCCGTGTTGTCCGTGTTGTCCATGTTGTCCGTGTTGTCCGTGTTGTCCGTGTTGTGTGGGAACCAAGTTAGGACGTAGACTACCAAATCATTTATGAGGGTAAATATTCGCTTAAACTAATCTTATGTATGGTCAGCTCTCACAAAAATACAGGAGAGTTCGTCCGTCACCTATGCAATATACTTTGGACTAGAACCTAGTATACATTAAAATAATTGGCTTAAGATTTTATGACTATGAAGTAAAATGTTGCTTCATCAATAAATCATATGGTTCATTTGTATATTGTAAATCCAAAAGAAGGTCAACATTTCTTTCTGCCACACAATAATATCAAATAAAGTGTTGAATGAAGATATTTGGTGAAGAGATAGACTTCTATTTTCATCTTTTTGACTTGGTGCAAAAGAAATAATTAATAAGACTACAATGATGCAAGATATTTTACAGACAATGTGTCAACAACAGTCATCTGTGTGATACGAAAGTTACAACTGACCAATGGTGAACAGCCTTATATCCAGTGGCTGAGACACCAGCCAATGGTGAACTGGCTTACATGTACACTGTACCGACCAATGGTGACCAGGTTTACATCTACTGACCAATGGTGAACATGCTTACATTCAGTGACAGTTTTACCTGTGTATGTGTTGACACCCGACAGGCTGCTGATCAAACATGTATGGTATTTTATCACATTATAACAGATTTCTCTTCATCAGTTTGTCTGATCATTTTGATTTTTTATTAATACCTTCATTTACTCAATATTGTAAGATAATTTTTGGACATGGACTAGATTTGACCTTGACTATTAATGTACCACTATTTTATCATTGACACTGTATGTGCCTCTCACTCTGTTCCAGTCACCAGTACATCAGATTTCAGGTTAGTGGTACTGAGCTTCAGAACCGTAAAAATGGAAATAAAATAAAGTGTCACTTATATAAACAAACACCAGTAAACAAAGTATTAGCCATGATAAAACGTACAGCTGTTGTCATTGTATTATTACAGTGTTATCTGACACGCCAGACAATACCTCCCGGTACAAGCTGTAAAGAGTAAGAATATAAAAAAAAAACCTGACCCAATAACATAGATAATGGAATCTCTGAATTATATAAGCTTCAAAGAGTAAGAATATAAAAAAAAATCCCGTCCCAATATCATAGATAATGGATATATCAAATATTGCTACATTAGATAAAACCTAAAGCAGTACGTAGGGTACTAGGTTAAATGTTGAACTACCAAGCTGGCCCACCACACCTTAATACTTCTACCCCCGGTATATGCCTGTTGAATGCTGAAAAGAAAAAAAACTTTCTGCAACATGTTCCACAACCATACCTTAATCCCTGACATAAATGTATAACCATGTGACACAATGAGACTGCAGTACCCAAACACCTGTAGATGGTCGTACCCAGTGATACCTCTGTAACCCTTTACCTCTACACTGACTAGTACCTTGTACTGCGTTGAGGTGAAGTATTCCACCACAGGGCCAGAGCCCCTCCTCGATCTTTTGTTGGGCTACAGAATCACACAGATGTAATCTCTCACGTCTATTACATGTTAGTACTGTCAATCCACGCCTAGACCTTACAAACTGCTGTAATTGTTTTACTAAGATCTTACAGATGTTTGTTATCTTTGTTGTAAACCTATATTTTTATTTCAAATGTTCAATCTTTCACTTCTAAGTCACACAAGAAATATTGCTTAAAATGCCAAATTATGGTGACACTTTTCCTTACCATAAAATCAAAAACTGAAAATCAAACTTTTAGTAAGAATTTTGGTCACAGCACACAAAGACACACACACACACTTCTTAATCCACCATGTGTATTACCTTGTCAAACTCTGTCTGTGCCTCTCGTCGTAGATCTTCCAGTGGTGTCTGTAGCTCTTCTATCTTATGTTCCTGTGCTTTACATTTGTCCAGGGACTGTAAAACAATACAACCAAACGTGTCGTCAAGTAAACATTTTTAGACCATAAAGTCTGAGATAGATCCAGTACAGAAAACCAATCTATAAAACGTGGTCAAGGGCGGAAGGAAGTGAAAACAATAGACAAAGGGTCTTAACAACTAAAAAGAAAAAAGTGATTTGTGAATATCAATCCAGTAGTTATTTAAGTGTCAACTACTTTCTGTTTGCATTCAAAATCAATATGAAAGACTACTCGATAGAATAAAATCTATGAAGTGCTTCATGTTAAATTTGTCACTTTTAGTTGGCGCTCATACTGACCATTAATTCCGTCTGAAAGTTGTTGAATACTTATATTAATAATTATTGAAGCCACCTATATTTTGTCTCCCTGTCACTTTGTCTCAATGTACTGCCCGCGGTGTTCCTCCACCCAGTTTTCTTTCACCCCTATATTCCGTCCCTCTATAGACCGTTGTTTTCTATCACCCCTATATTCCGTCTCTCTATAGACTGTTGTTTTCTGTCCCCTCTATATTGTGTCCCCCTATACACTGTCACTTTACCTCGATGTACTGCTCACGGTGTTCCTCCACCCAGTTTTCTATCACCCCTTTATTTTGTCGCTCTATAGACTGTTGTTTTCTATCACCCCTATATTCCGTCTCTCTATAGACTGTTGTTTTCTATCACCCCTATATTCCGTCCCTCTATAGACTGTTGTTTTCCATCACCCCTATTCCATCTCTCTATAGACTGTTGTTTTCTATCACCCCTATATTCCGTCCATCTATAGACTGTTGTTTTCCATCACCCCTATATTCCATCCCTCTATAGACTGCTGTTTTCTATCACCCCTATATTCCGTCTCTCTATAGCCTGTTGTTTTCTATCACCCCTATATTCCGTCCATCTATAGACTTTTGTTTTCCATCACCCCTATTCCATCTCTCTATAGACTGTTGATTTCTATCACCCCTATATTCCGTCCATCTATAGACTGTTGTTTTCCATCACCCCTATATTCCATCCCTCTATAGACTGCTGTTTTCTATCACCCCTATATTCCGTCTCTCTATAGACTGTTGTTTTCTATCTCCCCTATATTCCGTCTCTCTATAGACTGTTGTTTTCTATCAACACTATATTCCGTCTCTCTATAGACTGTTGTTTTCTATCAACACTATATTCCGTGTCTCTATAGACTGTTGTTTTCTGTCCCCCTATACACTGTCACTCTACCTCGATGTACTGCTCACGGTGTTCCTCCACCTGCTCCACCAGTGCCTTGATCTCCTCCATGGCTGCCTTGTGTTGGGGTGTCAGGGCCGACACCTGCTTCTTAAACTGGTTGATGCTCCCAAATGCTTCATTCACCTTCGACAAAGCCTGTTCATGCTTGCCTATGTTCTCCTGTTTAATAGGATCATAGGTCAAAGGTTAGGTTATGTAATATATCATGTGACTAAATACTGCTTTCTAACTGGATGGTATGAAGTTCTAGTTTTTCTAAAATGCTGCTTCTTGAAAAAACTGGGTTAAAGTTATGCGCAAGTATTATTGCAATAAATCCAGTAAACATTGTGTACAATATGACAGTAAAACTCCTCGGCCTCCTTAAACGTCTACACTCACCCGCTCCTTCTTTACAATGAAGGCAGATATGACCCTGAACAGATGCACAAACTCCATGAAGGTCAAAGGTGAGTAGAACCTAAGTGGCTCCCTCTGGTGACAGAACTGGCGCTCTATGATGTTTTTGGCGGAAAGGTGCATATAGGCCATGGCCTGGCTTGTCATGCTCATCTGGTCCAGCATCCGTGTCGGGTGCCATGGAATGGCAATCTGGGGACAGAGTTAAGACCATATTATATTTTTTGTTTGTAGTTTCTTGACGTTTTAAGCATAACCCTGTACCTGTGTTGTAGCATAAAGAGATAACACATACACAGATTCACAGGTTTTATCAGACTATAGGAATGTTTACATTTCCTCTGCTGTCAATTCGATTATTTTGAAAAAAGTTGCCTGATATTATTGATAATAACATGATTTATGATTTTTTTTGCGGGTTTATTGCAGATAATGTCACAGCTCTGTAATTGTAAGTTCCTAAGTTAACAAGTATCTGTACATTGTATTATATTTCAGGTACAAACAAGTCAGTGGTTCAAATTTAATGCTGGTATACTATGTTCTTACATATGTTATATGAATGTTAGTTTCTTGTTAAATCAAATTATCGTGGCCACGAAAGGTTCCCTGTGGTTATAGAGAAGTGACCTGGACCTTGCTTGTCAACACAGCTGTAACGAAACATTTACAATAAATTATAGTATGTTTACACTCTGTGTGCTGCATTACACGAGAAGTAGAGATGGAACTACTAACCTTTGACCTCTGATCTTGGAGCCAGACCTCAGCAATCCTGACATAGGCCTCATAGGTCCAGGGGTGGTACATGTCGACAGACGAGGCGTACTTAAGCAGGTTCGGGTAGATGTTCAACTTATCATGGAGGTTCCGTACATCACTGGAATAACTGTTGCCTACAAATACAAACACTCTCTGGTAAACTAACCTGTAGTGGTCTTCACTATCCTTGTTAAAATAATTTTACTTTAAAACTAATTCCAATCTAATTTTCTTAACTGGCACAAGGACAAAAATGATAAATTAAAATGAGGTTATCAATATTTCAGATACCTCCACAAGTACTCACCTCTGTAGTTCAGACAAACGATGATGTGCAGATTTTGTCTGATTTTTTTCAGATAACGTTCGAATGCCTGTTCTATCTTGTCCACCCGCTTGGTCTGGACTCCGCCAGGCATCATCTGTGACACAATGGCCTGGACCTCGTCATCGGTATACAGACCAGGGCTGGTGCCTGGCATCAAAACAACAACCAATTAAAAAAAAATAACCTTTTCATCAGTATACAGACCGGGCTGGTGCCTGGCATCAAAACAACAACCAATTCAAAAAAATTAACCTTGTCATCAGTATAAAGACCGGGCTGGTGCCTGGCATCAAAACAACAACCAATTAAAACAAAAATTAAACTTGTCATCAATATATTCACCAGGACTGGTGCCAAACAATAAATTAAAACAAAAATTAACCTTGTCATCAATATATTCACAAGGACTGGTGCCAAACAACAAAACAACAATCAACTGAAACAAAAATTAAACCTTGTCATCAACAATCAATTAAAACAAAAATGAACCTTGTCATCAGTATACAGAGAAGGGCTGGTGCCAAACAACAAAACAACAATCAATTAAAACAAAAATATAAACCTTGTCATCAATATATTCACCAGGACTGGTGTCAAACAACAAAACAGCAATCAATTAAAACAAAAATATAAACCTTGTCATCAATATATTCACCAGGACTGGTGTCAAACAATCAATTAATACAAGAGTACCATGGGGTGAAACATTATATGCCTGTCGAATGAAATATAGTGTTATATATACTTTCTTACATTGAAATAAGATCTGCATCATTCTAAGAGTGGTTAGCTGACATGCTATAATAAATTTTAAAGAAAATCTCCAAACAAAAAAATTGATTACTGAAATGAACAAAGGGCAACAACTTTTGCAAAAATGTTTTAAGGGAGACATAACTTCATATCATGGTTATAATGTATACCAAGTTACAAAGAGATCCGTTTGAAAATGTAGGAGGAGATTGCCGGACAAAAATCAAATACTGAAATAAACAAAGGGCAATAACTTTTGCAAAAATTGTTGAATCTAAATTCTTTTTAAGGAAACACAACAACATATCATGATTATTCAGCCTATTAAGTTTCAAAGAAATCTTGTCAAAAAATGTAGGAGGAGATCTCCAGACAAAAAATAAAATACTGAAATGAACAAAGGGCAATAACTTTTGGAAAAATTGTTGAATCAAAATTCTTTTAAGGGAGACACAACTTCATATCACGATTATAATGTATACCAAGTTTCAAAGAGATCAGTACAAAAAATGTAGGAGGAGATTGCCCGATAAACGGACAACCCCATACCATAATACTTCCGTCAAATTTGACAGGCGTATAAAAATTAACCTTGTCATCAGTATATAGACCAGGGCTAGTGCCTGGCATCAAAACAACAACCAATTAAAACAAAAATTAAACCTCAACATCAATGTAAAGAATAGGACTGGTGCCTTGCAACAAAACATCAATTATTTAAAAACAAAAAAAATAACCTTGTCATCAATATATTATCCTGGACTGGTGCCAAACAACAAAACAACAATAAACTATTACAAAAAATAAACCTCGTCTTCAGTATACAAACCTTGACTTGCGCCTAGCAACAAAACAACAATTAATTAATATGAGTGTGAGTCAGAATATCAGGTATACTCCTGGTGAACCAAAATACCATCAAATTCTACTCCAGGCAGTAATATGAAACAGGCTACAGATATAGGAAATTATAATATGAACAATTATTGAACAAAATAAATCTATTGACCCCTTGACCCCAACAATCCACCTACCCTCGGCCATGAGACAGCAGATGTCTGCGAGACACTCCATACCCAGGTCCTCATGTATGAGCAGCACTGTGGGTTTACCCAGAATGCCTGTGTGATGACATGCCCGTTTGATGTGTTCCCGTACGATCTGGTGGTTCCTTCTAACATCAGTCTGGGGCTTCGGCTCAAACAACTGTAAGTAAAAATCTCTGTGTTGTGACACTCTTACAGGGCATGGTCACAGCGACCTGTATATATGTTTCTTAGTGACCTTGACCCATTCATAGTCAGAATTCATAGGCTCTAACTAGAGATAGATTATTGTAATGCCAGCTAGTCTTACCTACAAATAGTCACTCGGTCATTTTTATGTCCAAAAGTAACCTTGACCTTTGGATACATTAAATATGAGTGCAACAGCAGAATGTTTACCTATTAAGAAATATATAACAGTTAATTTACATTCATAAGTTCATGAACGAAACAAGATTTGATTATTTGCAGTAAGGTCATAGAAGTGAGAGGCTGTCCTGGAAAGGTGCTTGTATTATGATGTTACTATGGTGATACCGAGGGTGATTAGGATAGATGTATACTGACACCCCAACCAATCATAGGTCAACATGTCGTATATACAGATAGGTAATTACAACCGTGAGAAGACAGCAAGATAAAACTTATAGATAAAGTTTATAGAAATTAGGCAAAATGAAGGTGATATTAACAATATAGAGAGCATGGTGATCAATTGGATGTCTAACTTTTAACTGACTGGTTTCTAAATAATCTGCTTCAATATCTGGCAAGGTCAAATATATTCAAAGTTTTGAAAAGAAATGTTATGATTCTTCAGAATTTAGGAAATGACCTTAAAGTAAAGTCATCAAGAAATTGTATTCTATGTGAAATGAGGACTGGCAAATGATGACTCATGACTGCAGGTGATGTCTAGTAGGTTGTTATGTTGGACATATAAATAATACTCATTAAAAAATGATTTCAATATATTCCTATTTTATCCATGAAAAAACTGAACTGGTATCTAGATGATTCTTCAAAAATGATTTCTTTTTGTTAAGAATTAAATGTCCAGATGAACAAGAGAGTGGTTATACGTGAGATACCTGTTAGGGTATGAAGACTCAGAGTTTTGCCTGGTTACGAGTGAGATGAAGGAACATTAACTATGACCAGCGGGAGGGAGGTATAGAGGACAAATGATATAAAGACAGCATGGTACATTTGAGGGACCAATCACCATGAGGGACACTGTATCCCCAGCCACACCCCTGCCACGCCCACTTACCCAGCAGTTACGCCCCTCACATCTCCCTCCACTCAGCTGTGACACAACAACAAACAGATCAACACCAGCTACTTGTTCCGGGCTTTCTGCCCTTTTACGTGTCAACTAAAGTAGACCCATTTCCCAAAAGGGTGAGGCATTTTTTTCAAAGATAACAAAAATATCAATCACGGAAAAAGTTGAATGCATGAGTCACCGTTACAGTTATAACTAAAATGAATTAAGGAACGTTCTAAAAATTGTTATACTTTCTCAAATTCAGTAGCATACAGTCACAGTATATATAGTAGTATAAAGCCTCTGCCTCATTCCAAAAACACAAAGTGGATACTGGTCACCTACATAGCAATTCACACCAGTGTGACTGTGTTCTTGTTCGCCCAATGTATGTCAGTGTGGTACTATCCCCTCATACCATGCTGTTAGTGATCACATCCCAGTCACACACTGAACCATTACATCAGTTCATTAATTGTGTCATTCCCTTGGGATACCTATCCTCCACTTCATCATAAGACAGTCTAGCCTCCAATACACGCTGACCTTAAGGTCATTGCATGCCTTAGTCATCACAATCATAAGACAGTCCCGCCTCCAATACACCCTGACCTTAAGGTCATTGCATGCCTTAGTCATCACAATCACCAAAAACATTGTCTGTTACCTTAATCATACCATGCACCTTGTCACAAACATCAACGGTGTGGTATTTACCTTAACCATAACACACACCCAAAAGGCCAAAAGGGCCTACATCTCTTTGCTCATTTATTACAAATTTTCTACTGTAGCCTGAATACTGTACAGTTACCAGATACTTTAACACAGTATTGTACCAACCATACCATGCACCTTGTCACAAACATCAACGGGGTGGTATTTACCTTAACCATAACACACACCCAACAGGCCAAAAGGGCCTACATCTCTTTGCTCATTTATTACCAATTTTCTACTGTAGCCTGAATACTGTACAGTTACCAGCTACTTTAACACAGTATTGTACCAACCATACCAGACATCAGACAGGAATTCATCCCAGTCAAAGTGTGAATAAAACTGTCATGATCACTGGGATTGTATGGATTGTTTACTGTAACTATCTAAAGATGTCATACTATAATGTAGCAATACAAAACAACAATGTTAAATACTGTAACAGATTGGTGCTGAAACAGCTGTTTTATGGTAGTTAATGTTGGACATTGCTATGCTTAGTCAAAATATTATTTAAGTTTCAAACAAGACAATACTTACCATATACCTTGTTTGCGTATTTGATTTTAAACCATGTGTTTATAACACTTTTTTATGTGTTCTTATCAATATTAAAACTTTTTAATGATAACTGTCTGATCATAATTAAAATTGTTATTATATTCTATGATGTAAGCCACACCAAATTAGTTTGTAATTCTTCGGGTCACTAACAAGTATCAATTAACAGAAATCTGATAACAAATGAGATATGTACTTAGTATAGATTTTTGTTTTCTTCAGTTGTAAAGAATCCATAAAGTGTAATTGAATTTACACTTTAAGAATTCTTTACAACTGAACAAAAATAAAAAAAAATATCTGCTTCAAAATTGAAATTGTTTTTTTGAAAAAGTGTGTTGTCATCACAACAAAATCTTTTCAATTGAAATGAAGGACTTAACAAATCAATATGGTATGGCTTTAACTGTATAACTAGTATTTTAACCACACGTTTACCAAATTACTTATGTTATAACCAAACCTAATACTTAACCACTCCTTAACTGTATAACTAATGTTTTAACCACTCCTTAACTGTATAACTAATGTTTTAATCATACCTTAACCATAAAACTAATGTATTAACCACTCCTTAACTGTATAACTAATGTTTTAACCACTCCTTAACTGTATAACTAATGTTTTAACCATACCTTAACCTTATAACTAATGTATTAACCACTCCTTAATTGTATAACTAATGTTTAACCACTCCTTAACCATATAACTAATGTTTTAACCACTCCTTAACTGTATAACTTATGTTTTAACCATACCTTAACCATATAACTAATGTTTTAACCACTCCTTTACTGTATAACTAATGTTTTCACCACTCCTTATTTGTGTAAATAATGTTCTCATCAAGCCTTATAATCTAACCACACCTCAATTGTTTTACTAATAATTTTACCAAACTTTAACCATTTTACTAATATTCTAACCACACTTAACATGTAATACCAATGTTCTAACTACGCCCTTGAACATATTATTTTCTAACCCCACTGTAACCATATTTCTTACCAAACTTTAAACTGTATTACTTGCTTTTTAAAATTTTCTAACCATACTTTAGCTACAATACTAACATTCTAACAGTAGTTAATGTTTTAACTGTATTCAATGTTTTGACCCTAATGCTCCTAAACTACAGATGTTAAGATTTTAACCACTGAACTATACATTATTAGTGGTAGTAACCATGGTTACAGGATTAAATTCTAAATTGTAAAGTCCTAAGCATGCACTCCTACAGTCACTTAATCACACAACCCAGCATGCGTTACACGTCTTACGACACACGTCTTACGAAATGCCTTACGACACACCTTATGACACACCTTATAACACACGACTTACCCCACGACATTTACGTCTGCAGCAGCTACCAGGAGCTTTCTGAATGATCATAAACGTCTAGAGCATGTCAAAACCTCACTGACAAAAAATAGCCCTTTCCTCTACCTACTAACTTAATGCTCAAGATTATTTCAGTCAGGTATAATCAACGTGTTTCCTTATACCAATACCATTCCTCCACATCGTCACATTGGACGACAGATCTACGTATTTCACATTTGGTTTCAAAGGTATCAAAGGAAACTTAATCTCAAGATCTAAAAGAATCCATTTTTTTTTGCTCTGGAAATCTGTAACCCCAAAAAGTCTTCACAGAAAATATTTAAATATTACCATGCATTCCCACACTATCATTTTCACAAAAACTCAATGGGTCAAATAATATAACATCTCAGATTATTGTCAGCTGAATAAGAGGGTTTCTGTCCTTGTGAAAGGGAGATTTAAGCCTAGTTAAAATGCTGTTTTCATCCGACAGGGACTGTGCCTATAGATATTTGTGTGGAATTGTGGTTAGATGGCCAGCTAATTGGTTGGTAACCTACAAAACAGAGATACTCACCTTACAGTGAGCGATATAGGAGGCTAAGCGGACCAGAGTCGCTCGCCCCGTAGAGTATGTCATCCCCAGCAGCAGAGCATGGCCTCCTGGGATTGCCTGTATAAAACATCAGACATATCACTTAGAATCAAACATAGATGGCAATGACAATACAATTCTGTTTATGACTAAATAATATGAAATATTATTTTTATCAAATAGAATATTTTATGAAACTCTCGGGTAAAGAGTGATTTATTTAACTCGCTAGACACCTAATTCTAAAGGCTCTAGATCATCCACTTCCAGCTTTTCCTTTGACATAGGACTTACCAGTACACGACTCAGTCTCGCAGCGTGTCGTAGAGCCTCACTGAAAAACACAAGTTCCAGGCGTTGTGACGTCCCTGCATTGTAGACGTTAAGACATGTGGCAAGAGCGTCTCCGAGTACGTCCTCCTGGCTATCCACATAGCCTGTAACACAACATGTGACTAGGTAATACGCAATTCTCTAATAGATACCTCAAATGTTCTGTTATTAAAGTCATCCACATACGCTCTAACTTTTGTAATGCTATAGCGCTATATTCTAGAAACGTGTTTACTGACTTACCTTTCTCCACCTGGATCCCCTGTGTCTCTGTGTGGGTAGTCAGGAAGAATTTGGAGAAGATGAAGTCTGTGAGAGAATCGTTTGGAGCTCGGATCTGTGGTACAAATATAGATTATTATACAATGCATTATATCAGTACAATGTCACTTTAATGGAGTTGACATACTGACAGACACACATTTGAGAAATGGTAAAGTGTAACAATCTTGAAAAAATTCAGTTTATGAATAGTAGATAGAATAGAGAACAAGCCTGACAGATAAATAAGTTGACCTTTGAACTAAGAATATCTAGAGGCTCTCCAGCAAGAGTTATCACATCTTTCTTAACCTCTGACCTGTGCTTGGGAATTTTCACAAATTTTTGACAGACACAACAGCAGAATACCTACCTCTTCCATAGTCATCAGTGGACCAAAGTAAGCCTCGTGTTCCCAGTCTGCCAGCAGGCCTGCCTTAAACGTCACCGTCTTCATCTTTAGACTGCCATGGCCGGATCGCCCCTGAGTTTTCAGACTGGGCGTGGTGGACACCTTCCCTCCGACAGTCCCACCCTGGCTCCCTACATACACAAACATTTCAATGTATGTTACATCTCTTTAAAGTGATATCGGAATGATTTATACAAAGGATTTTGCTATATTCAGAGAAATTGCGATAAAGTTTCAGTTTTCACTTCTTCTAACAAACAAAATAAAAAGATATGTGTCGGTATGACTCCTACACCACGTAACCTTAACTGAGACTTATAAACTAGAGAGAATCATTTGAAGCTTCTAGCCACTGTTTGACATTAAAAATATAAAATAGGTTGATCTTGTGATATTGTTTACGTACTGATGTTATTACTTTAACATCTATTAGTATTATAATCCAAAATGTATGTTGGATGTTTAAATAGGCTGATCTCAACTGTGTTTTTATGATGGACAATTTAAAAACAAATGGAAATGCAAAATCAGATCTATAATAGTTGCAAACAGAACGGTTACACTCAGTGGGGGTAAATTTACAAACAATCAGGTGACACTCAGTGGGGGTAAGTTTACAAACAATCAGGTGACACTCAGTGGGGGTAAGTTTACAAACAATCAGGTGACACTCAGTGGGGGTGAATTTACAAACAATCAGGTTACACTCAGTGGGGGTAAGTTTACAAACAGAACGGTTACACTCAGTGGGGATAAGTTTACAAACAATCAGGTGACACTCAGTGGGGGTAAGTTTACAAACAATCAGGTGACACTCAGTGGGGGTAAATTTACAAACAATCAGGTGACACTCAGTGGGGGTAAGTTTACGAACAATCAGGTGACACTCAGTGGGGGTAAGTTTACAAACAATCAGGTGATGTGTTCAATCCAGAGAATGGTGCAGTAATCTTGCCCAAAGCAGTGACCTAGCTTTAGACTATAGACTTTGACAATGTTTATATATCTCAAAATTCATTAAGATCATTGACATATATGAACTTTTATTAATTGATCACCAGAACAAGAAATTGGGCTTGAACTTAGAATCTCAGTTTGAGGATGAAAACTGTTTTGTAAATTCAGGCCCTGATCCTGATGAGAATAATTATTACCTACCTCTGCTTGAACGACCTGATTCTGATGAGGCCTTGTGGACAAGTCGAGGTGTTTCCCGACCTACACTGGTGTCCGTGCTACGTGTGCTGGAGTCTGAAGTGAAAGGTTCACACGTGTACGGGGACAGAACACAAAGTGAATTGGATTACACATATGTGAGAGTGCACACATGTAGTGGTACATATATGAGAACACACAAGTTAGAGAACACATGTGTACAAGAGTCTTCGTGCAAGGTCTTGTACTTAACCCTTTCATCCCCATGTAACTTAAGTAGACTCTACCATGCATTAATCTGGATGTGTCCATTATGGTCTACAGTGGTGAAAGGGCTAACTTAGTTCAACTTAGCTTATTCTGAACACAGATAAATCTGTCTCTATATTCAAATAATTTTTCATATTTGAATATAACAGAGTGTTTTGATTCGACATCACTCCAATGTTGTTTTGAATCTTCTTTTGCTAATTCCTTCAAACACTTTCAAAATGTTTCTCTGCAAGAGTGTTAAAGTTTCTTGGGAATTAGAGAATATTCAAAACTCCAAATTACCCAATGACTCACCTGTCATGCCTGACGACTCACCTGTCATGCCTGACGACTCCCGACTGCTACGACGAGTGGAGGCCCCCGGAGCAAGCTGCTTAGGGTCAACATCTGTGGAAAATATACCACAAATAAACAACAGCAACATAAAAGGTACAAAATACGTCATTTACTGTCAAATAATTTGTATTGAAGGTCACCAACTTACATATGGGTGTATCAAACAACCCTACCTCTGGGTGTATCAAACAACCCTACATCTGGGAGTATCATAGACAACACTACCTCTGGGTGTATTGTAGACAACCCTACCTCTGGGTGTATTGTAAACAACCCTACCTCTGGGTGTATTGTAGACAACCCTACCTCTGGGAGTATCATAGACAACCCTGCCTCTGGGTGTATTGTAGACAACCCTACCTCTGGGTGTATTGTAAACACCCCTCCCTCTGGGTGTATTGTAGACAACCCTACCTCGGGGTGTATTGTAAACAACCCTGCCTCTGGGTGTATTGTAGACAACCCTCCCTCTGGGAGTATCATAGACAACCCTGTCTCTGGGTGTATTGTAGACAACCCTCCCTCTGGGAGTATCATAAACACCCCTGCCTCTGGGTGTATTGTAGACAGCCCTACCTCTGGGTGTATTGTAAACACCCCTACCTCTGGGTGTATTGTAAACACCCCTCCCTCTGGGTGTATTGTAAACAACCCTACCTCTGGGTGTATCATAGACAACCCTACCTCTGAGTGTATCATAGACAACCCTACCTCTGGGTGTATTGTAAACAACCCTACCTCTGGGTGTGTTGTAGACAACCCTGCCTCTGGGTGTATCAAACAACCCTACCTCTGGGTGTATTGTATACAACCCTACCTCTGGGTGTATCAAACAACCCTACCTCTGGGTGTATTAAACAACCCTACCTCTCTGAGTATCATAGACAACACTACCTCTGGGTGTATTGTATACAACCCTACCTCTGGGTGTATTGTAAACAACCCTACCTCTGGGTGTATCATAGACAACTCTACCTCTGAGTGTATCATAGACAACCCTACCTCTGGGTGTATCATAGACAACCCTACGTCTGGGTGTATTGTAGAAAACCCTACCTCTGGGTGTATCGTAGAAAACCCTACCTCTGGGTGTATCGTAGGTATCCGTCTCGGTCTCTGTGGTTTCTGTGTCACTACTTTCTTCTGTTTCCTCGGAACATTCTGTCTCGTAGTCATCTGACTCACTTTCCCCACGTGGTTCTGTACGAGCTGATGCCATTGTTTCCCCGAAATCTGCTGGTAAATAATAATAGAAGCCCTTGTTACAAGAACAAACCAATTTAAGCACAGCTAGCATTGAAAAGTAATTACGATAAAACGATATTGTACATTTTGCATTTACTACCCAGCCGTTCTATCAAATGAGAAGGGGTTACATTTACTGTATAGCTGTTATATTTACTGTACAAGTGTTATATCTACTGTACAAGTGTTATATTGACTGTACAAGTGCTATATCTACTGTACAAGTGTTATATTAACTGTGTAAGTGTTATATTTACTGTACAAGTGTTATTTCTACTGTACAAGTGTTATATTGACTGTACAGGTGTTATATTTACTGTACAAGTATTATATCTACTGTACAAGTGTTATATTTACTGTACAAGTGTTATATCTACTGTACAAATGTTATATTGACTGTCCAAGTCTTATATTTACTGTACAAGTGTTATATCTACTGTACAAGTGTTATTTTTACTTTATAGTGGTTATATTTACTGTTCACTGTTTTGTTTTGTATTTAATGTACAGTATTTTTTTGTGATATTCTTGGTTTATGTTTACATATATATAGTAAGCAAAGACATGTGTTGAAGCTATAAAAGTTCAGATGTAAGAGAGCTAACAATATTATTATGTAAACTATGAAGTATTAAGAGGACCGTTCACAGACCTGTTTTACAGGTGACTGGTGTCGTGTCGGCTAGGTCATCACTCTGTGTCTGGGACTGGGACACGGAGAAGGTCAGTGTCTGGGACTGAGACTTGACATCCTCTTCCTCCTCCTCATCCTCCTTCACCTCCTCCAGCTTAGGCAGGTTCTCCAGTCTCACCTCCCTCGTCTCCTCCTCTTCCTCATCTTCCTCCACTGGTGAAGCAGGGAAGGGCGATGTTGTCTGTGGTGTTACACGTCCCTATATAACATAAGTTCACACAAGGTCTCACACGGTCACACAACCCTAAATAACATTGATAAATCAAGAAAATAACACAATTACTTTGAACAAAGATAAATTGAATAAAATCACAAATTCCTTTAAAACAACTCAACATGAAATTCATATGGTAGTAGTAAACGCAAATGTATTTCTGAAACATGATTTACCGTTTGAGAGACAGTTTCTTCAGAAATGGCTGCCATTTCAGTCTTGGGATCATCCCGGGCCATACAGAAGTATTTCATTACAGTGTCCTCCAAAATCCGTGAAAACCAATTAGAATCTGAAACAAAAAGACACTGTCATCAACATCCGCTGTAGAGAAGTCAGAATAAGTTGTTCAAGTTACGATGATGCGTACAATAGTGAATGGTGCAGTGCCCTGCAATTCATAATACCAGTCAGATTCTGAAACAACTAAAGCTTTATCCTTAATGTACAATTTACTCCAGCAGAAAATACTAAATATTGTAATTTTTCATTTATAATGTAAAACTACATCACATTACAACATATTTGGCATTGAGACTTACCGTCCTCGTTTACTAGGCGGTCAGCGAATGTACGCGTACACTCATGACACCAGAGCTGGGCGATGACCTTCATCATGGGCGCAGCTGTTTCCTGTGGCTGGGCACCACTAGCCATATTGACGGAGCGAGAACGAGACTCCCATGAAGTCTGGCGTGACACCTGGTTACTACGGCTACCACCTACAACAAGTATTGCTTGTATACTGGAGCTTTACTATCAACACCAGTATGATATATAGGTGTCAGGCATGATGTAGTGCTATATCAAAAATATGATAAGAATTTTAATATTGTAAAATAAAATACAACACAACAAGATGGTTCAAATTTCCCTGTAAGTTGTCAAATCAATTCAACACTTCTCCTATCTTATCAAGATAAAACATTGATTTTATCGCAGTAACCTGTCATTGTACTACTCACGAGATTCTGAACGGCCATCCTTTTTCCGCCTCATCATCTTACGTGTCCTTGACCTTGGGGACATGAGGAGTATTCCGTGGACGACACGTGAAATATCATGTAGTGTGAAGATGTAGTGGGCATTGGCCGGAGTGGCGTGAAACTTCTCTCTGATACGATGATACATCTCCAGCAGGGCCATGGTCATCGCCTGTAACAGGAAGGAGCACTCCAACTAAGGGGAGAACACTCTTACAACAGATAACTCATTTAAAGGGGCAAAAAACACATTTGACTGAGAAGAGCATTTTTAAAAAGTGGAGGGAAGTTTTATAAAAGGGGAGAACCTCTTTCAATGGGGAGAGCACACTGACAACATTAAAGGACTGACCCGAAGGCCTTAAGATGATTGTTACTATTCTACGTAAATTACATAAAGATGTAAATGATGACATGGGCAAGTGGAAAAATCATGCTAGTTACCCGGGCAAACTCAAAGTGGTGTTCAACAGAGTAAGTGGGGAACTCCTCCAGCCAGTTCTGTAGACTGCGGCCGTACATACTGAGCAAGCCATCCAGTGGTGGGGTGAACAAGGTCAGCGTCACGAACAGCCGAGTCAGACGGGATGACATCACATGGCAAGCCTTGCCCATTCCTGAACCTAGTGATGCACAAAGGATCAATGATTACCTGATATGCAGGGAAGGGAGGACGCTGTTTCTATCAGTAACTAGAACTGTAAGCCAAAGGCTAACTAATACCCCCGCTAAAATGAGGGTGCACAACTGCATAAGATACCAATCATTCATGCAAAGTTAAATGAAATCCACCTGTTAGTTAAGTAGGTGTTGTGCTGACAAGTATTTCGCACAAAGTGGCATAACTCCATCAAAAAGGGTCGAAAACCAAAATTAAAATGAGGGTGCACAACTGCATAAGATACCGATCATTCATGCAAATTTTTAATGAAATCCACCTGTTAGTTAAGGAGCTGTTGTGCAGACAAGTATTTCACACAAAGTGGCATAACTCCACCAAAAAGGTCGAAATCCCAAATGAAAATGCTGGTGCACAACTACACAAGCTACTGATCATTCATGCAAAGTTTCAATAAAATCTACCTCTTCGTTAAGGAAGAGTTGCACGGACAAGTATTTCACAAAAAGGGGCTAACTCCATCAAAAAGGGTCGAAATCCCAGATAGACAGACATGGTGATTCCAGTATACCCCCGCTAACTTTATTGCGGGGGTATAATTAAGTGTGGTTGATGACTACAATGACTAGCTATGATACTTGTCACTATATTACCTGGTACACAGGGGAGTGTGGTGGCTGCCAGGAACAGCGCTTCCTCCATGCCTTGGAACTCCTGTCGTTGTTGGTCATATGTACCCCCCTCCGATAGCACCTGTTTCAGTAACTCTAATGGTGGCTGGTAGTCTGAAACAACATCAAATACAGAACATTTATAGAAAACCTCAATGTTCCTCTGGAGACAACATTTGGTCTGTATTACAACTAGTTCAAAAATCAAAATTTCTAACATGAAATATCTGAAGGATCATTATCTCATCATGTTGTTGAAGTCCAACTAGTTTATTCATTGAGGCCTTAGTTATGTTCAATAAGATATTTGCTATATTTCTATACAAAATAAAGTCTGCTAACTTACTTTCATAACACTGGGCATGGCTGAGGTCATCAATGAAGAAGAGGTGGTACTGCTGTGACTTCGGGGGAGAGCTGGTCCCACCCGGGCCTGACAGTACGTTGGATGCCTTGTGTTTGAGCTCAAGGATCTGAGCGACCATCGTATGCTGGAACAGCTCCGATGACATACTGCGTGACATGATGATACTGGTGGAACTGTGCTTAGCTAGGACCATGTTCTGTTGGTGGAAACACAAGACAGGTAAACTCAGTTAAAGTAGGACAGAACAGGTAAACACAGGAAAATTAGGTCAGTAATACCTGTATTTCACCTGAAGGATACTATTTACCTGTAATCAAGAAACTACCTGTAAGAAGGATTTTACATGCAAGACTATTTTTTTTTTTAAATTACGAAGGGGCGGGGGCAGGAGAGGGGTTGGGGGTTGTTTCGTGGTTGTTATCTTTTTTTTTTTTTTTTACCTGTATGAGTGTAGATTTGCCCACACCTGGGTTGCCTACAAGGAGGACTGGTTGGTGAGCCCCCAGTAAAAGGTCCATGTGGTAGGTATACTTCTCAACCTGTAAAAAAAGATACACTTTACTATATCAATCACGTTTTCTCTTACATCGATATCTTTAATAATTCTAGTTTAACAAAATGTGAACATCACAGCATATTCCAAGATGGTAGCCAATATGGTTCTGGCTTCAATCAACTTAATAACTAGTTTTCTGCTACAGAACATAGTTAAATTTTGATAAACTAAAAGAAAGGATCTCACCTCTGTTGTCAGGGTAAAGCCACCTGCCATGATCTTCATGCGTTCCTGCTGTTTATCACTCCAGCGTATGAAGGTCCCCGTCTGTTCCTCCAGACAGTAGTCGTATACAGAGCCCATTATAGGGATTCGTATTGGGTGGGAGGTCCGGTACAGGGCATCATGGGAAAACTTACTGAACTTGTCTTTAAATCTAAACAAGAAAGTAGAAAAATAGAGAACCATGTTATTATAAATTAGTTCTTGGGTTTAAATCATCCATCAGAAACACCTGTCTTTAGGTAAACAGACACAAAGTTATCTTCAAAATAACCTCATACACATTACATACAATATATTTCATTCACATTATATAATATTACTATCGTACACATTCAATATTGTAATTATCATACATGTAAAATATATTAAATATCATACATGTAACATGTGTTAAATATAGTACATGTAACATATTTCAAATATCATTCACAGTACACATTTCAACAGTGATTAAAGGCCTACCTTTCGTGTATGTGGCCCCCGAATCCCCAGATGTAGGAGAAGGCAAATACACCCTTGAGTATCTCCAGGTAGTTGGGAATGAGTTGTTCAATGTGTGAGCTCCCTGTCAGACGGCTCGTAGTGTGTTGGGAAGCTGTCACAATACTGCTAGTCGGAGACTTCCTACCCGCCTCTGTAAGATACATTAGATTGATAAAGTCGACTGACATTCCAGAACTAAGATAGAACCTTTTATTATTTCAGGTTACATAATACACTAACTGTTGACTTCCATCAATAACCTTTTCACATTAAATGATTATTTCTTTTAAGTCCTTACACTCAATACCTTTATTCAATGATCTTTTGGACTATATAACCTCCACTTTGACCAAATAACCTTACCCTGCCTTCATCCCAACTGTACAATTTATAGCCATGCTTCATTGAATTTGTCGTTGTCAAGTTGGCATTCATAATACCATAATGAATGCAACAGAGAGCAGTTCAATGCTGAGTGTAGCTTATGACTTTAACCTCCATCTGTGGTGCATATTTTGACCCCATGACCTTATTCTGCCTCCATCTTAGTGTAAACTTTGACCTTACCTTCCATCTCTGCCTGTTTCTCGCGCTGCTCCAGCTCCTCGCGGAGGAAGCCCTTGTCCAGAAGAGCAGTCATGTATCGGAGGAAGGTACTGATCTCCTGTATTCCAGGGGCCACCTGGTTAGTCTGGGCAGCATCGTGTCCTACATCTGTCAGCAGAGCGGGGCAGCACTCCTGTCTCAGGAAACGGAGCGTAGGGCCGAACACGTCCCGCACCAAATCCTCCCATACCTTCACCCTGCAACAGATGTAACACTTCATCAACTTCTACTGATCTTAATGATTAATGTGTTTAATGTTACAATATGTCATTGTCATACATTGTTAGTTTTAATACTGTGATGTCTAGCTTACTAAGGTAAACATTTTTATAGAAACTAAGATTACTACATCAGCTTTAACCTCATACAAACATTCAGTAATGATTTTTTTCTTATTTTATAATCTGTTTTAACATTTCTCCTGAAAGACTTGGACATCTAACCAATGGTCAAACAAAGACTTACATAGTGGAAGTGAAAACCCAGCGACTCTTGGACATCTAACCAACGGTCAAACAAAGACTTACATAGTGGAAGTGATGACCCAGCGACTCTTGATCATCTAACCAATGGGCAAACAAAGACTTACATAGTGGAAGTGATGACCCAGCGACTCTTGGCCATCTAACCTATGGTCAAACAATGACTTACATAGTGGAAGTGATGACCCAGCGACTCTTGGCCATCTTTAACCAGCGGTCAAACAAAGACTTCCACTGGACGGTGTCCTGACTGAAGTGGAGGATGGAACAGCGGGAGACTGTCGCAGGAGACGCCTCTGTCAGGTCACTCGTCTCAAACATCAAGGCTGTAGTGTCTGTCAAACAAAATAATTTTATCTAGTAAGGTCATTTGTCGCAAATAACAAGCAACCTGAGATAGAGAAATCTTTTGATGTAAGCCTGGTGACTCTGAACAATCTTCTCCAATATCAATGATATTTTACCTTGGAGGTGGATGCCCCCACTGTTGGGAGTAGATAGCTTCTTTTCCTCATCAAACAGTGTGTTGAGGCTGTCAGCCCAGATGGGGTGCATCACGCCATCCAGGACGATCCAGCGCAACAGGACTGATGGAATCTCCTGTTGTCCCTTGTTCTTACGATCCTTGATCGAGGTGATGTAGGACTTGACAGCATCTGATAGGAAACTGCTATCCGCAAGCAACTTAGGGAACAGTCCTCCATTCCACATTCCCTCTTTAAAGTATCCAAGGAGCTAGAAGAACAACAACAGTAAATATGTCGTGTGTATCTTGCTTTTTGGATAAGAGTAGATAGAGTTGTCCACTTAAGGACTGACGTTCATTTTGGTGGTGTATACAGTAGTATGAACGCAGCTGGCAACGAACATATTCTATGGAGCTGTAGGGGACAGACGGATGATGTCTACTTTTGGGTGTTCAGTGTGATCCTTTGGACGTGGGCCTGTAACTTACCTGCCTGGGTGGGAAGACTGTAGGGGACAGACGGATGATGTCTACTTTTGGGTGGTCAGTGTGATCCTTTGGATGTGGGCCTGTAACTTACCTGGCTGGGTGGGAAGGCTGTAGGGGACAGACGGATGATGTCTACTTTTGGGTGGTCAGTGTGATCCTTTGGACGTGGTCCAGTAACTTACCTGGCTGGGTGGGAAGGCTGTAAGGGACAGACAGATGATGTCTACTTTTGGGTGGTCAGTGTGATCCTTTGGACGTGGGCCTGTAACTTAGCTGCCTGGGTGGGAAGACTGTAGGGGACAGACGGATGATGTCTACTTTTGGGTGTTCAGTGTGATCCTTTGGATGTGGGCCTGTAACTTACCTGGCTGGGTGGGAAGGCTGTAGGGGACAGACGGATGATGTCTACTTTTGGGTGGTCAGTGTGATCCTTTGGACGTGGTCCAGTAACTTACCTGGCTGGGTGGGAAGGCTGTAGGGGACAGACAGATGATGTCTACTTTTGGGTGTTCAGTGTGATCCTTTGGACGTGGGCCTGTAACTTAGCTGGCTGGGTGGGAAGGCTGTAGGGGACAGACGGATGATGTCTACTTTTGGGTGTTCAGTGTGATCCTTTGGACGTGGGCCTGTAACTTACCTGGCTGGGTGGGAAGGCTGTAGGGGACAGACGGATGATGTCTACTTTTGGGTGTTCAGTGTGATCCTTTGGACGTGGGCCTGTAACTTACCTGGCTGGGTGGGAAGGCTGTAGGGGACAGACAGATGATGTCTACTTTTGGGTGTTCAGTGTGATCCTTTGGACGTGGGCCTGTAACTTACCTGGCTGGGTGGGAAGGCTGTAGGGGACAGACAGATGATGTCTACTTTTGGGTGTTCAGTGTGATCCTTTGGACGTGGGCCTGTAACTTACCTGGCTGGGTGGGAAGGCTGTAGGGGACAGACGGATGATGTCTACTTTTGGGTGTTCAGCGTGATCCTTTGGACGTGGGCCTGTAACTTACCTGGCTGGGTGGGAAGGCTGTAGGGGACAGACGTATGATGTCTACTTTTGGGTGTTCAGCGTGATCCTTTGGACGTGGTGCCTGTAACTCTTGCATGGCGTCAGACACCTTTCCCAGGAGCCTCGACATTCTACGCAGTTTCTTGGTAGTTTTCTTTTCTGGAATTTGTTTCTCCATTTCTTCCAGGATCTAGAGAAGGGGTACGAGTAGCAGGTTCAATGATGGTTCAACAATTTCTTCGTATAATTAATAACTGTTATTTTTTTTTTTTTATTTAGCTCATCAAGTAATTGATAAAAAAAATGGTCTTAATAACAGATACCAAGAAGTGTTTCAAACCTTAACCTCAATTGATTTAAATGGAATATACAACAATTATCATCATAATCAACACATTCCAAGTCATCATAAGAAATCTTTTCCAAACTATTTCATTAAAACATGTTAAAAAAAAATCTTATTACATGGGACTTTGGCTGATATTTAAATCCAAGATGAAAAAAAGTCAATATTATTCTATATCCTATCTATATTCTGTATCCTATCTATATTCTGTATCCTATCTCCTATCTATATTCTATATCCTATCTATATTCTATATCCTATCTATATTCTATATCATATCTATATTCTATATCCTATCTATATTCTGTATCCTATGAGGTATCACATCACATTGTGCAGTGCAGTTATAAGATGCAAATTTGTGTAAATTATTTTTTCCGCTTGCAGGAGCTTTAAAGCTGTAATCCACTACACTAAGGCTCATACCTGCCATTATGTTCACCACTCAGAATTGGGTCCCTCATTATGTCAAAATATAGAAACATCATACTGGTCACTGAACCTAGCTTGAGACTTGCGACCATGTATCACATTTTGTTAAAACTGAACCATTTGGGTGGTTATCACACAGAAACTGTAGAATAACACGACAATGGGTGAATGCATAAAAAACAGTTGGGATAGGACAACCAGGTGTATAGTTATCACTTACAGTGGTAAGACAAAAGTAGGAGTGCATCTTTAACGAGAGAACAAAGGGGTTCTATTGCTCCCATCTAGTTCATCTTACTTTAGTAATCTTCAGAGTGTGTCAAGGTCAAAATGTATTTTAATAAACTAAATATGATTACTCTACACCTTAAGGGTGTAGAGAAATGATGAATCTTTGTCGGAAGATTTCAACTTATTTTACTCATACCACCTTCAAGGCAAATACAGATGAGGAGAGTCTATGAAATATGTTCTGAAACAAAGTGACACACAGACAGATGGATGGACAGAGTCTTAACCTATACCCTCCTCTGGTAGTACCTGTGGGGATTAAGAAAGTGACACACAGACAGATGGATGGACAGAGGCTTAACCTATACCCTCCTCTGGTAGTACCTGTGGGGATTAACAAAGTGACACACAGACAGATGGATGGACAGAGTCTTAACCTATACCCTCCTCTGGTAGTACCTGTGGGGATTAACAAAGTGGGGTCAAACAACACAACAGGTATAGTGGTAATCAATGTAGCTAGTATCCCTACTAGTGAATAAATATATAGTAAAACCTTGGTATCATGCCGTTTGTTTTACTTATCACCATATTATCTCAGTCATTCATTCATTTTTTTTAACACTTCCTTTTTGAATCCATGATGTATTTCATTGAAGAAATGGCCAGATAATGAGGTTTTACTTTACACATATAATAATAACATTGGTATATTAAAACATTCTTCTCATCACTGTGATACAGTTTTGTTGTGAGACTGTGATAAGCAAAAGCCTGTATCCTATAGGACTAGCATATCTATAGGTTACTGGCTCCAGGGTACACTGACGTAGGTATACATGCATTAAACTACATATCATATTTAATTACAAAACCCCCACCACTTCCAACAAGATGCTACACAGTGCGACTATGAACAGCATGCAGTGAAAACATAAAAATGCAGTAAAATGTGCAGGTGTGAAGTAGAATACCTCCTCCTCGTCCTCTCCTTCATTGTCTGCTAGTTCACCGGGGTCCTCCTCCTGCTCATCCTAGAGTAATACATTGTACATGTAAACTGTGGCCTCTATCTCACACACAATGTTAATGTAAACTGTGGCCTTAAACTCACACACAATGTTAATGTAAACTGTGGCCTTAAACTCATACACCTTGTATATAATAAACTGTGATCTTGATCTTACACACACTGTACATGTAAACAGTGACCTTGACCTCACACACTTTGAACATGTACACAGTGACCTTGACCTTACACACAATGAACAGTGACTTTGATCTCACACATGCTGAACAAGTAAACAGTGACCTTGACCTCACCCATACTGCTCAACTACACAGTGACCTTGCACATTTTACATTTACATATTAACATTCACAGTTGTCATTATGCTGAAAAGAAGAAAACATAATCTCTCATCCCTTGTCATTATATAACTAATCATAGTCGACAGATTATACGATATGATAACATTTACTCTCAAACAGAAAACGACTTACCCGTAGTTTCTTTTTCTGCTTGCCCTGTATGACAAAGTCTGTGTTGAGCTCATCCTTGGAATGGTCCGGGGCGAACAAGAGATAATTAAGTCTGTTGTAGGCTCTGCCCAGTGTTGTACAACATGTTGTCTTACCACTGCCGGCCGGCCCACACAGTATCACACTCTTCTTCATCTGGAGGGCTGTGTTTAACTGTAGGATCTGTGGACATACCGCACAGCGAGGATTAAAATACATAAATAGGAAATTATTCAACAAAGGATATGATTTAAGAATAAATATCATCAGAGTGTATAAATACCCCAGTTAGAGTTACTTTGTGGAGGAGAGGCTTGGACTATGCCAGGCTGTCCTCTTTGAGCTGGTCAGTAAGACTTACCTTGTGAAGAAGAGGTTCATACTCTGCCAGGCTGTCCTCCTTGAGCTAGTCAGTAAGACTTACCTTGTGAAGGAGAGGTTCATACTCTGCCAGGCTGTCCTCTTTGAGCTGGTCAGTAAGACTTACCTTGTGGAGGAGAGGCTCTGACTCTGCCAGGCTGTCCTCCTTGAGCTGGTCTTGGACAGTTCTCTTCATCAGGGTATTAAAGGCCATAGTACTGTCGGTAATGTTGGTGCTGGCTGGGAAAACATTACGGAGATTGCTTGAAAACATATCACGATCCTCATCTGTCTCTAGGGCAGGCAGTAAGATGTACCGCAGCGCATGTACCAGACAGTGTTCCTCTAGGGCGTGGCGTTCAGAGGCGGTCTGGGGAACAGGGTTTGATTTTACTCGAGGGGAGGGGCTGGAAATGCCAGGACTCCTAGGTGATTGTAGGTCAGGGCTCTTCGGGGATGTAGGGGAGGTGCTGGATACTGATCGCGGCGAGTTTGCTTCTATATAATACAATGGTAATATTTAACATCAGCGACCTCTAAATTACTTAGTCAATAACTTGTTAATCTAACAAGGTTCTCAATTACTGTCTTCCTATTGTTATAACTTTGGTTACTGCCCACCTGTTAATTTACACCCATAGTTAATGATAACTTTTACCTTAATGAGTAGTTCACATTTAACAAGCTTAGTAGCTTTAATTTCAGTTTTTTTTTTTTTAATATATACTAAAGAATTTTTAAGTTTCATAAATACAATTGTGTTGATGGTCTACCTGAGAGTGCTGAAAAATGCCGACAGAAAACTGTGTTGTGTAGAACACTGGATGCAGAGGTCAGGACGGTTTTCAAATCCTTCACTCCAAACTGGTAGTGATTCTTCCGTGGGAGCTGAAAAGGTCAAGATAAAATTAACTGTAGACATGTGATGAGGAAAGATAGAGAGGTTATGATGTATTGAAACCTGCCAAAATGTGTTGCTAAATTCTTTAAAATCAATTGTCTGCAATTATCATGTGTAATCAGAAAGCACATCACTTCAATGTGACAATTTATATTCTTTATCCCAAGGGGTATCAGCAATACCATACCATTTAGCAGTAATACTAGTAGATCTAAAGAAGATTTTTTTGATTTTTAAAAATTAAAATTTAACCCCTGGAGCCCCCCTCCCCATTGTAACAAATTGTTACCTTTTTAATCCTAGGAACAAATTTGAATGATATCCACCATTATATTTTTAAAGAAAAAAATAAAGCTTAAAGAAAAATTTACCGAGGACAGGTAAGGAAAATGGATAAAATGAGCAAAATAAACCTGAATTTTGAGCATTCTCAGAAGTTGATCAAGTTTCCTGGCCCAGTGTTTGGTCTCCCTGAATCCATGGTTACACAGCAGGACCTCAGCGATCTGTTGTTTGTCGGGGATGATCATGGCGCACGGTCTCATCAGCAACTGGAACATAAATAAAACAATGTGTCTAACAAAAAATACAGGGGAGATAAGTCAGACAAGGGAAATAAGTCAGGCAGGGGAGATAAATCAGGCAAGGGAGATCAATCAGGTAAGGATGAACACGTCAGACCTATAGATATCATAGTGGTACTGACTTCCCAACTTAGGTAGAACCTCAGCATCAACATTTCCTATATATCAATCATTTCAATCCACAGTATATTAGTAGGGGAGACAACTTGTGATCAGCTATCTAGCCAAGCCCTCGTCAGAGTCACTTTGGTTTTTCATTTGGTATGACAAGAGGGATTGTTTGTACAATTATGATCCAATCACCATTTTTTTTTTATCTGGTCTGATTATGCGATAGAGCTTTTCACTAAATAGCTACATTTAATTGACTAACCAGTTGTTCCAGATATCAAAAAAGTTAGAAATTTAAGGGTAAGGGAGACAACCCTGGATACCTACTCTGTACACCTCTGGCATGTCAGCAGTGGTAGCCCGTTGTGTATTTAGCGTCATGAAGCAGCCGAAGTTAGCACTAGCATGGACAAGCTTCCCACTGAACATGATGTTGCCAAGGTAACGATGTGTATACACATTCTCCGAGTTAAGTCGACTGTAGTCATCAGGGGTTGGCTTTGAATTCTTGATGCGTGATCGGACGTATTCATAGAAAAGTGGTGGAGGACGATTGGTCTTATACAGATCTGACTCCTGTATATCTATTTCTTTTTCTATTGAGTGACGGCGCCGACGTAAGTCCTTCTCTGCAACCCAGGTGTCCTCAAAGTAGGTCACCAGACCTTTCTCCTGTAGCAACCACAATTTTATGTAAACTTGCTTGGTAGTTTAACTGATAATTTCAAATGAATGATATTTTTGTTTTAACACAATGATTTCCTATGAATTTCAATCTTCAAACTACAATTTTATGAAAATATAAACTAGATTCTGATTTTACTCCAAACTGTTTTCAAATAAGATTTGTGGGTTTAGTACTTACATTGAATCCGTGTGGCACAGTGTTCTGTCGCTGTAGACCTGCAGTACCAACGTCTGACGGCAGAGGATGGAGTGTTGTGAGGGAGTTGCGTCGAATCACCTTGTCTCCAACACCAGTTTTCTAGAAAAACAAATCACACTTGTCAACAGTGAAGTGGACTTATAAGCTATCCTGTCTAATCTCTAAATAAGGATAATTCTGTAACAATTCTCTTCCGGTGACAATCCTTTTATAAATCATATTCTGGAAACTTAAATATAACTTATTGTAAATAATTAGAGAAAATAATCTTTATCTTATCTGACTTTATTAAAATTTTGTTGGTATCAAATTTCACCTTACTTTATTTTATCTTCTATGTAGCGAATATGTCCATGGTGTGTGTAATATCAGGGAGTGACACTGTTATCCCTTCCTGTGTACATACAAGGCTTTTCTCTCATCATACATCTGGATATCTTTTGGTATATTAATTTTCACAAATTTTTGGATAATCACTACCTTTTTATGGTATGCATTGTGATACTTATCCCATTAAGTATAAATGAATTACTTTATATGCAGAACTTTATCTTCCAAGTCAATTGATTTATGATTTATAGTTACCAATAACAAGAAAAATCCTGATTGACAGCATTGTGTAAAAGTAGCTGTAACAGACCTCAACAGAATATACAGTAAACTGTCACAAAGTAGCATGCACTGGGGTGCTTGGGGCACTGCAAGTAGTTGGGGTGCAGCTTCTGCTTGCACAGGGGGCACTAGGAGTATTAATGGCATACTGATTGCACTGAGGAAACTGATGGTACTGGAGGTGCAGCTTCTGTGGGTACTGGGCACTATTGGCACTTGTAAACAATGGTGGCGCTTGGGGCACTGGAGATGTTAGTGCACTGGAGTATCGAGGGTACTGGTGGTGGACTTGGCACTGAGGGTATCGAGGGTATCAAAGGTACTGGTGGTTGACTTGGCACTGAGGGTATCAAGGGTATCAAAGGTACTGGTGGTGGACTTGGCACTGAGGGTATCAAGGGTATCGAGGGTACTGGTGGTGGACTTGGCATTGAGGGTATCAAGGGTATCAAGGGTACTGGTGGTGGACTTGGCACTGAGGGTATCAAGGGTATCAAAGGTACTGGTGGTGGACTTGGCACTGAGGGTATCAAGGGTATAGAGGGTACTGATGGTGGATTTGGCACTGAGGGTATCAAGGGTTGAGGGTACTGGTGGTGGACTTGGCACTGAGGGTATCAAGGGTCTGGTGGTGGACTTGGCACTTAGGGTGCTTGGGACACTTAGTACACTGGTGGTGCTTGAGGCAATGAAGACATAGGGTGCATGGGGCACTTGTGCATTGGATGCAAGGGGCACTGTGGACAACTGAGGTGCTGGGGGCTCTGTGGGCATTTGAGGTGCTGGGGGCACTGTGGGCAATTGAGGTGCTAGGGGCACTGATATAGAACACAACATCAGAGCTAGGAGCATGCACTTGTGACATTGTGGACAATCGGTAATGAAGCTTTGGGGACATCAGTGACCAGTGGGGAGCAAAAGGCAGCACAGCATTTACTGGAAAATGAATGGAACCAGAGCGTATTGGTTGAGGTACTGAAGTAGTGAGGACACCAGAGATGCACATCAGGCATGATAGGGAGAACCTGTGAGATACAAAGAAAGCTTTGGGGCTCTGAAGGACACTAAAGAGCTCAGGTATAACAGTGGTAAATTCAAATTGGGAGCAACTAGAGAGGGAGGCAGTACGCCACAAGCCCTAAAGATGGTACTGAGGGCTCGGAGTGAGACATGGTAATCGCATAAAATAATATTACAAACCAATAATCATATGTTTTGTACAACGTCTAGCTTATATAAAACATAAACTAGCTGACTTTAAACATTGACCATCATTGTGCTGTAAAGGCGACTCAACAAGCATAGATAGGTGGAGGCAGCCCAGGGGTATATATAGCGGGGAGCATCCAAGGGACTAGATAATTGGGGTATTCATCATACAGCAATATCTAACATGCAAAAGCTGCTAGCAGCAGAATATGGTCGTAAAAGTGGGAAAGCAGACATGGCAAGCATAACCAATAAAGTGTTTGGGAAACACTGAGGAAAGCAGTCCTAGCCTTCTACATACGGTAACATACCAACAGAAAACGGCCCTGTAAATTAGAAAGGTTGTTCAATTTATAGGTAATACTATATTCATTGATTTCACTTTCCACGTTCTTACACACACAGCACTTTACAAAGTTTTGTTAATAATAGTTTATACTTAAAACAGAGAACAATCTCATCTGTTTGGATTTTTTTTCACCAATTGACTTTTCTTGTCTAGTGAACCTATCTTGTCAGTGTAGAGAGTTTTGTTATCTCGTACCCATTAACCTGTTTTGTCTGTGTGTGAAGTTATATTATCTATTTATACATATTTTACCTATACCCTGTCCGTTTTTGGAGCTAGCTCCCCTACCTATATATCTTGTCAGTGTAGAGAGTTTTGTTATCTCTCGTACCCATTAACCTGTTTTGTCTGTGTGTGAAGTTATATTATCTATTTATACATATATTACCTATACCCTGTCCGTTTTTGGGAGCTAGCTCTCTACCTATATATCTTGTCAGTGTAGAGAGTTTTGTTATCTCTCGTACCCATCAACCTAACTTGTTTGAGTGTAAAGTTATATTCTCAATCATATATATAGTACCGATACGCTGTCTGTTTTTTGGAAAAAGCTCCACAACTTATATACAAGAACCTAAATCTTGTCTGGATAGGGGAGTTATCCCCCCTATACATGTTAGTACACTGTCTCTGTACAGGAGTTAGCTCCCCTATCTGTAACATTCTTACCTTGTCCATTCGAGCTTGTCCCCTGATTTTGTACTGGTTCTCACTAGACTGTTGAAGTGTACGGAGGGCCGTCCTCAGGTAGTCCAGGTGCTGGGCTGCCACCGACATTAGTCCTGTCAACACATTATTGTCAGTACAGCACTATATAATGGTGGGACATATCATTAAATAAAGATTCCCCTGTTTACCAGAAGGAGTAAAAAAACCAATCATGACTTTAATTTGTTGATGACTTTAAGTAGCAAAAATGTTATCTTCAAAATGCAACTATTCCCAGTATATATCATTGTTCAACTTTGATCATATAGTGCTATAGCCCGAGTTTCCTCTGGCCCGAACACCAGACTTAGACTTCATATAGCAGTACGCTCTGGCCCGAACAACAGACTTAGACTTCATATAGCAGTATGCTCTGGCCCGAACACCAGACTTAGACTTCATATAGCAGTGCGCTCTAGCCCGAACACAAGACTTAGACTTCATATAGCAGTGCACTCTGGCCCTAACACCAGACTTAGACTTCATATAGCAGGGCACTCTGGTCCTAACACCAGACTTAGACTTCATATAGCAGTGCGCTCTGGCCCGAACACCAGACTTAGACTTCATATAGCAGTGCGCCCTGGCCCTAACACCAGACTTAGACTTCATATAGCAGTGCCCCCTGGCCCTAACACCAGACTTAGACTTCATATAGCAGTTCACTCTGGCCCTAACACCAGACTTAGACTTCATATAGCAGTGCGCCCTGGCCCTAACACCAGACTTAGACTTCATATAGCAGTGCACTCTGGCCCTAACACCAGACTTAGACTTCATATAGCAGGGCACTCTGGCCCTAACACCAGACTAAGACTTCATATAGCAGTGCGCTCTGGCCCTAACTCCAGACTTAGACTTCATATAGCAGCGCGCTCTGGCCCTAACACCAGACTTAGCCTTCATATAGCAGTGCGCTCTGGCCCTAACACCAGACTTAGACTTCAGATAGCAGTGCGCTCTGGCCCTAACACCAGACTTAGACTTCATATAGCAGCGCGCTCTGGCCCTAACACCAGACTTAGACTTCATATAGCAGTGCGCTCTGGCCCTAACACCAGACATCTATATGTCAAAAAGTCTAAGTCTGGTGTTAGGGCCAGAGGAAACTGGGGCTAATAGTGCTACAGCTTTGTTTTTATCAAGACACAAAATCTGCTATATGTTATTGTTAATAACTACCAGAGTTATTCTAATATGTAGGGGGATCTAGAAATATTTTAGTAAGTAGAGTCATCTAGTGAGACTCTAGGTTGTAGACTGATCTTGTGGAATTCTTAAAAAGTTTACGAAACTCAATATTTAATTCTACCACAATAGAATAAGTACTTAATTTAACGAACAGATGTGGAATGTCAGTTTAAATGTAACTTACCTTTTGTGAGACGGTCAGTGTCATCAAATAACGTCCAGCAGCCAGACTGGACAGTACCCAACATGATCTGTGTGATGATCCCTATGGTCATCTCCTCATTACAGTTGACGGTCAACATGGCACACCCAAATATCTACACAGGACACATAAAGTACAGAGACATTATCACTCTAAATAAGTGACAAACCCCACAGGACACATAAAGTACACATTATCACTCTAAATAAGTGACAAACCCCACAGCACTCAGAGAGTATGTAGTGGTGAGATTTTGTACGTAGTTAGATGGTGAAAAAGTATTACTGAGTGTGTATCAAGTATTAATACCATTAAGTGTGTGTTATCTATTATTTAAGACAACAGATATTCACTACATGTTACAGATTAGGGCTAGCATGATGCAAGGTAGCTGATGCTTCAGCGGGTTCTTTGAAGAATTTAGGAGGAACAAGAATATAGTTTTTATGTAATATATCTTGACTAGAAATGTTTGCTTTTGTGTTGAAAACTGCAAAAATACAAAAAATGTGTATAATATTCAGTCCTATGCCAGAAAGCTAGATGAGACCAACCTTGGATAGTTCCTTGATGGTTTCAGATTTGCCAGTGCCTGGCGGCCCAACGAGTGTGCCAGCATGAAAGTTACGGAGAGACTGTGTGAGAGAGAGGAAGGCGCGGTGTGTGAGAGGGGTGAGGACAAGGCGGGCCGCTGGTCCCTGGTACTCATAATCATAGTGGAATGTGTTACCAAGCTGTTGTACACAACACAGTCCAAACTGGTAGTCTGTTGACACCACGGTCTTGGTCCGCGTCAACTTGGGCGGTTCTTCTGAAATATCATAAGTAGATTAATATATTTTTGATTACCAATAAACATTGACAGTGTACTAACTGATCTGTGGGGATCAAAGCTCCCTTCTTCCAAAATATCCTCAAAAAAAGACTTTGAAGTCTAGTAAAACAAATACTGAGAACATATAACATGACAAACTTTATGGGTTTATAAATTTCAGACATGATGAATATAGTATCAAGGTCATTTGGGTACATACCTATTGTGGTTTCCACATGGACCTTAGTGGCCAGAGCCTTAGATGTACGCCTGCCTCGACCTGCCTTCCGCTGACTGACAGGAGTCTGACTGGAGGGCGGTGCTGGCTGGATCTCTAACTCCTCCCTCTTGGCCCGTAGTACTGTTTGTATGTCAATGTGGTAATGTAGCTCCCTCAACCATTCAAAGTTCCCAGGCCCCACCAGACCTGACGACAGCACAACTGTACAAAAAGAAAAACAAATTGATTTCATAACTTATTCAACAAGTTATCAATATTTGCATGAGAGAGGTTAGACATGCAAACTGATCAGTACTTACAGTTAAGGACGTCACGCTGGTGGATGGTCTGACTGATTAGGTTACACAGAAGTCGGTGAAGCCTCTGTTTGGTACAAGCTGGCAGGGAGCCGTTGAACGAGTAGCTCTCCCGTATCAGATCCACATACTGCTCATACTTGGAGTTCATACTGGATCTGTAACAGAATGTCATAGTTGTGTTGTAACTAACAGAAATTGGAATTAATGTCAGTGATCATTGTGTCTTTACTTAACTCATTCACCCCTGAAGACACATTTGAACTCTTCCAATTCAAAGGTTGGAATAGTTCATTATGAAATGTCAGGGGTTAATGAGTTAAATAAGACATTTTATTAAGAGAACCCTCCAAGAACCCAATCCATTCTCTGTTGTACTATATATCAGTTCTAATATACAATCCACAGTAAAACCTGCTAAACCAACCACCTCAATCATGAAACCACCTGTGTCAAGGGACCACTCCAAATGTTCCCCATTGTACTGATTTCATTGTGAAATAAACATGTATTACGAGACCCGCTGTGTAAACGGACAACTGTTTGGACTTGGTTTGATTGTACTACACATCAAAAATCCGATCTACAAACCTGTACAACATCACCATAACACTTGTATAGTATATCTACTACACCTGTACTTACCGTAGACTGTCAAGTTCGTCAGGTGACCCACTCTCCAGAGCACGGTTGACAGCACGTGCCCACATGAGGGACTCTGCGACTAGCACACACTGGACGGGGAAACGTAGCAACCAATGTCGGAACGTGTGTTTAATGTCTCCTGTGATTCGCTCCTCCTCTGAGCTGCGCCTCTCTGTCAGGCGGGAGATCTCCTCCAGGAGCTGAATAGGCTGTCGGGAGCCTACAAATAGATTTCAATCTATACACATGTCCAGATACAAACAGGTGATTTACATTGTTAGCTAACTTATATATATATGTATACGTGTATATTTTAATACAATTAGATTATCAAACAGCTTATATATATATATGATTTTATATGATCACATGCTGAATTCTGTCAGTCAACTTGTAATCATGTCTTGAATCAAATAAGTGTCTTACTGTAAAAGTGGAAATTTTCGCAGTGTGGAAATTCTTACGTTGTTCACTTTTAATAAATATGTGCAAAAATGTCCACACAGAAATATACATTTATGGATTTTATAGACAGATGATACATAGAATATATAAACTTTAGAACCATTTATGAAAATGCAAAAATTCCCACACTTAAATCAGTTGATGGAGTTACAACAAGAACATTTCCACACCCCAGGAATTTCCTCTTTTACTGTATACTGTCAACATATGTTCACAACAATCTGCTCAAAGTGATTTTAAAGAATCTAATTAATTTTAATGATTCATATAATAATTTTACCTTCATCCATGCGAGCCTGGATACATTTCTGTAGCATGAGCGCCATGGTGTTTTTCATGATGGCCTCAAGACTCTTGAACCAGCGTGTTGCCTTAGAGAAGGCTTGTACGCGGGTGTAGAGTGGCACCTCCTCCCCGAGGTCACCGTGCATTGTTGTCACCTCCAACTTGTCCGCTGTAAAATTAGCAAATTGATATACAATGTATGTATGACTGATGACAGAAATACAAAACAGGGATACAGAAGTATGGTCTTTTAAGTAAGATGGTTGACAGACATACCATTGAGAGCAAAGTCCAGCTCGGTACTGATACTGGAGGTTCCTGGAGGGAGGGCAAAGGTCAGCGACTCCACACCTTGGAAACACTTCTTAGCAGTTGGTAGCATCATCTTTGGATTCCTGGAGATTCCGAGTAGGTCAATGAGTTCATCGTTACTGAGGAAGTAGAGACGGGGGAACTCCATCCTGGACGTCTCCAATACCACCTCAAGGTGTTTGAGAATTTCCTCCTAAAGAAAAAGTAAAGAGTTATCAATCCAACAGAAATTGTATAGATTATTTCTAACGACAGAAAAAGAACTGAGTTATCTCCTCAAAAGAAATAGTACAGTTATCTTTCCTACAGAAAAAGCACAGATTTATCTCCTTCAAAAGAAAACAAACAGTTATTTTATATGAATAATATTCACCAATGAACAGTACAGAATTAATTCATTTCCATCTATAAAATATACCATTTTCTTTAGTGAATCCTACAGGCAGAGTATATTATAATCTCTTTAACTCTAAATATAAGAACAAAGTTATCAACAGACCTGGCTCTCAATAAGTTGGAGGAATAAAGCGCGTAGGTTGTCTCCCTGTAACAGGCGGTACCCTTTCTCTCCTCTCTTCCTGTGAACCACCGTCAGGATCTTAGAGTCGTTAGACACCACTCGCATCCAGTCCTGTACAAAAACAGCAAAATAACACCTCCCATAAAACACTCAGATAAAGTACGGAGTAATCTCCCCTACATGCTGCAGATAAGTCACAACAGTAACTACATGGTCTAGGGTAGCACACAGTACAGTGTTTGGACACGGACACAGATGTTTATGAGATATCATTAGCTGGCTGACTAACCTGGCTCTATTTTGACCTGAACAGGTTGGAGATTGGGGAGAACATGTCAAATTTGCAGCGGAACACACAACAAAACTACACCAGAACATGTCTCACAATGTTTTTTTTACCTTACAATTATATGATCTTTTATATTCCATGGAAAACAGGGAAGCTATGTATTAACTTGCTTTAATTCCTCAGGTCCCATATCGGTAGGCTCAGGCCACAGTATACAGGGCATTAACTAAAGTGATAATTAATGAGCGCTATCTCGCTGTAAGATTGTTGGGTCTAACTGGCAGACTTGAACCTTTAAAACTTACATCAGATAGATGGAGATAGTTAAACTGATTCAGCCTGCAACTGATTACCTACAGTTGCAGCTGGAACAGGTAACTTACCTTGAATTTTCCATGGATGGCCTCAAACTTGTGACTGACAGCGTTGAACTTCTTGTACAGGTCTGCCCTCTCAAAGATCTTCAGCAGGTAAAGCCACTACAAACAAATAACAGAAGATATAACATAACTCTACCTATTATTCATAGTTTTCCACAATAACCCAATGATACCACACCAAGACAGTGGTGAATACCGTACCTTTTTCTGACAGGTGTACCAGAGGTCTGTGATCTCCTCCACCTGCTGTAGTGCTGTGTGCCAGTATTCCACCTGCAGGCTCATGTCACCTAGGTAAGGTGACTGCATCATTGACTTGATGGAGATACGGGAATGCTGAAAACCATTTAAAGTGGAGAGTTATCCCCCTTGTATCATTATACAATAATGTATATTTAAATACATGTATATTTTTCAGCACCTATTTTAATCTAGCCTGAAGATACTGGTTGCACATCGGTGAAAGTAGGTTTCTATTACATCATATCTTTAGTATAGAACTTATTAACTGTTATTTGGTTTGTAATCATTATTTGATTTGATTGTTCTGATCATCAGTCATCATAATGAGAAATAAAGAAATGTCAATGATTAATGATGCTGCAGGTGACCTTGTGAAACCTGTGATCTCACCTGTAGTTGGTACTTCAGGTCGTCAACCTCGATGAGAATAAAGAAATCATCGTCTCGTACGTTGAGGCCCTGGGGCTCGCCCACTTGTGCCGCTGCTCGCTCCTGGCGGTATTTCTCCAGTTTGGTGCGGCGTCGTGGGCTACTTGGTTTCTTGGGCATATCTACAAAAATTAAGTCAGAAAATCTTGTTTCAACAGTAGCCAGCATCAAAAGACCTTAATATACCAAATAAAATGATTCCCTAACACACAATTTTAAGTCGTATATTAACTGTAACAATGTATGATACTGATAGTAGGGTAGTGTAAGTTGCCACTCATACAAACAAAAAATAGCACACAGTGGTTTAGTAATGTCATCAAGTGATGTTTTTTCTGGTCTTTGAAGAATTCCAGACAATATGTGTAGGTGAAAATTGTATAGTACATTCTGCAAAAATAAAGAGGATTTTCAAAATATCATAAATGGGACATTTAGCTATATATGTAGCTGATCTAATTAGAAACAGTGTTATTACAATGCCTTTATGTCAATTAGCCTCATTAATCTTTACACTGGGACACAGCAGCTTTATTTCATCTTTGATTTCCCTAGACCTTAAGGGAGTATGCTACATATATGTACATCTGACATGAATACTTTTTCAAAAGATTTCCGCAGATAGAAATCAGCGAGATATCTTTTATAAATGTAAACTTGGATTAGGTCACACAGTCAAATCATGACACAATTACATTATACACTTAAATACACTGATAACACACAGACGATTCTTGATTATTACATTGTACACTTAAATACACCGATAACACACAGATAATTCTTAATCATTACATTGTACACTTAAATACAACGATAACACACAGACAAATCTCAATTATTACGTAAAGTTTTCAAAGATTTCAATCAAAGTTTTCAACACAGCAGCATTTTGTTTTTCAAAAAGTCTTTCTTACGCTGAGGAAGAAAATAAAAATTGTAAATTTCTGATTCTGGTACCTGTAAATGGACCTGTTGAGGACTGAGAATACAATATCACTGTAGACATACTGTGGGGGAATTAACTGGGAGTCATAGCTATACTAGGCACAGTATGTACATATTACGGAAGGGAGTCCCTTATAATTCATGAGATATCTATATTCAAGTTTACTCGTGAGAACAGAGGATCATAAATATCTTTTAAGCAGTGTTGGTTAAACAAGAAACAAAATTAGAAGCTGTTGTTCCTTTTGTGAAAGCAAATCTTTGCAACGTCTTTAGCAGAGCATTTTTTTGTATTACCTAGTTATCATTTTTTGTTGTTGAGAACATCATACAAACTAGATACTGACAAGATATATTCTAACTCATAGTATGTTGAGTAAGCCTGAACAGCAATATAAAGGTGGTAATTAATTGTTTTATATTAATCCTGGTTTGAATCATTTAGTTTCCCACTACATTGTATTTATATATTAAATTGAGCCTATATCACATGAACAATTCCAGGCTACCTGAATAACACAGCACAGACCACATGTTACAGACCCAACTTAAACTTACAGCTTACAATATCATAAAAGCAAACATAATCTTATAAGCTATGTATAAGTTCATCAACATGGGCAGTCGGGTTAGGCATTAGGTGTAGGTGAGGATCACACGCAGGGTTGTCTCCCCTGTGACAAACGTGAATAGTTAGGACACGCCCAGCGTATAATTACCCATGTCAGCGGTATCCTCTATCTCCTTTTTCTGATCTGCAGGTGGGAATTCACATTTAGGACTGTTTACATTTCTCATTAAAACAATCAGGCAGTGTGATTGATTCTTATTTTGTGAAATAATAAATAAAAATTAACACAGAACATACATTTAAGTCACAACAATGACACACAATGACAATATCAAACACACAAAATATTAAAGTCCATTACATGTTATCCATATCGTGCTCATGTACACAATGTGTTGTCTGCTTTGCATTGTCTGTTGTATATTGTTTTATCTTTTATTCATATTGCTTTATCTGTATTATGTTACATGTTGTCTTGTGTTTTGTCTTTCATGTGTTGTCTGTCAGGTGATAGGTGTTGTCTGTCAGGTGATAGGTGTTGTCTGTCAGGTGATAGGTGTTATGTGTGGCCACTGTTTGTAACCATCCTTTGTTGCTGAGGACACTGTCAGTAATGCATTGTATTGTGAGTTGTACGTTGTCTGTGATGTATGTTGTAAGTTGTCTGTGTTGTCTGTTGTAATTTGTCTGTGTTGCCCATTGTGTGATGTTTGTGATGCATGTTGTAAGTTGTCTGTGTTGCATGTTTTAATTTGTCTGTGATGTATGTTGTAAGTTGTTTGTGTTGTCTATTGTAAGTTGTCTGTGTTGCCTGTTGTGTGATGCTTGTGATGTTTGTTGTTAGTTGTCTGTGTTGTCTGTTGTAAGTTGTCTGTGTTGTCTGTTGTAAGTTGTCTGTGTTGCCTGTTGTGTGATGTTTGTGATGTATGTTGTTAGTTGTCTGTGTTGCTTACCTTTACTACTGAGGACACTGTCAGGAATGTGTTTTGCCAGTTTAAATTCTCTCTCCTCCCACATCTTGCTGATTTGTGTGATTTTGACCTCGAGGTCAAACTCCTCGATTGCACCAAGATAGATCGTGTGAATGAGCTGGGCATGCTCCTCAAGGTCATACGCTAGAAGGTCAGCAACAGTGTACTGCTTCATCCCATCATAAGTCTCGTTCATACCGACAAAGATGGCCTTCCAGTGACGCTCCTACATTACAGGGACAATAATGTTGTAAACCACTTACTGGTAAAATCTTGATTCACAGAGGATTCACAGTAATACTTAGTTTGGTTAGGGAAAGAAAATTCAGAAAATGATTCAATTGTAGTTTATAGGATTTGATTGAAACAATGGTAATTTTTAAGATTTAATTTAAACAACAGTAATTGTAAGATTCGAAAATACATTCTTGTTTATCTATAATGATCACTTGATTGATAATCGATGACATAAAACATCTCCCATGGAACATCATCACATAATAAATCTCCTCAGGAGCCTCACAACACGATAAATATTAAACCTACCTTGAGAGCCTCGTTAGCCAGCTTGTGAAGAACAGGTAGATTTTTCTTGAACTCTGACATGGACTGGAACCACGCCCCTAACACCTGGTCACCATGTGGTAGGTAGGGTTTGAGCTGGGCAGCTGCTGACTGCCACTCAAACAGCTTCTCCAATGCCTTCTTAATGTTCATCTACAACACACAACAATACATCTTTAAGTTAGTGTGTCCACCGACCTATCAATAGTCTAATGCTGTACTAATGAGTAAGGCATGATAATTTGTCACATATCACTCCAAGTTTTTAAGTAAAAGGGCAACAGTACTAGAAGAGAACAGTAGTCTGTGGGGCTTAAAACAATACTGTACTACTTTGTACTACATTATACTCTTACGAATAATTTCACAAATCACAGGCAGAGTGTTTTTAATTTAAATTAGCTGAATCATTTTATTTATGTTCCTTTGAAAAATTTCTATACTTTTTTCATCAAACAGTTAATCTGGTCCATACCAAAAGGTGAGAACATCAACAACCTGACCACGACCTTGACCAGTGTGATCTTCAACTATGAGGGAATGTTTGTTAATTTTTTTCACCTTACGAAAAAAAGAAACCCTTCACAAAGGTACTTGAATTCTCCAATACATTTTAATATTCAACATTATATCTAGCCCAGTGTCACTGTCACTTTGATTGTTATACCTTCCTGAAGGGCGTGGCTTTCCAGTCGTCAATAGAGTGGCGTGTGACCTCCACATACTTCCACACTTCCTGTCGTACGTTCATCTTTGTTGTGAGGTCCTCTAGGAAGTCAAGGTTGTAGGCCTCCCCACAAATTGCCTCACGCCACCGACTCGCCTGTCGTAGTCGTGACAACACGTCGAAGAACTCGTCTCGGATCTATGACACGACACTCAAGTTGTTAATGACAGTAAGAGGTGAAAATCAGACTGATTCATTAAAATACAGATTAAGGTTGATACAGAATAAGTGACCTTGTTCAGTACTCACCCCTCTCATCTCCTGGAGAATGGCCGTAGGGTCCTGTTTTGTGTCCAGGAACTTCCCGTTAGTGGCTTTCTCCGACAGCTCCAGGACCTGCTTCTCCAGTCTCTGTAATATAAGGCATGATAGTCATCACAGAGGGGATCTGTTTGTGATACATGGCTTACCATTGACATGTCATGTACACTAGACACAACATTGACAAAATAGACACATCTATGACACGACATTGACACGTGAAACAATCAATAGACACGTTATAGACTCATAACCGACACATTGGACATGACAATGGTACATCAACATCACACCATTGACTTATAAAACACAAAAAGTCACTCAAAACTGACCCCAGATGATAGTGAAGACGTGACATGTTGATCAACAGTGACGAGGTGTGATAAACGTGCTTGTGCTGCATTAAAACTGACATTAGTAAATAGCGCTTATCGTCGAAAGTCACCAGTCTAATGGCATTTGCACGCTTTGATTGACAAAGGAAACAGACATTTTTAAAAGCTTGCAAAATAAGTTTACAATTACTGTTTGTGTTCAAAACTTTTTTTTACCGTTTACCGTTCTAACACTCATTATTATTGTTTGATTGATAAATGATATACCAGAAGTGTAAAAGATGTAAGCCACAGGTTTGTAATTAATGTAAACAAGATTCTAGGAGTTTTTTTTATATGTGTATCATACATAATATTATGATTTTTTTATCTCAATTTCCCAAATAATCCGTTAGCAGTAGCATCAAACCCACTGCATTACTCTAAACAATCCTATATTGAGGTCTTATTATTATCATAAAATTTAAGCTCCAAGCATAGAGCTAAAGTTATCTTTAACCATAATTATATATATATATTAATCCAGAATTCAACAATAGAAATGCTAGTAATATGCTTATTAATTCTGAAGGTAGCTTTGCTGGGACACACAAGATACTGAATAAATATGTTGATAATAAGGTTAAGTACTTTAAAGTTGAATGCTTGATGGCTTACCTTCTTGTGCAGAGTCACTCCGAATTGTTTTAGATTTTATAAAACACTGGTATTAATACATGCACAATTATGGGTAATTTCGTTTTCAAACGAAAATGTAAGGATTTAATATACATGTACTACATTATCACACAAAAATCAAGCAATTAAAATGGGATCCAACAAATCACAGCCATCACAACATAAGGATATGAATCACTATGTAATACACATCACAATACATTCCTGCTGGACACTCAAGTGACTAGTCTGGCAGAAAATGGTAAGTCTATCATCCACTCTGATCTAGACTATCATCCACTCTGATCTAGACTCTCATCCACTCTGATCTAGCCTATCATCCACTCTGATCTAGACTTTCATCCACTCTGATCTAGACTCTCATCCACTCTGATCTAGACTCTCATCCACTCTGATCTAGACTATCATCCACTCTGATCTAGTCTATCATCCACTCTGATCTAGACTTTCATCCACTCTTATCTAGACTATCATCCACTCTGATCTAGACTATCATCCACTCTGATCTGGACTATCATCTACTCTGATCTAGACTATCATCCACTCTGATCTAGACTATCATCCACTCTGATTTAGACTATCAGTCGCTACAGTCATGTATAAACAAAATCCTGTGTTTGTGACTGGTATAGGTACCACTTCAGGTTTAATAAGTTTCCAGTATTCATGTTTTTGCTGCAGGATATACAAAGCGTTTAAACACTATTGTCATTCTAAAGGTTTGTTTGAACTTAATTAACTTGCCATGGAGTCAAAATTTAATTGAATCACCTGATTTAGAATTCAGTGGCATCAGTAAACTCACTATATTAGGAACATCTTTACCTTCTGTCTTCAATGATTTTATATTATTTAAAAAACTTTAGTGTGATCACTTTTTGAGTTAGCCTATTTGTTGATTGTTTCGTGATGAGTTTTTCTTTAGTTTGTGACTTATGTGTAGTGAGTGAACCTAACAGTTGAGTCGTAAGCTGGAGCAATGTTTTATGATTAAGATGTAGTTTTGTGTTTATGACGTATTTTTGTGTGATTATGATGTGGTTTTGTGATTAATTATTGCGCTGTGAGTTAGTGTGACAATCGTGTGGTGAACAGTGAGTGTGGTTTAGCAGGACACAACAAACACAGCACACAGTGTACCATGTAGAGGCTGGGATTTCTCATCGCCTCCACCTTCTGTTTCAAGGTCTTCGCCTTAGCCATACGCTGGAACCACACATGGACACACAACAGTGAATAATATAGAACATTACTCCAGCTCATCGATGTCTCTATCCCATAATACAGCACTTTTGTCATTAAATTTTATGTTTTTAATACTGGAACATACATATACTACAGTGCTGTTCAGGGTCCTTCCTAATCCTGATGCACTGTTTGGGTATTTCATTGGCCACTCTGAGCATTAAATGAATTATAAAGACAAATCTAGAAAAAAATATGAGATAAGAAAAAGAAAATTATGTGACAGAAGTTCAAGTGAAAACAATCTGGCATAATACTCATAAAGCAAAGAGCTCATAGACAATGATACTATTAAGATAAAAAAACATCAAAAATGTCATCATCAGGAAATTCAATTATATGTGACCTAACCACTTCAGTGAATGTAGAATGGTCAACTATATAGCTGGTCAACACCTATTACTAAACACACAATGTGAAAACAAGTGAAAGTGAAAGTCAACATGAAAAATGGTGAATGCTTGTAAATCTTCAGTGACTGTAAATCATTGCTGAATACTAGCAAATCTTTGTGAATATTGTAAATATTAGTGACTATTTGTAAAATGTAAGTGAATGGTAACTATAATAGTAAGGAGACTGACAATGAATTAGAAATGTACAACATATAACACTTTCATCTCTCTGATACTGATTGTATTAGGCCACAACTAAAAATAACTTTGTTTAGTGAAACTCGACCCAACATCAACCGACAGGAAAGGAAGGTATTGTTTGGAAAATGTTGTCTTACTGATAATGTTAGAGTAAAAAGCAAAAAAGTAGTGGGAAAACAAAATTAATCCCAAAGGAATCGAAACAAATTATGGATGGGGTCGGTAGGGTTACATTAGACAAACTGATTTTTAATGTTGGCCTTAGACCTGAGACACAGTCACCTCTCTGACGACTGTATATCAGACAAGAACAATACTGGAGGGAGCTAATTACAGGTAAGTGACCACTACAATGATCACTACACTGACCACTGTCCAGCAACATTCTGGATAGGGTTCACATTGGGGTGGGGCTCACATTACATTAGACAAGTGTGTGAATGGTTCATCAGGTGAGATATGGAAAATAAAAACGTATCACTCACATTCTGACCCTTGATATTGTAAAATAGAAACCAGGAAATGTATATCAATGATTGTCCTAATACACAGTCATCACAGAGCACAATGTGTCAGGCATTCAAATATCCTCCCAAAACTTAACGAGTTGTCTCCCTTCAACTTCACCTCTACATGAATGGTATTCTTAATCCTTCACTGCTGGCTGAAGTCTCAAGTATGATCTGAATGCCTTGGGTGATATGAGGAACATTTTAACAGAAAACATAATTGTTACCATGCAGTGAACATGAAGATAACTTTGTAATTTTGTCTCAGAGAAATGTCCATCTTTGTGAGAAACACGTACTGAAAACATAACTTCTGGAGTTACGTCTCTTTACCTGGAATGTATCCTCCAGTAGTTTGGTCATCAGTGGTGTCTGGGTGTTTACAAACTCTGAAGCGTCTTGCATTTGGAGCATGAATGCCTCTCCCGCGGCAGAAACATTCTCCTCGTTCTTCTCTTCTTCCGGAGTCAGCTGGCGATATCCCATTCTTATTACCTACAACAAACATCAGGGTTAAAGTTCATCCAGGATTCATTTTCATCCAGGATTCAATATCATCCAGTTAAATTTCAGTTGTAAATATTCTAGTTCAAGGTTGGTTATTATTATAATTCAAAGTCAGTTGTCCATAGCCAAGTTCAAGGTCAGTTATCCATAGCCAAGTTCAAGGTCAGTTGTCCATAACCAAGTTCAAGGTCAGTTGTCCATAGCCAAGTTCAAGGTCAGTTGTCAATAACCAAGTTCAAGGTCAGTTATCCATAGCTAAGTTCAAGGTCAGTTGTCCATAGCCAAGTTCAGGGTCAGTTGCCCATAGCCAAGTTCATGGTCGGTTTTCCATAGCCAAGTTCAGGGTCAGTTGCCCATAGACAAGTTCATGGTCGGTTTTCCATAGCCAAGTTCGTGGTATGTTGTTCATAGCCAATTTTAATGCAGATTTTCATACAATGTTCAAAGTAAATTTTCACCAGTAAGTTCAGACATTTGTCCATACATAGATTCAATCTCAGAAGTCCGATCCATAGCCAAGTTCATGGTGACCCTTCTCCATAGCCAAGTTCAAGGTGACCCTTCTTCATAGCCAAGTTCAAGGTGACCCTTCTCCATAGCCAAATATATATCAACCAAGATCTACTTCATCTGACAAACAATAACTGAAGGTTTTTATCAATAGATAGTACACCTGACATCTGCTAAAATAGTATTTTCAAATTTGTATTTCATAACATGTTTATAAAACTACAATATTTATATCCAGAATCTAAGCCTTGAATTACCAATATACCCATAGACAAGTCTCAGGTGAACAGGAACAAAGCACAGTTCCACCTGGAGAGCTTTAACTTTCTGATCTTTATCTGTACAACATTTGTTTTACCTCAAACAAAGATTTGATGTACTCCATTCTTTGTTGGTACTGGGGAGCATTCTTCTTGTAAATGGTGAAGTTCTTGGCAAATCTGGCAAATGCATCCACAGAAGCTCGTTTGTCCTTCATGTTCTGCAAAAGCACCAGAGATACATGCAGTGGGTCCCAAGAAGTCCCAAGAGGTACTTAGTTTAGAAAACAAGGTTACAGAGGGGAATACCTTAATTCAAAACAGGCTATACGCATTGAAACAGAAAAACAAGCTTTTGGAATCATAAACAATTGCCAGTAATACAGCTGAAAATTGAATCGATGATAAATGTCTTCTTTAATCTTACCGTTTTATAATTTAACAACTATACTCTAAAAAGAATAAAGATTATGATAGCTTTTGACATTGAATTCTGGATTATGTAAGCCTCAATTCCAGATTCACAATAACAGATTTCTCACACCCTAGTCTTATTTCTACACTACAGCCTATATATTGCTTATTGTCTTTCATAAACCTCCCTAGTCTAGCCTTCAGAACCCCTTGTCTTTTGTACACGCCCCACATCCATTTATTTTCCGCCAAGAATGTCAAACAACACATTTGAAATAAGAACAGATGTAAACCCTCCTTTACACTAAAACTACGCCCTGCCCTGAGTCACCTATGATTCGTGTGAGCCCCAGTGAACACATTGACACACACCTGTAGGACCTCCTCCATCTCCTCACAGAAACTAGTGGCCAACATCTTAGCTTCCTCGGCTACAAAGGTCACCACCTCCTGGTAGATGTCATTGAGTCGAGGGAGAAGCACTTCATGAATGGCCATACAGTCGATGTAGAACAGGTTGTTCTCCGTGGAGAAACTCTTGTCAAAGTTTCGGATTCTTTCAGACCATTGCCGTAGCTCTGTCAGCCTTTGCTGTTGTAAAAATTAAGTGACTAGGATAAATTTCTGGAGTTAAAGGTTTCCAGAGAGTTGGAGCAGGAACTCCTGGGGTCAACTTTTTAATGTGCAAATGCTCAGTTAGTGATTCCAGGTACTCACAATTTTGTACCTTGTTTTATTTCTACTGACTATCAGTGTTATTTGATTTGTAGCAAACACTGATCAACATGATGTAGCAGGTTGAAATGACATGTACTTATTTTCATTCTCAAAAGCACGTCTGTGTTTTACCTCTATAGTGTTCCCGTTATACAATGTTAGAGTAAACCTGACCTTGTGGTGACATCTGTGTTTTACCTTTATATTGTTCCCGTTATGCAATGTGAGAGTAAACCTGACCTTGTTGTGACGTCTGTTTTTACCTTTCTTGTGTTCCCGTTATACAATGTGAGTGCAAACCTGACCTTGTGGTGGTGTCTGTGTTTTACCTTTATATTGTTCCCGTTATACAATGTTAGAGTACACCTGACCTTGTTGTGACGTCTGTTTTTACCTTTATAGGGTTCCCGTTATACAATGTGAGATCAAACCTGACCTTGTGGTGCTGTCTGTGTTTTACCTTTATATTGTTCCCGTTATGCAATGTTAGAGTAAACCTGGCCTTGTTGTGACGTCTGTGTTTTACCTTTATAGGGTTCCCGTTATACAATGTGAGACTAAACCTGACCTTGTGGTGAGGTCTGTGTTTTACCTTTATAGCGTTCCCGTTATACAATGTTATAGTAAACCTGACCTTGTAGTGACGTCTGTGTTTTACCTTTATAGCGTTCCCGTTATACAATGTTAGAGTACACCTGACCTTGTGGTGACGTCTGTGCTTTACCTCTATAGTGTTCCCGCTATACAATGTGAGAGCAAACCTGACCTTGTGGTGATATCTGTGTTTTACCTTTATATTGTTCCCGTTATACAATGTGAGAGTAAGCCTGACCTTGTAGTGACGTCTGTGTTTTACCTTTATGGTGTTCCCGTTATACAATGCTAGAGTAAACCTGACCTTGTTGTGATGTCTGTGTTTTACCTATATAGTGTTCCCGTTATACAATGTTAGAGGAAACCTGACCTTGTGGTGACATCTGTGTTTTACCTTTATATTGTTCCCGTTATACAATGTGAGAGCAACCCTGACCTTGTGGTGACGTCTGTGTGTTACCTCTATAGTGTTGCCGTTATACAATGCTAGAGTAAACCTTACCTTGTAGTGACGTCTGTGTTCTACCGCTATAGTGTTCATGTTATACAATGTTAGAGTAACCCTGACCTTGTTGTGACGTCTGTTTTTACCTTTATAGTGTTACCGTTATACAATGTGAGAGCAACCCTGACCTTGTGGTGACGTCTGTGCTTTACCTCTATAGTGTTCCGGTTATACAATGTTAGAGTAAGCCTGACCTTGTAGTGACGTCTGTGTTCTACCGCTATAGTGTTCATGTTATACAATGTTAGAGTAAACCTACCCTTGAGGTGACGTCTGTGTTTTACCTTTATAGCGTTCCCGTTATACAATGTTAGAGGAAACCTGACCTTGTGGTGATATCTATGTTTTACCTTTATAGTGTTCCCGCTATACAATGTGAGAGCAAACCTGGCCTTGTGGTGACGTCTGTGCTTTACCTCTATAGTGTTCCGGTTATACAATGTTAGAGTAACCCTGACCTTGTTGTGACGTCTGTTTTTACCTTTATTATGGTAACGTTATACAATGTGAGAGTAAGCCTGACCTTGTAGTGACGTCTGTGTTCTACCGCTATAGTGTTCATGTTATACAATGTTAGAGTAACCCTGACCTTGTTGTGACGTCTGTTTTTACCTTTATAGGGTTCCCGTTATACATTGTGAGAGTAAACCTGACCTTGTTGTGAGGTCTGTTTTTACCTTTATAGTGTTACCGTTATACAATGTGAGAGCAAACCTGACATTGTGGTGATGTCTGTGTTTTACTTTTATAGTGTTCCCGTTATGCAATGTTAGAGGAAACCTGACCTTGTTGTGATGTCTGTGTTTTACCTATATAGTGTTCCCGTTATACAATTATAGAGTAAACCTGACCTTGGAGTGACGTCTGTGTTTTACCTTTATGGTGTTCCCGTTATGCAATGTTAGAGGAAACCTGACCTTGTGGTGAGGTCTGTGTTTTACCTTTATAGCGTTCCCGTTATACAATGTGAGAGCAGACCTGACCTTGTGGTGATGCCTGTGTTTTACCTTTATAGCGTTCCCGTTATACAATGTTAGAGTAACCCTGACCTTGTTGTGACGTCTGTGTTTTACCTTTATATTGTTCCCGTTATACAATGTTAGAGAAAACCTGACCTTGTGGTGATGCCTGTGTTTTACCTTTATAGGGTTCCCGTTATACACAGTTAGAGTAAACCTGACCTTTTGGTGACGTCTGTGTTTTATCTTTATAGTGTTCCCGTTATACAATGTTAGAGTAAACCTGACTAGTCTGACCTTGTTCTATATCGCCTGCTTGTTGGTCTGGAGTCAAATCACTTCTTTAAGCAAGAGCTCAATCTTCTGAGTCAAGTGATTTCTCACAGATTCCATGTCAAGCTGAATATTACCATTATCATAGCTTCTCTGATTTTTCGAGTCACGTTGCTTCTCCAGGGTCTACCGAGTCAAGCTTACTTCTCATAAAGTCAGAGTCAAGCTGATTTAGCATGTTACTGCACAGTGCTTCTCTGTTTTTTCTCAGAGTCAAGCCTATTGTTATTTTGGTTAATGAGTGAGTAGCCCCATGTACGCCAAAGAAATAACGTTTATATTTCGTTTGTGGTTTATAGTCTTCGGACTATCGTTAATAAACATCTTAACTGTTTCCTTGATTCTTTTAGTTATGTATAAACTCTATAGTGTTCCCGTTATACAATGTTAGAGTAAACCTGACCTTGTGGTGACGTCTGTTTTTTTACCTCTATAGTGTAGGCAGCCATCCCTTTGAATTCTTTCAGTGACTTGTCGTTCCATTTCTTACAGAAGAGGTGTATGGGATTGATCCATGAGGCCCTCTCACAGTACTGATCTATCTCCTCTAGGCCCGCACAAATGATCTTACTGTGGTCCTCAAGGGCCAGCTGGTACTCCGTACTGTAACACAACATGTTATCATATCATTTTAGTAAATAAATAAATGAAGACAAACTTTAATGAGAAATATATCTCATGAATGAATGTTTTACCTTTTTTGTCCTACATATATATACATATCCAGTGGGACCAGACTGTTGATATAGATTTACATACCATATAGTTTTCCTGATTACTGAGGTTAGAGTATTACAACATTGTCACTCACTCATTTTGTGGTGGGACAGAGATGAGGGTCTGCTTTACAAAGGTGTCTGGATTACCGAGGGTCCGGATCATACATGTATTTGGATTATCACAATACATTGTACATCTCCAGGACACATGCAGGCATACACACATAGGGAGATATTAGCCAGGTGGCATAGGACTAGTAGCAAGCACCTGTTAAGGCAGTTCCTGTGAATTCCTCAAAATTTTTATTGATTAATGTATACGTTGTTTATCTATGTACTGTAAAACGCTTAAGAGTGGCTTATTCTAGCTAGATAGGGTGCTATATCAAATAATATATTGTATATTATTATTATTGTTATTGAGGTATTACAATGTTACTCACTCCTTGTCCAGCTTATCCTCTAGGTTGGCCTTAGACAGTGGGTCGTACTGCCCCATAAACCCCTCCCCCATCACCACCAGTCGTCCTTCGTCAGCCCGATTCACAAGGTCAGGTGTCGCGACCCCCATTATATCTTCTTCTTTGGTCATTGTCTCTGTAACAACCAATCACAAATCATAACTCCTAGTCTCCATAACAAAACTGTACAACCAATTACAGACCACAACTCCTAATCTCCATAGCAACATACAAGTATATATTCACTAGTTAGTACAGGGAATCAGTTCAATATACAAGAATCTATTCAACCTTCAACATCAACCAATGATGAAAGTAAGGTATCAATTTGAGGTATTAATCTAACATAGACTTACCCTGACGGGGGAGGTCAGGTAATGGTACCCCATCATCCCCAAGAACTGACTTGGACATGCCTACTTGAGACTCAACATCGGTTGCCTCTCCTGTGGTTGTCTCCCCTGCAGTTGTCTCCCCTGCTGGCGTTGCCTGGGATGACATTGCTTTATCTCGGTCACCAAGGTTACAGTGACTGTCTTGCTTCAGAGAACTTTTTGCTGTACTTTTCCTCCTCTCAGGTGCGATCCTAGAGAGAACAGTGCCAGGCCAGTATTATCATTTTACTAATACATTTCAACTTAGATATACACATGCATGTGAGGAAACACGATTAATATCTTTAAAAACAAAGTTTACAAGACTCTATCACCTGACTTGGTAGTGCTACACTACTTACCTAACATTGTCCACAGACTTGGCTGCATCAGATTTAGTTGGAGCAGATGACTCTGTGTCGTCTCCTAGAATGTCCTGATCAGGGGGTACTGACCCGTCGATGGGAATGGCATTACTGGTGAGCACGTTGGGGATCCCCTTCAATGTGCTGGCCAAGACCTTAATGAACCGGTCAGAAGGTGGGGACAACCCTAACACATCTGAAACAGGAATAAATCAGTATGATAACTATACATCATTACAACAGACAGTTGGCTTCCCGGATCTTCTTAACATCAACACACAGTTCAGTGAAGGTGGTGTGTATAATGTACGATAGAAACAAAACAAAATATTTATTTCCAGCTATTTTCCTCTATGTACACATTGTCTTGAAGTTTGTACTGTATAGATAATTCAGTGCGACTGTATAACACTCTTGCAAAGGTTGTGTTTTGGCAGCCTTAAAAGAATGTGCCAGATTTAAACTCCAAAATCTTGTCCTTCTGAGAGTAAGTAAGAATTGTTGTGTGAAATTGGAAACCCCACACATTTGTTCCTGAAGCAAAACTGTCAAGCTTTGACCCTGATAAATGAAAGTACTAAAGAACATCACACTTTATATGTCTAGCCTCAATAAGGTACCCTATGATTGTACATGTAGTCAGTTTTATATATGAAAGCAGAAATTAAAATGACCCTCAGGTAATTAAACTACAATTTTTTTCAATACTAGTAAGTGTTATGCTGAAAAAAAGTTTTAATCTTATATCAAGTTTCTAATCAGTGTGGAAATTGTCAAGTCTATAAACTTGTTTCCCCATTCCGTAACTAATACATCATAATAAAACTGTTTTAAGCGAATTGAATAAAAAATAATCTAACATCAGTCATTTATTGATGTTATAGTTACCTTGTTTGGTGAGGATGAGGTTGGCTTTAAAGAATCCCTCCCTGGGCGCCTCGTCGCCGATCTTGAGGACCGAATCCACAAAGGAGATCACCTGGTTCTTACAGATATAAAACATGTGTTCCACGATCACCTGGTCCACAAGCTTCACAAAGTTACCCAGGCGCCTACAACATAACAACCAGGTTATACTCTTGTCTGATGGGCAGGTGGTTGGTTTGGGTAACAACCCCTGTTGACATACTAAGTTCTGTACTCTGTCAATGTCTGAACTTTTCATATTTTCATCTCAGTGCTTTCGTTTCTAACAACCTGTTCTTGAGAATTTCGATTACGCTCAAATGACAACAGTATAAAACAAATGTATGAATTATAAATCTAAGTATAGCATTATATAAAAATCACCTTGAAAATCTGACACCAGAACTCTGATGTTGTTTTTAAGTTCTTTATTACCAGACCCTTAATTACGGAAATGCTATTAATTGGTGTGCAGATTATGATTGCTAGTTCAATTTGGTATGCTTATGATATTTTGACAATGCCAGGTGAGGATAAACAAGATGAATACCAACCCTGTCTCACTCCGTGCTTTACGCAGGTTTTCTGCCCTGTTCTCCTTTTTCACTCTCTGCATGTGGAGCGAGTCCTTTGAGCTAAAATTAACCAACAAAAAATTAATTGTATTTTCCTCCCAACCATACAATGCTTAGAATTTAATGTTTTTAGTTGAGGGTACTTGGCTGTATAGACAGGTTACTCCTGTTATACCCAATGTCATAAAAGGGGATTAATGATACAGTCCACTCTGTTGAAACTGGACTCTGTTCGTTAAGGATTTTTTGTCTATGTCACCCTGGTAAAACACTAGCTGCTTAATTCCTACTGACTCAGCTAGGGAGAATTTTTATTTAGCTCATGCGGTAGAGCCTAAGACTAGTAAACAATAGGTCCTGTGACCTCTGTTACATCTAAACCAACCAAAGAATGTGTAACAAGTGGAATATCTGTAATCTTGAACTCTACGATGCAGCAAAATGATGTGGTCCCACTTGTGTATAGTTTACAAATTTATAGAAAACGCTTTAGCATGTCTTTCACAATTTCCATCCTTCTTTTCGTCATCAATATCTCACCTTTTGTGATTGGATGTCTTTCCAACTGTAGTTAACAGTGACATGTGCAGGTAAGATACCACAACAAAACAATTACTTATATTACTTACAACACCGTCTTTTTCTTCACCTGGTCCTCACAGTATTTCAGTTTTTTGAAGGATTCCTCAGCCGTCACGTCCATCACCATCTTACAGTACCTACACAGGTGAACGTGATGGTTAATAGACTCTACCAGGACAAGTTTAGGGCTTTATAAGAAAGAATGTAACTGCTGTTTGGCACAAGATTTAAATTAATGTATAGCTATTTGGACATGAACGTATTAAACAGATATAGGAATAAAACATACTAAAAGGATGTTAAATTTGCCTAATGACAATTTTGTGAGGCACTAAATAATTGACATTCCAATATTGCATTACATTGTGATAACCATCACCTGTACTTATCATCGGTGTGTTAGAGGTGATTATCAACACAATGTGATAACTCTTGACACAAGATCAAACTGCTCATCATCTTTAGTAAGGATATCTTAGCACAAGACACTTGTTTTTTGTCTGTAATTGACAGACAAGCTAAACATTTTATTGACTCTGTAGGTGTATTGGTATTCATTACCTGAAGAATTTCTCCAGGAACTTTTCTGCTTGTATATTCTTGTAGTTGACATAATTCTCAAAATCAGACAGCTGATATGTTTTGCTGGAAAACAAACAAGAAAAACATTTAGATCAAGGGAAATGAAATGCCCATATTTTTTTCAATAAAAAAGAAATATGGCTCAATAGGAAATTAATTTCAAAGTATTATGTGTCTGGAAGTTGCCAAGAATCGAGATACTGCAGTTCTGTTTTACAGATAAACAAGGTTTTCTATAGTGCTGGAGAGTTAGAACTGGTACTAGTTACTTACTCAACATCAAATGGCAGGAATTTCACAGTAATCAGCTCCTTCAGTAGTCTACAAGACAAAACAAATCCACTCAAATTATCAATGACAAAATTCTTAAGTTTCCATCTTGATATGTGTATGTGTGAAGATTCATGAATTCGAAAAACGTGAAATATGTATAAAATAAAACATTGTCAGTAATCAACAAGATTAAGACAAGTTAATATGTTAATTGTTTTCTTCTGATGCGAGGATCCAGTTACTGAGCTAATTATAATGACATGCTACCTGGTTACTGACACTTAAGTCTAATAACCTATTGATATTTTAAATGAAAATAAAACAGATGTACCTGATACTAAAATCTGTTTCCTGTTGGTACTCTTTTATAAAAAAAGACTATCTGTACTCATCTGATATTGTTTTTATTGCTGTTTGATTTGGAAAAAAAATGTAATGGTACCTGGAGACCTGTAGTAAGGCAGCACCAAATGCTGGTACAGCAGGTAACAGGTTAGCGGTGAGGTTGTCCTGTCGTCTCAGGAAGTCCAGGTATCTTTTGTTGTATCGCCACCTGTACAGGTTGCAGATCAGTATTCAGTAATGTCAGTAACTTCTAATAATATTTCCAATCTGTCCTCTCTACACTTTCAGTATGATAATTTAAAAGGGTTTCAATGACATTGTTTTCTTGTTTTACTTTTTACAAGGATACATTTGCTATAATTGTTGCAATATGATCGATATTCAAATACAGATGTCATGCTAGACTTACTTGCAGAACATTTTCCTGATGAGGAACTGTTTGAAGAAAGGGATGGATGACACAGCTGACCACAGTACAGCCTCTCGCTGCCACTCAGCCAAACTGAGGCTCTCGCTCGGCTGGTCTTGATAAACATGTAGGACACCGAATGTGGAGAACACATAGTGTTCAGGGTTAGCCTGTAATATCACCAGACAACTTGTGAACATTGTCTCCAGGAAATTATTGCTCTTATAGTCAATAGTCAATTCATGAAACAAGAATCAATCCAGGCTCTCAAAGTCAACATAGAAAAACAAGGTCTCACGAAAACGACTTCAGTACTTGGAGTAGCTCTAAGTACTTAGTACTATACTCAATGAAAAATACTTCTGAATGTAAATTTAATACAAACTGCTTCCTTATTAATCATGAGTATCTGTGATTCAAAATATTATTTAGCAACAGGTGCTAGACTACTAGATTCCATGGTTCCATGAAGCAATTTTGCTATTATATTTTTACATTGTAAATGCCTTGGCATTGAAACACAAAAGAGTTGATCTCCATCAACTGAGAACACAAAACTCAGTGTTACCGGTCATGTCTAAAGTGCTACCACTAACCTTGTTCTTTGGAGCAGAGCGCAGGTCGTAGGGGCGGTAGTGACGATTCTCCACCTTGTTGAAGTAAATGGACTGTATTTTGCCAATATGGTGGAGTTTGGCAAAGTATTCTACAGCTTCCCTGCCCGTCATATCTATCACCTTCTCCTCCTAATCAACAACAGACGTACACTTACTCTACAGATTTTGTGGGTTTTACACTAATTTTTATCAATTATATGGATAGAAACCAACACATTGCTGCCACAGGTAAATACAATGTTTATACAGTATCAACATATTCCTATACACAAGAGTCTTAGCAGAGATAATACATGTCTTAATACCTGTATACGGGGCGTCTTGCTGTCCTTCTGACTGCCCGACAGCGAGGAGACAGAACTGCGAGTAGTTGGTCTGTTTGCAGCAGAAGCATGCACTTCATTCTTCATCTGTAACACAGCAAACACAAATATATTTTCTCTTCTTTTCAAACTTATAATCCCTGATAACAGTTATACTAATGTTCAATATCATTTAAATGAAGATATCCACTTTTACATAATACAACATCTTTAATTAATATTTCCAACAATAATTATATTTAAAACTTCATTAAAAAACATCAACTCCTTACACATTAAACAAGAGATCTATAGGGCCTGTACAATTCACATAGAAACTTGAACAGGAGTTGGTAGAAATGTGGGTCAAACTAACTTACTTATAGCCCTCTACCCCAAATAGCTACAGACTAAATACCATAAATATGAGGTGGGAGAGAACTGGCTGTTTCACCAGAATTATTCACAACATCCTTTGTAAGTTTTGTGAGACTCCTGCCCAGATCATGAGTTTGTATGTATGTATAATGACTGACACTACAGTTTGGTGGCACTTTCATGTTGCAATATCTGGCATCAGCTACTTTTTTAAACATAAGCAGATATATGACTTGTTTATTTTGGACAATACCTCATCTGGCGGGTCAAGGAAATCTGTGGCAAGTGCCGTGGTGACTGTCCCAAAATGGTGGCTCCATATAGACTCTCCTGTAAAATAAGCAATATTACTTAAACAAACTCTATAATGTACACAACAGTCATTACTGGTTAGCTTGAAATACTGTTCTGATTTCACTAGTAGTCTCTATTATTCTTCTTCTGTATCGATTGACAAAGAGTGTATATGATAATGTTTAGCAACTTTCGTCAACAACCATCCGAAATTGATAATTTCAAAATGACCAGTAGGATGAACTATGAGTCTCAAAAATTGTTTCAGTTAGGGTTTATCTATCTAAAACTGTTAAAAGACATAGTTAACTTACTTGCAGCCATTTCCATTGCTACTCCAGCAATAGAGCTCCTCAGATCACCAATGGTCAAAGGTTTTGTAAGCAATATGGGTTCATCTTCTCTCTGAAACACATGTATCATCAAATATCACAACAGTAATCAATGTCACTTGTTAAATGGCTGTTTTGGGAACAGTCAAAATTTATTGTCCATTAAACAGTTTACTTTTTCACCTTTTAAGAGGAAAAGTTTAAAACATAAAGACCATGTTTTATTGACAGTATACAGTCATATGTCTTCATATTCAGCCTGACTTACCGGCAGTACAGGATTGTACGGGTTTGTGTTGTCTGGTAGTAACATGGCCTGGCGAGGTGTGTGGGCAGACTTTTTAGGTGACACAGCGCTCAGCTTAACCACGGACACACCGTAGTTGTTGGCCGGTCTGGATCCATAATGGTTCACTTTACTCACCTCCTGATTATAGAAACATAACTTTAAAACGGAGGAAAAGCAAAAGGATTGTCAACAGGTGTAAAGGGTCTGTCACACCATAACGTTCTGGTCAGCGTTCTATGACGTTTGAGGAAACGTTGGTAATCGTCCGTGGTCGCTGGTATAGCGCCAGAAGAGAGTGTGTGAATGCTGGTGAACGCTGGTGATCGTCGGAACGTTAAACTTTAAACGCTGGAGAACGTTCACGTGTTCGGCTGTTGTTAGGCAGTCGTTACCCTAGAGTTACTTGGTTGTTATTAATCTTCATAATCTTTGCTTTGCAGTGAACGACTCAACATGCTAGTCTGTCGTTAGTCAGACGTTAGTCACACGCTCAACAACCTTGTTGACTATCTACGCGCCAGTGACACGTCAGCACACACTAATAGCTTTCAGGGGTGTCTTACTTGGTCGCTGGTACACGCTCCTTATGCGTAAGTCACACGCCAATAATGCACTAATCACACGCCAGATGTGTCCACCTCACCCTAGACCTCTCGAAAATTGAACGATTAAACATTTTTAGAACGTTCAGAGAACGCTGACCAGAACGTTATGGTGTGATGGGCCCTTAAGTAAGGACATGCTGTTTTCTATTTCACAAACAATTGAAATATTCCCTTTTATCTGGTAAAACAGCAGACAATAAACACATTGTAACAGAGACATGCTATGTAATTAGTAAAACAATAAATCAACAAAATCAAATGTCCTTGTAACAGAACATAATAGTCATAGTGTGGTGTTTTCTTTTGTTTCATGCAAAGTAAAATCCCTTGAAACCAAGTATCATCTGTAATAATGTCAGTACCTTTGGGAAGACTTTGGTGAGAGACTCAGAGATCTGTAGATCAAACAGCCTCTCTTTGTGTAGGGCCACGTGTTGTAACACTCGCTCTATGTAGTGAACAATCTGAAAAGGACAAAAATTTGTTACATTTACTAAACAGATGTCAATGTTAGTTAATACGTTGATAATTTATGCATTTCACAATAACTTTTACTAAAACATTCAGTGGATAAAATGTCAGAGTTAGTTTTTTTCTGATTTGTATACTACTTGTAACTGATACAGAGAGAAGTCAAAAGCTATTGGTGGATTCTGTATCTTCTCATTTAATACTAAAAATTCAGCATCCTGTCATTAGTAAATTTAGTATCCTCTTATATTTTAGTGATGCATATATTAGTTTTCTGAATTTTATTATAAGTTTGTATTTTTATTCATTTTTAAATAACATTTGTTACTTATAAATGGGTGGAAAGTGATTTTTTGTCATGATAATAAATTTGGAGATTGTTGTGATAAAAAGAAATCCTCAGAACTGTGCGTGAATAAAAAAGTAACCCGTTATATTTATAAGGGTGTTTAAGGGAGCCTTGTTATATGTAGGATTTACCTCTGGTTTGATTTCTGGATAATCTAAGGACTCCTTCAGAGGCTCCAGTAAACACAACACCTCATGGAGGAATACCCAGGCAGACCGGCTGTAATCAGTAAAGTATACGTATTCAACAAGAAACAAGAAATTATAACTCTACAAGAATAACAACACAATCTTTCTTGTTCAGTCAGATATTTATCATTCACATACCTGACAAAATTCAAACTACAACAGTACATTTTTTACCTCAGAAACATAAAATTTAGGTTGCTACTTGTGTAACACTGCATTGTACAGTGTTTTGGAATGTCAGACTGGAATGTTTTATGACACACTCGACCAACCTGTCCTGTTGGAGTGCTGTGATGAGGACAGCGATCAGTTCTTTCTTCAGTATCCTTACATCTTCCTCAAGTTGATCTCCACTTTTTAACCTATGAAGAACGAGAACATTTCATTGTGTTTAACATTACTTCAACAAACATTAACAGGTGACACTTGTACATGTATATATAATAACACAGCATCCATGCACTTATACTCACATATTCATTCAGTGATGAATTTAGCATAGTACAATCACACATGGGTCAAATGTCTATAATTCATAGCACATTAATCAGGGACACAAGCTAGGCTGAAAAACATTGTTTAGGACAGATTTTTGAAAGTTCTTTGTAAAAACAAGTTATATAAATAATTTTTGCTTGCCTAGATGGAAGCATGCAGAGTGTGAGAAAACTAGACTATTCAGGTCAGGCAAATAACCTATAACACCTTTCCACGTTTGATCAGGGAATCAAACCTTAGCCGTTTAGAATTAGGGAACATGACTAAGGTCCATCGCTTTGACTTGTTTGTATGTGGGATGCTTATGCCAGTATGGGGAGAAAAAGGTAGACTTTATCTTACCTTTGACGAACCTCCTGTGCCCACTGTGCTGCTCTGTGACGAGGAGAGGGGGCTGGGGAGGTCTGGGAGGGTGCCACCAGACTGGTCTGTCCATCCCGCAGTAGTGGCAGACTGGACGTCTGGTCTAGAGACTGTTCCAGCTTGGCAGCCATAGTCAGCACTTATCACCGGTCAGCAGACATCTTGCTACCTATTAGACATATATAGGGACTCATGATATAGTTATGTAACAGGTTGTACTCAATGCACTAGGTCAGCATGTTTACTTGCAATGGCACGAGTATTTCCAATAACTCAAGCCACCCTGGGTGTCATATACACACGCACCCATAACCTTCCCACCTCACTCTGCACTGTGCTGCCGTCGGAGCAGGACGGACCTTTCCAGGCCTATGGTAAGTCATTATAATTATAGTAGAAATGTGTAAATGTACATTAGCACAGTCCAATATAATATAATATAATACTGTATCTGTATAATAACGTCGAAGCTTATGAAGCGAAATTAAATAGTGTAGATATCTATCATCTATGATGTTAGTTTCGTACTTAGTTCGACTCATATATTTTATTACTGATATATAGTATTTTATGTTTATCTACTGGACAAGTAATAAACACCAATGAACTCAAATCTTGTGCTCGTTATAATTGAGAGGAGCGAGTGACTTTACAATCAAAGTGGGGGAGCCATATGTCACCCTGGTATAATACTATAGCTGTTTCCTGCCGTCTGGGCTAGAGAGAATTTCTCTTTAGCTCATTCGGTAGAGCGTAAGACTAGTAAACCAGAGGTCCCGGATTGGAGTCCTAGCGGAGGCATTAAAAAATAAAGACCTTTGTTACATTGGCGCCCATGTTGGGACCCGGTTGATATTGACAAATATACTCAGCGGTACTTTTACAGATATATATAACAAACGTGCATTATGCTTTCATCCAATGCATGTAGGTACTGGAGCACTGGCAAATCTGGCTATAGCTAAATTTGGGTATCAAATATGACTATACGTATATACTAATATAGGGCGAATGTAAACAAACATGCCAGTACTGGTCGTATTTATCTCATGCACATCGATTGTAGTGTTATATATTATATTATATATGTATAGTCATTTTGACTATATAGCCCAATCTAGCTAGATTCGCCGGTGCTCCAGTGGCAGTACCTGGTATTGAAAAGCCTATTTATTACAATAGGTACATTCATACAAGGTTTTTGAGTTGAGTTTGGTGTAGTTTTTAACCTTTTAAATGCAACCTCCTCCCTCAAGTCCTTGTGGATCTTTCATCCATCAAATGATACACGGATAGACAGAAAATCAACAAACCATGCTTTTAAAAATAACATACCAATGTTTTCACAAAGGTAAACACCCCATTGAATTTGTTCAATATTTTGTTGTCATGTTGTTTAAACATAACATCACTAGCCACTATATCCCTACTGAATTCGGCACATGTCAATGACATCGTATATGTGTATATAAAGTCATAATCATTTCAATACGTGTGTGTTTCTGGTCATCACCCCAGACTGTCAGAATCAGCAGGTGCGCATCAGAAGACCTTTGGCTTTACGATGTATAAACTTACGACCTTTTGTTTTATATAAAACCATATCACGGTAAATTACATAATCTATTTACTTCAGATAATGGTATGCTATACTCACATTTGAAACGGCGACTCTATGGATATTTAAAATGCACTTTTAGCGCACTAATCGATACGCTGAGTTCTAAAAGTTTGTTGTTGCCAGGTCGCCATTTTCGAATCCTGCTAGGGCCGAGGTGAATATTTTGTACGGCTCATAAAATTAATAAAAAAATATATAAATGTAAATGGATGTATCAGTATACCTGAGCAGAGTTAATGTGAACAAATTTATTCTCTATATTGTTCAAGTGTTTTTTTTATAATATCACTTGGTTTTCCGCGTACGTATGACGTCATAACAGCGGCTCATAGTAATCAACGCAACACCATCGCGCCTCTCACATTGACGGACACCCTTTTCGGGAGACAACTTTCGCGTACAATAGCTTTGCTGTATTGATATAAAAGGTTGGAATAAATGTTAAAAATTCATGTTTCGCTTTAAACTAGATACAGAAAATGGTAGATTTACGGGTCTAATTTAATTAGCTCACTGAGGATTTCTAGGATCAGCCTATTTTCACGGTTTGATTTGAAACTAAAAAACTCCCAAGTTTAAGTAAAATTCAAATCTAGAAATAGGCCAAGTTGATAGCTTTATTTATTTTATTTTATTTTAAATTCGGACTTTATTTTTTCATGTTTAAGAGTTTATACTTACCGTCTTGGTCTAAATATTTAGCCTCTATTGCAAATCACGATATATCGATTTAAACGATCACGATTTAATCGATTTAAACGATCACGATTTTATCGATTTAAACGATTTAAACGCATACAAACACATTTCTGCAACAAAGGACACCTACAAATATTCATTCTTTCCACACACAATAACACAATGGAATCTCCTTCCCATAGCAGCAGTACAATGCACAACACTAGATGACTTAAAGGCACACTTACCCTATGCAGTCCTAGAAGCCCTCATCACACGCTAAAATATACGCCAACTTTTATCTTTTATCTATACATTGCACAAAAAATCACAAAAAACCCCAACTTATCACTGTAAATAACCCCCCTTTTCACGCCTCTGTGTTAGTACCCCCGATGGCATAAACATCACAACTGATGGAGCCCATGTACCATAAGAAGAAGGAGAATCAGCCTCTATCTTGATACAAAGTTTAGAGGATTTGAAAAAAAATGGTAAGAACGTCTGCTTTTTTTCTTCTATTTCTTATTTTATTCTCGACCGATAACCTCTCGAACTCGATATCTTATCTAAACATGAATCTGCTAATTATAGACCAATAGTATTACTTAGCACAATTGGTAAAGTTTTTGAACTATTGATTGTAAAATATTTAAACAACTATTTGTAAGATAATTCATTTATATATAAATTCCAATCTGGATTTCAACCTCGTCACTCTACTGTTCATCAAATGATAGAAATTTATCACACTGTATGCGAAATTTTAGAAAAAAGATATCCTACCTGTTTAGTTTTTTGTGATATATCTAAAGCATTCGATCGTGTGTGGCACAAGGGACTGAAAGTGAAACTAGCTAGTACTGGTATATCGGGAAAGTTATTAGCCTGGTTAAGTAATTATGTAATGTAATAGACGACAGCAAGTTTTATTGGTAATGATAAGTCTTCTATTAAAGCTATTAATGCTGGAGTACCTAAAGGCTCAGTACTAGGCCCTTTATTTTATATTTTATATATCAATGATATATCTGATAATCTTGAAAGCTTAACTAAATTATTTGCTGACGATACATCTGTATTTTGTTCTGATGCATCTCCCCAGATTATCGAAACTAAGATAAATAATGATTTGGCAAAAATTCAAAATTTGGCTGAAAGAGATATGGCGGGTTTCTATGCCTATTTCCTCAAAGCTATCTTACGCTAGTGCGCGCATCCAACCGTGTACTGCTATGACGTGTCCTCAGGTAATATCGGAATCCCGTGTCTAAGAATAGATTATTGTAAACAGACCACATATTTGGTATTTCGGCATTATTTGTTGGTGTTTAAGCACTTTATATAATTACTATTGCCAGTTGGAGGGTAAAACAATTCATAAATTTCATCAAAAACAGTGTCTTACCTACAAAGCGTAGCTGTACTGTACACGTGTACAGGGATGTGTTGACATGCTTCGATATAAGTATGTCGCACTAAATAGTAAAGAAATTATTACTAACAAAACTGATAATCAATAGGTATGTTATCAAAATGTAAACAAAATCTTCCATCGATTTAATTAAAACCATCATTGCCTTATTAAGGAAAATGATCACATGCCTAAATATTTAAAAAAAAATTTTTTTAACTGAATGAGGATTCGAACCTGCATCGTTTATTTTCTAGTCGCAAGTAAACTGCGTTACACATTGGCAATTTCAAGCTTATTTAACCCGAGAAACACCGGTCGCAGTTTAGAGAAACTTGATCACCCCTGTTTTTCATTATTTTGAGCACTTTCCCAAAGGAGTACCACTTTTCCGTAATACGATTTGTTTTTGCATATTACATCACGGTCACAAAAAGTGTATTCAAAAGTTGGTCCTCGGATAGGAAAGTGTTGAAAGTATCATTTTAACTCCGGGAAACCCCATCACTTTCATAGATATAGTGTATATGGCTATATTTGCAGTATCATATTAGCAATACCTAATTTCTCAGCAGTTTAAAAATTCATATTCAATTGGTTTTGTGTCTTTTGTATGCATTTTTGCTACACGAAATGTTTTACTCCTTAATTTTTTCCCCCGTTTTCATAAATGCCGACTTAGGGAAATACGGGCAGTTTTCCGCCATACCTCTTTGGCTGGTTAAATTCAACCCTGCAAAAACGAAAGCTTTACTGTTTCTAACTTTGAACTTGAGTATGTTCGATTTAAAATTTAATAACGTTAGTGTTGATTTTGTTGACAATCATAGGCACATTGGAGTAATTTTGGGTGCAAATTGTAAATGGAGTACCCATATTGAAAATATTTGTATAAAGGTATCGAAACAGTGAAGCGTTTTACGTAAATTGAAATTTATTTTGAGTAGAAGAACTTTTAGTAAAATTTATAGATCGTACATTCTTCCTCTATTAGAATACTGTTGTGAGGTATGGGATGGGTGCACTGTCGGTGACGCAAACAAATTAGAAAAACTTCAGCTTGAGGCTGTAAGGATTATCACCGGGTTATCATCTTACTCAAGTAGAGAATCATTGTATTTTGAAACTATCTTACCTCTTTACTTCCTCCTACAGTTTCAGAAAACACACACTATAACCTCCGTATTGCTGAAAGTTACTGTATACGTAATACATAACTTCAATTAACATTTGTCTTTTTTCCCTCCCACAATCCGACTCTGGAACCAGTTAGACCTTAATATAAGACACAGCGTTTCATATACAGCTTTTAAAGATAGTCATCGCAGGCTAAATACATTAGAAGGCTATATATTATCTCCTTGGTGATCGAAAAAGTAATATTTTACACACCAGATTGAGAAATAACTCTAGTACCTTAAACAATCACTTATTTCATGCTAATTTAATAGATTCTCAGCACTGTCAGTGTGGACATCCTATCGAAGATACAAATTACTTCTTTTTTTACTTGTAATAACTATGCGGATCAGATAATTAAACTCTACCGCGAATTGAATGATTTCATTCCACTTAACTTGCAGCTACTACTATACGGTAATAGTGAATTGTCATATCAAGAAAACATCCTAATAGCCAAACAGACGCAGCAATTTATTCTAGATACTAACAATGTTTACCAACAATGTTTACCAACTAATCTCTCTCTCTCTCTTGTGCCCAACTCCCATTGTATATAATAAAATATGTTTAAAAAAATAAAAGACAAAAGTGAACATCTTTATGCGGAATGTAATTGCATTTTAAATACATAACTGTGACCACGGAGATAGATAGCAATCTAGTTCCGTGCTTTGATATCTTCTGCAAAATGTTTTTTTCATAATTATTGAGAAATTATTGTCGTTAACATAAGAGGAAAGGGGACGTCCTTGTCGAATTCCACGTATAATTTCATCATGCACGCCACCGCCTTCATTTTATTATCTCTTTCATATCTACTATAAATATATGATGTTCCTATTGCTTTCAAATGATATTGTACATTTTGAGTAATTAAACGTTTCTTGTAAGGAAAACAAACGCTATTTTCTATATTGGATCATCTATATTGAGTGGGCGGGGCATCTAACAATTTTTCGACGTGTCGGAAGTATTTTTGCGGGAGCTTCAAAACTTGTCACAGTTTGATTGGCTACTGATTTCCTGTCATGTATTCATACACAGAGCTACCAAGTAAATAAATAAAATGGGTGTATACCGCGCGAATGTAAATATTTAGTAGAATGTTGGCTAATGATAATAGACAGAATTAATTGAAAATACCATTTAGCTGTAAACAGACAACATAATGAATGGATATGAGAACTACATTATTGCGGATACTTTTCCGGTTTTCAGTCGGCAAAGTTGTTCGGCCCATGTTTACTACTGAATCGTGTGCTAGTGGAGACCGAAGATGGAAATCAAAAGATATCTCGTTCTGCTCATCGTTGCATCGTTGTTATTTGCTACAAGAGCAGAAGACGACGACGAGGATGAGGATGAGGACGAAGGTATATTTTCAAAAGATTGTCACATTCTGACGATACATGTAATTTGATTCGTTCCATTAGAACCCCCCCCCCCCCCCCCCATTGACTTCAGTTACCGGGACTCGGGAGCTAGGCTCCTGTCGTTGACAATATGATGAGGCAATGTTAGTTTAATAATACGAAACATGAGCGAAGCATCGAAATAGTGATTAGTGATTTTGTTATAAATAAAAATGGAATCGGCATAGATAATAATACGCATGTTGTTTATTTGCCTATGTCACCAAATTGCAAAACATTTTTGTTCACATTTTGTGACATTATTTTCAGTGCTGATTATAAACCCGAGTTTTATCTGACCCTGACACCAGACTAAGACGTTTTGACAGATAGAGAGAAAACTCGAGCTTATATTAGAATTCTCACAAAGATCTCAGATTAAATGTGTACAGTGTCATTTGTCTGGAGTGGTTTACCATCCAATCACCATGCAGAATGAGAAATAAGAAATGCTAGAGTACTTTATATTAACATACATGTGAAACAATGAATGGCCAAATGTGTATTTCGACTCCATATCAAAAGGTCTGTATGTGAATCCATTGAAAAAGTAGCAGTGATATTGTTACATGACCCCCACCCTAGGATCTATAAATATTTTTTTTTTTTTTTTTATAATGACATATATGTATATATCAGTCTTTTTTGGAAAAAATGAGTCCAAAATAATTCTCTTTTTTTTTCAATTTTGTTGATCATGATGGATCACAGAATTAGATTGAAAATGTTGTTAAGAAAATGTGTTGACAGATGAAAGTAAAAGTTTAAAATAAGTAACGACACTTTCCTATATATATAAATATCATTATGCATAGCTGGAGTTTAATGCCACGTACAAAAGGACTAATCTCATTGGTTGACTTTATATTGATTGTTCACAGATGTTGAGAATGGAGGAGGAAATAGTGTTCTGGTGTTAACAACTGAAAACTTTGATGACACTATAGCAGCCCATGATACTGTTTTGGTGGAGTTTTACGCTCCTTGGTAAATATCTAAGCATAACCACATTACTCTGAACATGTATGGATGTAAACACAATATCATTAAGTACACATTTGACCCATTCAAACATACATTCCTTTTTAATTTGTAAAAGTTTTTCATGCATATGAATCACATAATAGCAATTAAATGATGTCACATCAACTTTTCATATGATGTTATAAATACTTGTGATAGACAACTAACAGTTTTTGTTGTTGTTTTAATATCAAATTATCTAAAACTGAACAATGCTCATAAAAAAATCAATTACTATGTGTTGTTAAACTGTATTGCATGGCTATTGTAGGTGTGGCCATTGTAAACAATTGGAGCCTGAATATGCGGCTGCTGCCGAACAACTGTCTCAACATACACCGCCAGTTGTACTAGCCAAAGTTGATGCCACACAGGAATCCGAGCTTGGGGAGAGGTATTTCGCATAAATCTTATGAAATTATTTAGTTGAAATTATCTGGCTGGATAAATGCAAAAGGGTTCAGAAATATGTCGTAACAGGTGTTGATTGGTTTATTTTGTTTCTGAGGATGTGACAGTTACTATTGTATTTAAAATTTTCAATTAAAGTTTTAGATTTAAGTTTTGGAATGTCCCACTTTATAAGATATATGATCGTCAATTCTGTATGTTAATTATGTAAATTTAAGTTTTGGAATGTCCCACTTTAGATATTTGACTGTCAGTTATGTATTTTAAATATCATATGTAAATTAAAGTTTTGGAATGTGCCAATCTGGATATTTATGAATTTTAAGTAATTGTTGTACATTAACTTTGTAGATTTGATGTTTCCGGATATCCCACTCTTAAGTTTTTCAAAGGAGGAGTTGTCAATGAATATGAGGGGCCAAGAGAAAAAGAAGGTAAGTTTGTCATATGATAAAGCCTGTGTGCTTATTTTACTGTTTCTGGAACAGAGTTCCATCATATGTATCCAGAAAGCGAAATTCACTTGAAGGTCATTCAAAAGAACTATTTAAAAGACTACAATCATTTCTTTACGAAAGTTTATTTACATTTAAACATTTTTTTTCTATTTAATTAATTTTTGGTTTATGAAATTATTTTCCATGGGGAAATTGGACCTAAATAAAACCAACTGCCTGTGTGTGAGGTAATGTACCTGTGACCGTATTATATACCTTGTGTGTGACTATATATATCTTGTGTGTTGTAGGTATAGTGAAATACATGAAGGAGAGGGCTTCACCAGACTGGAAGCCGCCTGCAGAAGCTGTAGTGACTGTTACCACGGATACATTCCAGGAATTTATCGACAGCGCTGACCTTGTATTGCTGGAGTTCTATGCTCCATGGTAAGGGATCACTTTGTCACTAAATCCACATCTAACCATTCCAAGGTCTTACCAACTATATCATTATTAACTTATTTAACCCTGGACACACATTTGATCTCTTTCAGATCAAAGGTTGGAATAGTTCATTATGAAGTTTCAGGGGTGAATGAATTAAGCTCTGTGACTCAGCTGTCATTACATAGAATATTTCTTTTCAGTAATATTCTACTGTTTGTATCTAGTCATGAGAACTTATTGGTGGGCTACTCCATAGTGAGGATCACTGTTACCTTTTGTGTAATTAACTCCCCAGCATCATCCTCAGAGACTTAGCAAAGAAGTTATTTGTGTTTTCATGTCTATTGAGTCATTAGAATACAGTAAAATAGACAACAGTAAGAAAACATGATTGAATCCGAAAGATTTGTATATTGAATAGCATTAGGGGAAACAATATAGAATGTATCTATCTTTCTGGGACATCTTTTGTCTGTTCTCCACTTAATTTAGTTTCTGAGATTTTGAGAGTGTGACTGAAAGACAACCAAGTTTCACAATTCTTAACTCATTTGATAGACTTTTGCATATTTATAATACTCAGCAACCAAAATCAAAACTTCTATATCAGTCATATTGTATATGGAAAAACAATGCCTACTGTAAAAGCATAAAGGAAAACTTTTTATTTGTATTCACAACATGGGCTAAGAATTTAAGTTTTGACAAGAATCTTGCTTTTAGGAACTGAAAGAAATGTAATTGAGTGGAAGGAGCGACAACTCTGGGTAGAACTAAGTTTTACACTAAATTCCTTTCTATGACTGTTTTGGTTATAAATCTGTCAATTTATTCTGATTACTAAGGTCACATAGAAGGTATTGTGTAAGTTGGGAGGGTTGATCAGTTGTCGATCGTCGGCAGACTGTAATCTCAGTCTTGTGGCAAGTTACTTGATGTCTCATAGATGAAGTTGTCAAACAAAATCAATACAACATACCTGGGTATTTGACTCTGTAAAACAGGATTTGTTTCTTATGTTTCAAACTTGGAGGTTTTCACAGATACTTAGGAGCAGAAAATTTTCTCTTGAATCTTTAAAGTTTTTACTGTAACATGTTTGGTATATTAAGATAAGAGGTATGAAGATTTTTTGGCATTTTATTCGTACTGAAAACACCTGAGAAATCGAAAGTAAAATAGGTGTTTTTAAAATGCTATTTCATGTTGTGTGTGTTTTAATTTGTTTACAGGTGTGGACATTGCAAAAAGCTGGCTCCAGACTACGAGAAGGCAGCCAAGCGACTGGCAGACATAGATGAGCCTATCTTTCTAGGAAAAGTGGATGCTACAGAAGAAAAAGAGCTAGCTTCACGATTCGATGTGACAGGCTACCCAACCTTGAAAATGTTCAGGAACGGACGAGACTCAGATTACAATGGGGAAAGAGATGTGTCAGGTAAGATACACAGTCTAAAGACGTAGAAATTAATTGAAGTCAATTAAATTAATTTAGTTAAAATTAAATCAAATTGAAATTAAATGATCAGGGCTAGACAATAAGGGTAATTTAATAGTCTGAGACTTGTGAAATCTCCAGCTGGACTAGTGGTTCTAAAGACTGCTGGCCCGATTGACCAGTCCAAATTTGCACATTGACTAGTAAAAATTGGAAGCTGCCACACCGATAGACCAGTGGTATTAAAATTAATTTCTAGCCCTGATGATTAAATTTTTGATAAACTGGAACAGACTAGATTAGTTTTGAGTTTAACTTAAATGAAGCTTGCAACTGAAACGAGGCTTGCATTCAATTTGAATTAAAAATTTATCAAAGTGTCAGCCCTGTTTTGCTATATTTGCAGGAATCATCAATTACATGATGAAGCAGCAGGGTGAGGCGTCAAAGCTCAAACACACAAAAAAAGAGGTGAAACACTACATGCTGGAGGACCAGGTCACCATCATGGGATTCTTTGACAACATGTTTGATCCACTTCTCCGTGTCTACATGGACGCAGGTACTCGGGAAACAATATTACATAAGAAACACATTTCTTAGACTGATTGATTAAAGGTGGTCATGTCCAAGTCAATATATCTGTATGTTGACTTGTTGCTACTTTTATAGAAACAGCAGGTCAATTTTGCTCTATGATTACACATCAACTGTAAGATCGCTATTTTGTCTGCAAAATACAGTATACTTTCTCTGAATAATTTTCTTACTATCTAACTTGTTTAGTGACGAAAAACTGGATCATTTCATATTTGATATATCAATGATCATGATTTTCATTTTATTGAATATGTGGTTATATGGACCTGAAAAGTTATATTGACCTCAACTTGGTCTTGGTCAATATCTCTTTCTCACAGATTTGTGTTACCACATATTCATCTGAACACAATCCAGAATTGAAACTGTCTCATCTGTCATAAATAAATATTGGAGTAGAAGTTGCATCACCTTGAATATATGTACTTACTTGTTAAGTACATTTAGTTACGCTACAGGTTTAGCTACTTGATATTAGTACTAATACTATATTGTAAGCTGTGTGATACATTGTAACTGTACTTCGGTCATAAATCAAAGCTGAAATGTAACTTTCTGAACAGCTAATGACCTGCGAGAGGACTTCACTTTTGGACATTCTGTTTCCAAGGATGTGGGAAACAGCTACAAGGTCAATCCTAAGTCTGTGGTGGTGTTTACTCCGGAGAAATTCTACACCAAGTATGAACCCAAGTGGCACATCTTCAACATGGTGAGACATCCTGTACTGAAGCTTTATACAATACATACTACCTTTAGCTGTGCACTGATGCTATGTTGAGAACCTCTATATTTATGCAGGTAAATCAGGGACTCTTTAGTCAAAAACATCAAAACTTGAGAATGCAAGAAATACAGTTGAGAATTGGTTATTTTCGATAAGATACAACTTAAGTAGGTTAATTTGTAATAGGTGGAGGGAAAGTTTTCAGGAAACCTATAATTTTCCCAGGTAAACAAGCTAGTTTAAGGTGAATTTCTTATAAAGAATTGAGGAATATTATTTTATTAATGTTGGACTGTATTGGCAGGAAGACAAATCTACATAATCAACTCCACAGTATGTCAGCGTATCAGTGTTTGACAGTAAAGTTGTGCTCCCTAGTATGTCGTATGTCGGTGTAATAATGTTGGTCTGTATCGACAGACTGACAGTTTACATATACGTAGGGGTGAATGAGTTAATGTTGGTCTGTATCGACAGACTGACAGTTTAGATATATGTAGGGGTGAATGAGTTAATGTTGGTCTGTATCGACAGACTGACAGTTTAGATATATGTAGGGGTGAATGAGTTAATGTTGGTCTGTATCGACAGACTGACAGTTTAGATATATGTAGGGGTGAATGAGTTAATGTTGGTCTGTATCGACAGACTGACAGTTTAGATATATGTAGGGGTGAATGAGTTAATGTTGGTCTGTATCGACAGACTGACAGTTTAGATATATGTAGGGGTGAATGAGTTAATGTTGGTCTGTATCGACAGACTGACAGTTTAGATATATGTAGGGGTGAATGAGTTAATGTTGGTCTGTATCGACAGACTGACAGTTTAGATATATGTAGGGGTGAATGAGTTAATGTTGGTCTGTATTGGCAGGTTGATGGTACTACTCCAGAGGACGTACAGAAATTTATCCAGGAACACCAACATCCGCTGGTCGGACAGTACACGGCTGAACGCGAGAAACACTTCAAGAATAGACGCCCACTCTGTCTGGTGTTCTATGCTGTAGACTGGAGCTTCGACCACAGAGAAGGTATATGTGTATTAATGGTGAATGAACTATGTTAATATACACTAATTATATATATATGTTGTGTCAACTCAGCATAAAGAATTGATTGAGATATGTTGCCTGAAGATTGCAGGATGAAGAGCTCTCAAGTTGTTAAATATATGACCTTGACCTTTTAGAATAATGACATTTCTAAGTCCCCAGGCCCAATGAGCTATGAAGAATTTTCAAATAGATCTCTATATGATGTTGGCTTTCATTCCTGGTCTAAAGTAATTAAATATTTTATTATGATTCAATTAAATTTCTCAATGATCCAGGAGACATGGATGACAGTGTCTGTATGTGGCTGGGGTGAATAACAAATGATTTGTTCTAATGAATGACTGTGACACACACTTTCATGGTAACATGAATCATGTGTTAAAACATCACAGATCTTATCTAGAATGACTAAATCTGAAAATGTATTAGTGGACCGCTGGATCATGAAGCAATCTTAGACCTAAGTTTTTGCTTAGCCAATCATGTATGGTTTAACTTTTCATAACTCAATTTGTGATTGGTTAAGTAAAAACTTGAGACGGTTTTGAGATGATCTTTGAGCCTGGTGTTTTATCAACATTGTCAAAAGTCACAGGTCAAAGATGTTGAAAACTAAATGTCTTTTCAAGCATTCTGAATCAGCATTAATATATTTTGCAAATACCATTTAATACCAGGTGTTTAATACATAGTTCACTGATTTTCATTTCGTCACCAGTTCAGTCTGTTTATGTCAATGTTTTCCCTTTGTCCTTGATTATATCTACATAGCTAAGTATTGATATAGTTATTCAACATGTTTGTCAAGATGGATGTGACATAGAGGTCCAGTGACATTTGGTCCCTGACTAAGGGCTAAGCCCGAAAGCTTGGAAAAGAGTGACTTACAAGTTCATTAATAAGTATTGATATGTTATGGTTACTCATGTTGATACCATAAAGTTGTTGATGCCATGTTTACCTGTGTTACCATAGCTACTCAGCTGTGGCGGAATCGTGTAGCTGGTGTTGCTGCATCCAACAAAGAGATCTTGTTTGCGGTGGCAGACGAAGATGACAACAAGCGACTTATTTCTGAGTTCCGTCTGGAAGATTCTGGGGAAGAACTAAACATTGGTTGCTATGACAGCAAGAATCGTCGGTACAAGTTGGACGACATGGATGAGTGGGATGATGATGACGTGGAGGAGTTCCTCGGCAAGTTCCGCACAGGTGAGTAGTGACCACGGGATTGTAGGTTTGACCTTCAGATGACTGTAGTTGTTGCAGGAAGACAGAAAGAATCATCATGAACAAACAAAACACATGACTGCTGGCTTGTTGGTGTGACTGACCACAAGCTAGTGTATTTGACCACAGGTCAGTAGGTACAACTGATCACTGTTTAGCGGGTACATCTGAACAGGGCTTAGTGTCAACTTTGAGTCCAAAATACAACAGAAGAGCAGGTTAATTTAAAAGATCAGGTTTATTAAATAATGCCTCAAAACAGAAATGTGGGTTGGGTGTTTTGGTCTAAATATAGATATGGGAAATAACCTAAACATGTTTTGGTAGTTACTCAAGCATTTAAACCTGAAGTGAATCTATAATGATCATTGTTTATGGTTCACGCTTTAGTGAAATTCATGATAGATCATACATCAGAATGTTGACATCTATCTTTTTTGCTCGATTGTTTTGAATGTTTTGAAAAAGCTGTATTATATATCTTGACATGCAGATAAGAATATCAATATTTAGCAGCAGAAATCTGCCTTGGTTGTAATTCCTGACAAGCTGGCCTTAAATCTGTAGGAGAATCTGTTCAACTCTCAGCTGCTGTTTAAGAAAATTTAAGATAAGACAGAGATCCTGCCAGTTATAAGTTATCTAAGTAAATGTTTTGAATTTACAGGAAAATTGCCGCAGATAATCAAATCACAGAAAGTGCCAAAGAAACAGTCGGGTCCAGTGGTGACGGTGGTAGGAAACTCCTTTAAGGATATCGTAATGGACCCAACCAAGGATGTCCTCATCGAACTGTACGCCCCCTGGTGTGGACACTGTAAGTCACTCACACCCAAGTACAACGAGCTTGCTAAGCGTTTCAAGAATGAGAAGAATCTTGTGATTGCCAAAATGGATGCAACAGCAAACGAGGCTCCAGAGGCGTACCGTGTTGGAGGTTTCCCTACGATCTACTGGGCCCCTGCCAACAACAAGGAAAACCCTATTCAATATGATCGCCAACGTGAGACCGACGACTTCGAAAAGTTCATCAAAGAAAAAGCAACAGTTTCATTTGGGAAAGGACTGAAAGAGGAACTTTAATATCATATACCTAAGACTAAATTCTAACTCGGGAGTAGAATGCTTTTGATATACTTTTGGAGAAAAAAAGCCCAAGATTTACTGAAATGAATTTCAGATTTTTTTTGTAAAGAAAATAGCGTTATAATGCAACATCATTTAGACTTATCCGACTTTCCTTTTATCCTTCTTAATTGCTTTATTAAGAGAAATTTTACATAGTAAAAGACTAATGTATGGTATTATTTGATTAAACAATATATTTATAATAAATATATTTCTATTAGATTGAGACTGCAGCTTAGGTGTGGGGAGACTTATCTGGATATTTTGTAGATTTTTTAAGATACACATTTATTTAAACTTTCTGTAAAAGATGATTTATAAAAGTTGTATTTACATGACATATTCTTGGTGCAGGTCTACTGTGAACATGTTGATTCCTTGTCATAGAAAGGTTTTATGTGAGCATGGGAAAACGTCTGAAAATACAAATTGTCAAAGTGGATGTAAGTATTAAAGGGTGGAATCAAAAAAGGTTACTGGCCCAATGGTCCAGTTGAAGTAAAAATGCACAGGTCCTGTTTGAGCACCAAAGGAGGGTCTGGGGAAATATTTTCAAATTTGCTGATGTTTTAGAAAATTTACAAAACATTTACTGGCCCGGAGGGATAGCTTGTTGAAAAACCTACTGGTCCACCCAGAAAACCATGGGCCAGTGGACCAGTAGTTAATTCCACCCCTGTGTATATTTCTTATCTGTGTCTGCGTTTGGTGAACATTGTGGGTATTAGGCCTCCATTTTCTTTTGTTTGTAGAAGGCATCTATTTTTCCTCAGAGTGTGTGTGTAATTTGTGTTGATAGGAGGCGCCAATGTTTTGTGTGCGTGTGTGTGTAATTTGGGTGAAGATACATGTCTGTGTGGTTGTAAATGGGAAGGTATGTCAGTGTCCTTGAAGTATTTTACATTGTTGGTCAAAAGTTGACATGATGATCGTGTATGGTCACACATTGTTTTAACTGATTGCTGTGAGTGCTAAAGGAAGCCTTTTATGTATGAATTGTGCAGCATTAGAAAGTTATAGAGATATTAAGTGGATACAATCCTTCATGGATCAGGGTTTCTTAATCTCACTAATATTATGTTTCATTCTTTGAAAATATATTAAATGTATTACAATAAGAGCCGATTCCAAGACATGTTGTGAATGAACTTTTTCCTGATAATGTGGCTCATCTCTTTTTTTGGAAACAGAATTTTAACGAAACTGTTGCTGTAAGCTACATATCAGATCATGATTTATTTTTTAACATGTTTCTGTTATATCATTATCGTCATCGAATCAAGACAATTTATATGGAAAAGTTCAGCATATATTCCCATAGGACTGGTTTAATGTGTCAATACAGTTTGTTTGTATGACCAAGTGTCGGCTACAGTCCTTTCCTTTGCTTTAAATATCTGGTTTGTGCAGTATTATTTTCTTTGGTTGGTACTTCAGAATACATTTCTGTCATGACAGTATTTACAGAATTTCATTCTTCATACCATGAGTATAGAGAAAATAAATTTGCTGTAAAAAAAAGTCCCTTTAGACATTACTAGGTTTTGATGCAGACTACTGTACACTCTACTGAAATATGCTATAATATGTAGTGAATGTATTCCTACATACAGGTGGTCACATCCTGTAGTGGTTTACAAGGAACCAAGCTCGATGACGATGAAAATTTTATGAGATTTTGTTGCGATTTAATTTTGTTGACCTTTTTTTCTGAATTGCAAGGAATTTTGATCCTGTGTAAAAGAGGTACATTGTACTATGCAAGAGAGGAATAAACGAGTTTCTAAGAATCAGGGTTTTGAGTTCTTTATTTTTATCAACACAGTTACATGACTTTCACATATTGGTAAAACATAACCTTTTTAAACTGATTGTCAGTATAAGTTTTCAAACCAGTTGTTAATATGAGTTCATTAGAAATCTGAATCAGGAGGTATAATTTATATCAAAGGCCATCTTTTAATTTTTGGAATTCAAAAAATGGCCATGATTGTCTGACACAATAATGGTCGTCTTTTAACTAAATTTGACTGGAAGCATCCCTAGGTGGTGGGGATTCAAAATTGTACAAATGGTGGTGGCTGACCCCACAGGGAGCTGAGGAGCGGGGCAAAAAGGGGGAAAATTGGCAAGTCCCTGTTAAGAACTTCTTTCTGGACAACTTCCAATCTGATAAATATTATTTGTAACACTTTTATGAAATATTGCACACATTGCAATATATTTTTTTAATGAGAGAACAGGTATTAGTTTTAGTTCTATTTACAGTAAGTGACCTTAACCTAAATTAAAAAAAACATTTAAACGCACACATATTTTTAAAAGCTTTCTAAGTATGTAACCTCTGAAGTTTCATGGAAATCCGATCACAACTTAAGATACTAGAGATGACCTTACACTGGATTTTATGGATGAACAGACGGACAATGGTGGGTAGTTAACGATACACACATGTCTTTCATATCCGGGGACACAAATAGCTAGTGTCCAAAGAAACAAGGCACAATTTGATATAATGTAATTTTATTTGTTTATATAAATTCACATACAGCAAATGTAAAATTTCTCATACAACCACACAACTCCTGTTATTTCAACATCAGTCACAAAATAACTTGCACATCACATCCTCCGTTACACAGTATGATAATACAATCGCATCAATTTATGATATGTAACATGCAATACATCATTATATGGTTATGACATCACAATGGGTAATAATACAAAATTACTCCTTGTGATGTCTGATAATGACGTAATCTAACGAGGACAAAAACTGTGTTTACCTTTGTTTTTTTCCATACATGCTTTGGTTGAGCAAAAACATAATCTCAAACTTGTTCCCACTCCAAGTGATTTTTATAAAATTTGAATAATTCTGTATAATATGAACAGATGTGAGATCTTCTGTATATAAGTAATGCTGTTCAGTGTACTACCCTACCAGTCACTTAAAATATGACAAAGTACAAGAACATTCACCAGAACTGTTCTGACACTTTAATATATGAAAAGTGGGAAACCCTGTATATAAATCTAATTATACAACAATATTTTTATAGTTCACTGGGACTCTTCACAATTGAAGTAATATAATAATACTATACATGTCCATAAATCAGTGGATTAGACTGTTTCTTTCTTCAAAAAACACTCAAATAAAATACTACATGTAGTTTGTTACCAGTAATTATAATCTAGATACATTTATAAATTTCAGAACTAGTAATAGCTATATCACCTTTGATGGCATTTGAATGTACATGTATCAAGTGTTTCTCCCCAAAACATGGTAGTACATATCTATGAAATAGGTTTTATCAAATTTTTACTTTATACACAAACAGTGTACCCAGGTATGCATTAAAGAATGATTTTACACCTCTTCAGTGATAGGATCGATATCGTTTCGGTCAGTACGCTGAATTCTAGACGCACCAATGACCGTTTTCTGTGGCATAACCATCGCGGACGCCGGATCGGTCCGTCCGCGCTTATCGTTGCCTCCCAACGCAGAGGTGATTAAATGAGTCGCAATGTTTCAAGGCTGTCTGGTTCCTTTGTCAAGCTATGACTCAAGTTTTACTTTATACACAACTACTGTAGATATTAAATGTGACACTTAAATACATTGTTAGCTTATAAAGTAAATCTTTGATAATGACAGTACATATTAAACAGATTAGTTTTATTATATGAGATAGGTTTTATAGTGATGGCTAAGCCCGAAAGCTTGGAAAAGAGTGACTTACAAGTTCATTAAGATTAGTTTTAGCTGACATCACATTGGAAGACAGGTTACACATTAGTCTGACGTTCCTCTGACCCCCACCCCAGACTTCTGATTAATATACAGTTATTGATCGGTATGTCATATAAACAGAAAACATGTTAGAGGTTCCTCTGACCCCCAACCCAGACTTCTGACTAATATACAGTTATTGATCGGTATGTCATATAAAACAGAAAACATGTTAGATGCACCCATTAAAACAAAATCATTATTTCTCATACGGCACTACAACCAACAATAAATATGACACTAATTTCTCAGTACTATATAGTAAAAAGTTGTTAAATTTTGCTAGGTTAAAATTTCGCGATTTAGTATTCGTGGGGTTTAATTTCGTGAATCACAATTTCTGTAAGTCTCTTTTGGAACACCTCTCAAAGATTTCCGAGTACTTGTTACTACCAGTAACAAACAACCTAACAATCTCAAAATATTCATGAGAGTTTTAATTTTGCAAATTTTAATGCATTCAGGAAATTTGCGAAATTAAAACCCTCGTGAATATTAGCAGCTATACAGTATGCTGTTCGTTGTTGTGTCCAGATAAAAAACAAATTACTACATTAAAAATAACAATCTGGACCAGATTTTCCCAGCACAGGCTGAGTACATGATGAAGTTAGTTAATCCTGATTGTCATAATATCATACATATAATATACCTGTTTAGTAAGTGGCAGTGTTAATACACAATGTGCTGGAATAAATATTTTGCATTCCTATGAAATAATTCTTGGTTATATTCATACAACATTTGGTCGACAAACCCCTAAATAAGTTTGAAATGTCTCAATATATACTGTTTTCTCAAAACAGTAAAAACATCTTGTACATAAAATTTTAACTCACATGATCATAAACAATATATTCATATAACAACTTTGTCATCAATATGTCCAGGAGTGGAAGCATCTTTTTGTGCCCTCCACCACATACAATATCTTTTTCCTAGAGAGCACAAATGTATGATTTTAGACCCCAGCAACCATACCATAACATTTCCAAAAGGTCTTAATACCCTTTTTGTATTGAAACTCCTGGTTTAAAGGATCCTTTTTTATCATCAATAAAAATTCTTCATGAACGCTTTTTTTAGGAAATCATGCCTTTGTTCCAGGCAGGTTTTATATTTTATTGAGTCTGACTCCACATTTTTAGTGTCTCTATTTTTGTTTACCCCAGGCAAGACCAACAAAAAGTACTGTTGCCACCAGGGTCTATCCAGGTATGACTCTTCATAAGCTTGTTCCCTGCCAGAGTGTAACCCCAGTATGACAAGGCCTTACAGAAGGTCGGTTCCAATCAGAGTCTATCCCCTCTTCTCCTGGGCCTTAATAATGACGCCTGTCCATATCGGAGTCTACCCTAGGTATGGCCCTATATAGTCATGGTCTTGCTCTGGCCCTATGTAAACTCTGGCTGTTCAGAAGGGGGCTTCTACTGGCCCCATCTCCACATACACTGACTTGATCTGTGTGTAGTAGTCCAGTGTGTCTGCTCCATTTTCACGTCCAATACCCGACTTCTTGTAGCCGCCAAACGGTACGCCCACTGGGTACACATTGTAGGTATTGATGTAGAGAGAGCCGGCCTCCAGACTGCTTGCTACCCTGTGAGCTCGCTGTAAATTACTGGAATAAAAAATACAGACATTACTCATCATGATTGAAAAAAAAACTTTCAAGCAAACTAATGATTTTAGGTTACTGTATCATACAATTTCATACTTTCAATTTTCTAACATTTCAGTTGGAAAAAAGTTCAGAAAGATATTGGCTGGTTGTAATTGCAAAGGCCCAATAACCACAGATAATAATTTGTGAACCTCTTTGAGACAGGCTAAGAGCTTGGCTGTGATAAAGTGACATATATGAACCTTGAATTATCCTTTTTTTTTTTTTTTAATATTACAGACTGATTATCTCCCTTTGGATATTGATGAATAGTGTTGATTATCAACAGTCAATGATTTAATAGACTAGCGAACATTAAATGTCATAGTAATCTGTTTGTGTAAATCTATAAAACCCACAGTGCTGATCTTATGAAGCCCTTTCCAAGAGTAGAAGTCTATACCTGTAGGCATGACAACAGTGTACACTTCCTAAATCAGTGATACCTAAAGATTGTATCAGAAGATCCCCATTATAAACAAACCTTTGTTAGGTCTTGTATCCAATACAAGTGATCATCAATTTTCTATGGTACACACTGTAGACATTTTTCAAAGCCTAACCATCTTTACAAAGAGCCAAGGGAGTTAACTGGGTTGTATCTCATTATATCATACTTTGTAAAGATTCCTCCTGCCAGTCCAAATTCTGTGTCATTGGCACGAGCGATGACCTCATCATCAGTGGAGAAGCTCAGGACGGACATGACGCTGCCAAACACCTCCTCCTTGACCACTCGCATGTTGTCTTGGCAACCAGTCAGTATACAGGGCCGGATGTAGTGGCCACCAGCCAGACTGGGGCTTGGTGTTACACGTTCACCACCATACAGGACGTTAGCGCCCTAAAAAATACACTGAATACATGTACAACTAACTCCTTACAACACACTCACGGTAGTACTGCTATTCAAACAAGAGTGGGATGATGTGTGACATGTTTAACCTCTTATAAGACGTTCACTTCCTACACTTACACTACTACCCCCTTTTTACATATGTGCACGCCCTGACACCTCTCCAACGTCCTAGGTTCCAACTCCCTGTCACGAATTTGTATAACACAAAAAAGAAAGAGACCTTCTACAGAAGATCGCACCAGCTTCCCTGTCTGCCACTCTACCAATTGAGCCAAAAGGAAATTCCCCCAACATGAAGCTGGAAGGCAACTGTAATCTTATATACATGTAAAACCTGCCACATATATATTGTACAGTTTTGTGCGAGTACCTCTGTTCGGGCGATGTCTATGTACTTTAGAGTCTTCTGTGCCTGTTCGGGGCTGATAGTAGCACCCACAGTAGTGTCCTCATCATTTGGGTCACCAATTTTCATCCCCTTGGTTCTCTCCACCAATTTCTCCAGGAAAGGTTTCATCACACTGTCTTGTACAAACACTCTTGTCCCATTGGAGCAGACCTGCAATAAAAATATCCTCAACAGACTATAGATCTATTTAACGGAACAACAGTGAAATTAATATTTTATAACAACCAAACTGAAGTTTTCATTGAATCCCACCATGGCACAATGTCTAGACATGATGCATCTGTCTGAATTTTCATTGAAAAATATTTATTCATTCTTATATCATTACCTGAACAAGCATAAGAATGACTTGACCTTTCACCCCTTATTGTAATTTGGACCTCAGGTTAAGGACCTGTGAGTGGTTTTGGTCTAACACAGACTGTTTGGTCGGATTGGTACAGAAACTGATACAGATACAGATACAGTCCATTCAGTTTCCACGGACAGTGACCAGTTTTTTCTGTCCTTGTTTAAAGTCAATTGGTCACTCCTTGATAGAAAAGCTTGACTGGTCAGTCTTACCTCTCATTTGTTAGGGAGTTGATTGGTCACTCCTTAGGTTGAGGAAGATGACTGGTCACTGACGAGTCTTACCTCTTATTTGTTTGGGAGTTGATTGGTCACTCCTTATGTTGAGGAAGGTGACTGGTCACTGACGAGTCTTACCTGGCCTTGGTTGAGGAAGATGACTGGTCACTGATGAGTCTTACCTGGCCTTGGTTGAGGAAGATGACTGGTCACTGACGAGTCTTACCTGACCTTGGTTGAGGAAGATGACTGGTCACTGACAAGTCTTACCTGGCCTTTGGTTGAGGAAGGTGACTTGTCACTGATGAGTCTTACCTGGCCTTTGGTTGAGGAAGATGACTGGTCATTGACAAGTCTTACCTGGCCTTGGTTGAGGAAATTAGCCAGCATGGCGCCGGTCACCGCATCGTCCAGATTACTGTCCTCAAAGATAATACAAGGAGATTTTCCTCCCAGCTCCAAGGTCACGTGATGGATTTGCTGAAAAGTTTGCAGATTATTGATTTCAATACAAATTTAAATTTGTACAGTTTTTTTTATACATTAATGGTGACTGTGTATCCCCAAATGTAACCCTCCACAATACTTCATATTAAAATGTTTTTAATGAGCTAAAGAGTATTTCTCTCTAGCTCATTCGGTAGATCGTAAGACTAGTAAACCAGAGGTCTAAGGTTCGACTCCTGGCGGAGGCATTGAAAAAAATATGACCTCTGTTACATATATATGTACACATCACTGCTCATAAAACTACTGAGATAACCAAAAAATGCAGTAGACAGCAATGATTTATAATTTACACATGCTTGTCTATTTTCAGCATCCAGAAAAAAAGGGAAATAAGTAATGAACTAGTTTTTACATCAAAACAACAATGCAAAGTTTTCAAATATGACAGTCAAATCAATCTCATAATAGAATGAAGAACGATGTCTTCTGTGTGAAACTATTATCTGTATCAACTCAGTCTGTCGTTAACTAGTTTTACCTTAGCACATGCCTCCATGATTTTGCTGCCGGTTTGAACGCTGCCTGTAAATGATATCTTGGACACACCTGTGTGGTTGCTTAAAAACTGTCCCGTTTCTCCTTCACCCTACAATTATACTTGTCATGAATTCAAAATGTGTTGCAATGAAATAATGATGTTTGATTAAAACTCTTTCTATGTTTATGTTAGCATTTTGTACTATTTGGTTGATGATCTTAAAATGATGCATTTTCAAATGAGCATGTACAATAGGACAAAAAACATGTAATTAACATTCATGCGAGGATTTCAGTCAGGTATTTTACTTGGCCAGATAATTTACCTGGATGACATTACAGCAGCCATGTGGGAGTCCAGCCTCCGTGTAGATCTCTGCCAGCATGACAGCAGTGAGGGGTGTAAACTGTGATGGTTTGAACACTATGGTGTTGCCTGCAGCAAGGGCCGGGCTCGTCTTCCATGCAGCCATCTGAAATGGGTAGTTCCAGGCGCCAATCCCCCCGATCACACCCAGGGGCTCCTTGATTGTGTAAGCAAAGCTTCCATTGGCTAACTGCTGGTACTCTCCTGAAATGAAGATAGACTAGTCAGCTACTGTAGGAATAATGTTTTATTTTACTGAATTGATGTTTAGATAAAATGTGTGATTATTCTGACAGAAATGATAGAACAAAATAATCTCTTTGGGGCAACTGAGCAGTGAAAGATACAGTGCCTTACAGGATGTTATTCCTACCTGCTATTTTGGCAGCCAGTCCTCCATAATAATCGATGGTATCAGCACAGGCTTGAATGTCATATCTAGCCTCCCAAATTGGTTTCCCTGTGTCCAGGACCTCCGTCCTCGCCAGCTCCTCAGACCGCTCCTAAACAACATTTACAGACCAAGCAAAGTGACTAATGGTATTAAACAAGCTACATCATTCAGAACACGGTTTATTAAAAAACAGCTATGAAAATTTAGTGTTCCTTATTTCACTTTAAATACTTACTTACTTATAGACACGTGATCATAACACCAAGTGCTGCACTCCAATCTATACAAATATCTAAAGAATATAGATTAGACTTCGTTTACAACTAATCCTGAGAGTCCAACTGACAAATTTCAAAATGATCTAATGTTCTTCACCACAGCTATAAAACAAGCACTGGAATATACAATACACACCCTCCTCATTTCATAAATAGAAACACCTACCCTGATTATGTTAGCAGCTTTCTTCAGTACTGTTCCCCGCTCAAAGCCAGCCATCTTTGACCAGGTTTTAAAGGCTTGCTGAGCTACAGACACAGCCTCATCAACATCCTGACTTCCAGCATTACCCACGGGTCTGAGAACCTCACCTATAACAGACAAGCAAGCACTACAGCAACACCTATTGCTCATTGCTCAGTTTTAGAGGTAGACCACTTGTTGTGACAGGGGAGTGAAAATAAAGGAGTCACGTGAGCTAGTGAGTTACAGGTACCTGTGTGTGGAGATATGTGATTGGAGACATTTGGTTAAGGTATATCTAAAATTGAAGATAGAAATAAAATCGTGGTGACACACACAGGTTGAGTGCATGTACTCCATACTGCTCCATTAAGTTTTCATATTTTCATTGAAAAAACATGTATTTTCTTATTAAAAAGTGATTTAGGAACATGTGATACTGTCACATTACTCAACAGACCTGGAATATAGACAATATGCCAAAGAAAATGAGAGTAAAATATTAAATTTGACTCTCATAAGGTACAAACATGCGAGCATGTATAACCCACACATGTGCCACTTAACACCTGAACATATTGTATGTACACCTCATACAGGATAGATGGCAGACACATTGAAACCAGAAATTATCTCGTCAACATCAAGTTCGGATAGAAGCATTGAAATTTAAAAAAAAAGTAGTGTAACACCTTGTGGTCAATATAGACATAAAGATGGATGCCCAGATCAGAAAATTCAGCATAGATCTATTATAATCTATGCTGCCGGACATTGAGGATAAAATGAGGGAAAATATGGACAAGCTTTTCAGTAAAATGGTAGCAAAAAGTGATTTGGAAAACGTCAGAACAGACATTGTAGAAAAATAAACGGGGCAAATTGGAAATATTGGAAGGAAGGTTGTTCACCCTAGAAAAGACGAACGATGAGCTTCAGAGGAGAATAATGTAAATATGTACGATGACGTTGCCAGGCAAAGTGTGGGACAAATGACTGGGGAAATTGTTAAAATGATGAAGGATTAAATGGAAATGAACATTAAAGATTCTGATAGACATTGCCCATAGGATAGGTATCTACTAGAATCACAAGAAACAACTATTCCAGGTTGAAGTCATAAGCCACAGGATGAAAGAGAAGTGTATGGTAAACAAGAAAGTACTTAAGGAGAAGTGCATTCCTATCTATGTCAAAGATAACTTAACAAGGGAAATCCGTTTCTTTTTGTCATTCTGCGGTATGGTAATGACCATAAGTGAAATCTAGCATATAACACAGATACCACATGATAAACATGTGTGCCTGTGTGTTATGATGTTTATTAAAACTGTTTTTTGGGTATTGATTGACTAGTTGGACTGCATAGCTATATATATATACCATATCCATATTGTCAAATATTGCTAGCATACCTGGCCTGACTCTATGAATAGATAAAATACCATATCCAGTAGATAATAAATAAATTAGTCCTTGCGAAGGAAAATATAGAATAAAAACATAAATCTTTCAGATCGTCCGCTAGGCCTTTCTGCCTTCTAGGGCTTCTTCAGGCGGATCCATATTGTCAAATATTGCTAGCATAGCTGGCCTGACTCTATGAATAGATAAAATGAGGTAATATGCATAAATTAATATCTTAATGCATGCCACATGTTACAATGTACTTTATGGCAAAAAGGAATTTACATATTTGGCATGTACATGCTGTCATGAAAAATATGACTATACTAGACTAAAAAGTATGAAGGATTACCTGTGTAATACTATAAGCATCTTTGGGTAAATTATTTGCTGTCATTAAGTACTATAACCTTTATTATAATTGAATTGCCGATTTTCTCTCCTAATTCTCACGGTGAATAATTGTCAAATAACATGGCCGTTATATGGAAGTTGGTCATGATAAAATTGGTCAAATAATATAAACTTTACTTATTTTACAACAATTATGAAATAAGTTTTCTAACTTATATCAATCACCCTTGTTGGCCCGGATGTTAGGACACAGGGTGTCTTAGTGTAGGAGAAAACCAGAGTACATTGAGAAAATTCATGTAGAGCACTCAGGAGGTGACTCAATACCTTTTCACATCTGACTTGGGAATCATACTCCAGCTGTCTATATGAAAGGCGAGCATGTTATCCATTGCACCACTCACCCACCCAACCAAGGTGCTATTAATTGGTCAATTAAGAGCACATTTGTGGAAAATGGTTAAAAGTTTAAATTATACATAAGGAAGAGAGATGCTGACTACGTAAATAGTTAAAGATATCATAATTATCATAACTAATCATAAAAGCTAGAAAGATTAAAAAAACAAAAACTTGAACATGCAAAAAAAAAAAAGGATTGATGATATCTAGTGGGCTAGAGTGTGACCAATGACTACAGATTTGTAATTAAATGTGTCATTTGAGCTAATGGGTTTTATTGTCTTTTAATTAAAATGAGATAGAAGATGTGTAGTGAGCTGTTGAGTTATATGTTACTTGAGATGTGAGATTTCAGTTGCCTAATAATCTAGAGGGATATCAATGGCTGGAGTTGTCAAGTGAGCTAGAGAGTTACCTGTGGCTGGAGCTGTGAAATTGAAGGTGTTTGGTGAGCTAGTGAGTTACCTGTGGCTGGAGCTGTGAGATTGAAGGTGTTTGGTGAGCTAGAGAGTTACCTGTGACTGGAGCTGTGAAATTGAAGGTGTTTGGTGAGCTAGTGAGTTACCTGTGGCTGGAGCTGTGAGATTGAAGGTGTCTATTGAGCTAATGAATTGTATGTGGCTGGAGCTGTAAGATTGAAGGTGTTTGGTGAGCTAGAGAGTTACCTGTGGCTGGAGCTGTGAGATTGAAGGTATCTATTGAGCTAGTGAGTTACCTGTGGCTGGAGCTGTGAGATTGAAGGTGTCTAGTGTGCTAGTGAGTTACCTGTGGCTGGAGCTGTGAGATTGAAGGTGTTTGGTTAGCTAGTGAATTATCTGTGGCTGGAGCTGTACGATTGAAGGTGTTTGGTGAGCTAGAGAGTTATCTGTGGCTGGAGCTGTGAGATTGAAGGTGTTTGGTTAGCTAGTGAGTTACCTGTGGCTGGAGCTGTGAGATTGAAGGTGTTTGGTGAGCTAGTGAATTATCTGTGGCTGGAGCTGTGCGATTGAAGGTGTTTGGTTAGCTAGTGAATTATCTGTGGCTGGAGCCGTACGATTGAAGGTGTTTGGTGAGCTAGAGAGTTACCTGTGGCTGGAGCTGTGAAATTGAAGGTGTTTGGTGAGCTAGAGAGTTATCTGTGGCTGGGGCTGTGAGATTGAGATAGTTACCTGTGGCTGGAGATGTGAGATTGAAGGTGTTTGGTGGGCTAGTGAATTACCTGTGGCTGGAGCTTTGAGATTGAGATAGTTACCTGTGGCTGGAGATGTGAGATTGAAGGTGTTTGGTGAGTTTTTTGGCTCTGCCCTTTGACCTCCTATGTAGTTGAGAGGCTGTGTGACCTGTGAGTTTGAGCCGGTCACTATAGACATGTAACGCTGTGAGACACATTGTAGAGACCTCCTTATCATCAGCATCTTTCCAGATGTTCACTGTCACACTAGAATTTAAACAAACACATATTTTACAGAAAAATATTTTGAAAAATGTATTGGACAATACAGAAGACTAAACAGATTTAGGTTGGCGCTCTAACGACTATAAATAAGTAATCTTTACTGCCTTGCTTGGCAACACCTCACTTTTGGCTTTAATGTTGAGCGTTTGCCAAGGTGAGGAAGGTAATGGGTTCTGTACCCAGGCGGGGACATACCAAAGTCCTTAAAAATGGTAGTTGTTATTCCCTGCTTAAAGTTCAGCCTCTGATCAGATCAGCGCTATCATAAGGAGGCAAGCCCTCCAACATACCCTGTCTCCTGCATACACACAGGCAAGCACGCATACACTACACACATGTAGGCACATCCTTAAATGTCCTAAGCTGTTAATAAGATGTTAAAACTAAATTAAACCAAACCAAACCATTTCTACTGTGTGCAATCAAGCGTGAGATTCAGACCTCTCGCTCTCCCAAGAATTTTGGTTTGATCTCCTGCGGTGGCAGAAAAAGAGAGTGATGTCTGATTCATAATTGGTTAGTTGTTATCCCTCTGATGGCAGGGGGTTTCCCCCGTAGGTTTTCCTCAATCACGAAAACAACATTTGTTCCCTTAGCGGCGTCATAATAAAAGCTCTACAGAGCTTATGTTTGTTGTTGACAATGTACACAACATTAAATAATCCAAATATTGCAATTTTGGTTGGTTTTGTGTCCCCAAATAGAGTACACCAAAGCAAATTCCCAATCCTGCAGGAGTTCCCCTCATTAGTCGCCTCCTACAATAACAGCAGGTGTATTCAATGCCCGATCACCCACCTGCAGGGGTGCAATAGAAATGACTGAGCGCGCTAACGATCACGGCTTCAGACGCACTTGCTTGTAATCGACCCAGTTTACATCCGCTACACCTTTGTCAAATTTTCCTTATGGGTTTTCTTTAACTTTTGGGGATTTTTTTTCATTTCTGTCAAAAGCCGGAACAATCACATAGTAGAATTCACACATATTGAAGGACGAAATTGTGACTTGTGTAAGTCTATTGGAAACTGTCAGTAGCCATGACCTCTTATTTTACACCCGCCTTACACAATCTACTGTACAATCCAAACATGACCAAATTAGTTTGTCCTATAAATATACGTACCGAGCTGAGAACACAATGAACACACTCAATCCTTGTATGGTGACGCTTTTAATTAACTGTCAAGGGACCAATTATTACTTTCCAGGTCGGTGTCAGCAACTGTATCGTTATATCGCAGTGTCGGCGTTTTGACCCTGTAATCTGACCCGGAAGTTGATTTTCACCCTTTCCACACGTGTGGTGGAGAAATACCTGTCCGACGTTATGCCTATTTATTATAAGTTTGTCGTGTAAAAACAACGTAACGAATACAGTAAGTAACATTATAGTTTATTTTTGTGGTTTTATAAGCAAGATATTGCTTCAAAGATATTGTAGTTCTAGATATAGTTCATGAGATTCCACCAATGTGTCACATTCACTTCCGGTTTCTTGTTTCAGTTTGTCGAACTTCAACTTATCTACAGGTGAGCGATTGGTTTATTGTTTGTTCCTAACATATAGGCCCATTCATATCATGATGGAAACGAACCGATTTTTACACTGTATTACAAAAGCATGTGCTGTTCACAACATAATCGCGTCTAGCTGTTCCACAAACGCGCCATTATCTTGTTTTCCTTTCCCCTTGATATTGTTTGTATGTTACAAGTTTGTAAGCTAATTTAATAAAGCATCGTTGAAATTAATCAAGGTTCGCCTAACAGCTGGCTAATTTAAGGTAACAGTGAATAAGGTAACTGTTTTCATGATGTCAACAAGACTGATATATGTGTGGCAGGTTTTAATTGTACATTATAAGGTTTAAGGTCGTCTTCTAGTTTCGAGCTAGAGGGAATTTCCCTTTAGCTCAGTGGTAGAGCGTCCGCCTAGGAACCTGGAGATCGAGGTTCGATCCCCGGTGGAAGCACACTTTTTTCTTTCCTGTTATAAATATTGTCTGTGTCCCCCACCCCCACCGCTGTGGTGTCAGGGAGTTAGAACCTTGATTGTGGTGTTGAAGGGCGAACACTTTTAAAAGGGGGGAGTAATGTGGCAGGTTTTAATTGTACATAGGTTTAAGGTCGCCGTCTAGCTTCAAACTTAAGAGATTTTCCCTTTAGCTCAGTGGTAGAGCGTCCGACTAGGAACCTGGAGATCGAGGGTTCGATCCTCTGTGGAAGCACACTATTCTCTTTCCTGTTACATATGATAGAATGTTGGAGTTCACACCAAAGTGCTCGAATTTGTAGAGGAATGGGGAACCTATGAAGTCTATGATTCCTGTGTCATCTTGTAGTCTCCTGCTGTACATGCTGGTGATGTCCTGAGTGGCGAGTACTCGTTGAGTTTAACAGAAGTGTTTAGATATGAAGCCATGCTTGAGATGTTTTGAAGATGTTGTATTTCTTTAGGTGGTTCCAGAGACAAAGACACATAATGTGCTAAAGGAGTTCACAGGCTAAGTGGAATAAGTAACATTTAGTATCAAAATCAAAATCAAGATTCTTGAAATTATTTTAGGAAGAAATAAAATTGATGTTTTTGTGTTGTATGAAGATTATAGTCTCCCCTGAGATCTGATGACTGATATGACCTGTTGTATATATTGTAGAGAAAGGTTCTCCCTGATGTAAATAAGGAGTGAAGGGTGCACCATGTGGCCGTGGGAATGGAAAGATACGTTGAAACGGCGCAAGGATGGATACGGTCCTGTAAACACTGACGATGATGAATCTAAATCTAAACGGCACAAACAACTAACAAAACCCTTATTAGATAATAACTACAAAAAAGGATTCATTGCGATTTTAGTCATAGCAGCTATAATTCTATTTTTTGGCTGGCCTCGGGGAGGCTTCAAAGGAGAGGTCCCTGATGTGTCTCACATTAAACATCGCTACAAAAGCCACGGTAGTCTCACCTTCAAAAGCGGAGAGTTTTATCTTGATAAATATCCAATCAAAATTATCAGTGGTACCATGCACTACTTCCGAGTTGTCCCGAGCTATTGGGAGGAACGTATGTTAAAAATGAAAGAGTGTGGATTAAACACGCTGCAAACGTAAGTGATTAGTTATTTGTTGTATATATAAACTATATATAAATACCAAAAAAACATAGAAATCACCTGATACAATGTTATTTCTTAACAAGATATATGCTTTTGAGACGAACCATCATTTTCTCTTTTTTTTCTTTTTCTTATTAGGGTGCTAATTTTGAATCTTTCAATAAAAATATTGACACACAAATAAATATAATTGGATGTACAAAATTAATTATTATTTAAGTAATTTGATTGTAACAGTATCATATTAAAGACATTACACAATATGTTTTCTTCCAGATCAATTCCATGGAATCTACATGAGAAGGAACAAGGGATATATGACTTTGGTCAGAATCTAAACTTGGGGTAAGTTTTATATAGCTCATTAATCTAGCTCCACTAAACCAGACACAATCTGGAGTCAATCTTTTCAGATCAGCAATAATACGTATCAAATAGTCAAGAAATTCTGCATTGTTCTGGATCAGATAAGTTTTTATCAGAACAGATACTTGTCCCATCCTTATAATAAGAACCTGCAATCAGAAAATTTTGTGTAGATACCAAAATTAACGCCTAAAGCAAAGTTGTTTTTAACACACGACACAATGGCCTCATTGTCTCAATGACAATTCTCAAGTGTGCAATCAAACACTGTATTCTGTATAGGTCATTTTTAAAGTTGATTTTTTTTTTTTTTTTTTTCTTTCTTATTCCTGATGTAAAGAGCTGTGATTTATCTAGGAATTTGTTTATCTGTTAATTTTCTCCAGAAACCTGAATGTGAATTAACACAGTTCAATTGTGTGTAACGGTAAAATAATACCAATAACGTTCTTTCGCTTAGAAATAAATTATCTATGAGTACCAGATTTGACTTATTACTACAGTACCAGGTAATAATTAACATATAGATAAATATATGATATATAATAGGTAATATTGACCATGTTGTGTTACAGAGAGTTCCTGGAAACGGCCAAAAGGGTGGGGCTTCACGTCATTGTCAGTATTGGGCCCTACATTGGCAGTGACCTTGAACTTGGAGGTCTTCCAAGGTAAAAAAAATTCATGCAAATGTAACTCTTATATGGAAGTGTCAACAAAGTATGAGTAATATGTCTGCTTTTATTAACTATCTCAGGTATCTCTGAATTGTACTGGCATGGTGAATTGTTATTTTTGTATTATAGTTGTTTAATTTGCTGACCCTGACATGGTGAATATCTTTGTATTGTAGTTGGTTGTTACGCGACCCTGACAAGGTGAATGTTTTTGTATTGTAGTTGGTTGTTACGCGACCCTGACAAGGTGAATATCTTTGTGTTGTCGTTGGTTGTTACGTGACCCTGACATGGTGAATATCTTTGAATTGTAGTTGGTTGTTACGTGACCCTGACATAGTGAATATCTTTGTGTTGTAGTTGGTTGATACGCGACCCTGACATGGTGAATATCTTTGTGTTGTAGTTGGTTGATACGCGACCCTGACAAGGTGAATATCTTTGTGTTGTCGTTGGTTGTTACGTGACCCTGACATGGTGAATATGTTTGTGTTGTAGTTGGTTGTTACGCGACCCTGACATGGTGAATGTCTTAGTATTGTAGTTGGTTGTTACGCGACCCTGACATGGGGAATATCTTTGTGTTGTAGTTGGTTGTTACGCGACCCTGCCAAGGTGAATATCTTTGTATTGTAGTTGGTTTTTACGTGACCCTGACATGGTGAATATCTTTGTATTGCAGTTGGTTGTTACGCGACCCTGACAAGGTGAATGTTTTTGTATTGTAGTTGGTTGTTACGCGACCCTGACAAGGTGAATATCTTTGGATTGTAGTTGGTTGTTACGCGATCCTGACATGGTGAATATCTTTGTATTGTAGTTGGATGTTACGCGACCCTGACATGGTGAATATCTTTTGTGTTGTAGTTGGTTGTTACGCGACCCTGACATGGTGAATATCTTTTGTGTTGTAGTTGGTTGTTACGCGACCCTGACAAGTTGAATATCTTTGTATTGTAGTTGGTTGTTACACAACCCTGACATGGTGAATGTCTTTGTATTGTAGTTGGTTGTTACGTGACCCTGACATGGTAAATATCTTTGAATTGTAGTTGGTTGTTACGCGACCCTGACATGGTGAATGTCTTAGTATTGTAGTTGGTTGTTACGCGACCCTGACAAGGAGAATATCTTTGTATTGTAGTTGGTTGTTACGTGACTTGTTATTTTTGTATTATAGTTGTTTAATTTGCTGACCCTGACATGGTGAATATCTTTGTATTGTAGTTGGATGTTACGCGACCCTGACATGGTGAATATCTTTTGTGTTGTAGTTGGTTGTTACGCGACCCTGACATGGTGAATGTCTTAGTATTGTAGTTGGTTGTTACGCGACCCTGACAATATGTCTGCTTTTATTAACGATCTCAGGTATCTCTGAATTGTACTGGCATGGTGAATTGTTATTTTTGTATTATAGTTGTTTAATTTGCTGACCCTGACATGGTGAATATCTTTGTATTGCAGTTGGTTGTTACGCGACCCTGACAAGGTGAATGTTTTTGTATTGTAGTTGGTTGTTACGCGACCCTGACAAGGGGAATATCTTTGTATTGTGGTTGGTTGTTACGTGACCCTGACATGGTGAATATCTTTGAATTGTAGTTGGTTGTTACGTGACCCTGACATGGTAAATATCTTTGAATTGTAGTTGGTTGTTACGCGACCCTGACATGGGGAATATCTTTGTGTTGTAGTTGGTTGTTACGCGACACTGACAAGGTGAATATCTTTGTATTGTAGTTGGTTGTCTGCTTTTATTAACTATCTCAGGTATCTCTGAATTGTACTGGCATGGTGAATTGTTATTTTTGTATTATAGTTGTCTAATTTGCTGACCCTGACATGGTGAATATCTTTGTATTGCAGTTGGTTGTTACGCGACCCTGACAAGGTGAATATCTTTGTGTTGTCGTTGGTTGTTACGTGACCCTGACATGGTGAATATGGTTGTGTTGTAGTTGGTTGTTACGCGACCGTGACATGGTGAATATCTTTGTATTGTAGTTGGTTGTTACGTGACCTGTAGTTGGTTGATACGCGACCCTGACAAGGTGAATATCTTTGTGTTGTCGTTGGTTGTTACGTGACCCTGACATGGTGAATATCTTTGTATTGCAGTTGGTTGTTACGCGACCCTGACAAGGTGAATGTTTTTGTATTGTAGTTGGTTGTTACGCGACCCTGACAAGGTGAATATCTTTGGATTGTAGTTGGTTGTTACGCGACCCTGACATGGGGAATATCTTTGTGTTGTAGTTGGTTGTTACGCGACCCTGACAAGGTGAATATCTTTGGATTGTAGTTGGTTGTTACGCGACCCTGACATAGTGAATATCTTTGTATTGTAGTTGGTTGATACGTGACCCTGACATGGTGAATATCTTTGTATTGCAGTTGGTTGTTACGCGACCCTGACAAGGTGAATGTCTTTGTATTGTAGTTGGTTGTTACGCGACCCTGACAAGGGGAATATCTTTGTATTGTGGTTGGTTGTTACGTGACCCTGACATGGTGAATACCTTTGTATTGTAGTTGGTTGTTACGCGACCCTGACAAGGAGAATATCTTTGTATTGTAGTTGGTTGTTACACAACCCTGACATGGTGAATGTCTTTGTATATATCTTTGTATTGTAGTTGGTTGTTACACAACCCTGACATGGTGAATATCTTTGTATTGTAGTTGGTTGTTCCGCGACCCTGACATGGTGAATATCTTTGTGTTGTAGTTGGTTGTTACGTGACCCTGACATGGTAAATATCTTTGAATTGTAGTTGGTTGTTACGCGACCCTGACATGGTGAATGTCTTAGTATTGTAGTTGGTTGTTACGCGACCCTGACAAGGTGCATATCTTTGTATTGTAGTTGGTTGTTACGCGACCCTGACAAGGTGAATCTCTTTGTGTTGTAGTTGGTTGTTACGTGACCCTGACATGGTGAATATGTTTGTGTTGTAGTTGGTTGTTACGCGACCCTGACAAGGTGAATCTCTTTGTGTTGTAGTTGGTTGTTACGTGACCCTGACATGGTAAATATCTTTGAATTGTAGTTGGTTGTTACGCGACCCTGACATAGTGAATATCTTTGTATTGTAGTTGGTTGATACGTGACCCTGACATGGTGAATATCTTTGTATTGCAGTTGGTTGTTACGCGACCCTGACAAGGTGAATGTCTTTGTATTGTAGTTGGTTGTTACGTGACCCTGACATGGTGAATATGTTTGTGTTGTAGTTGGTTGTTACGCGACCCTGACAAGGTGAATGTCTTTGTATTGTAGTTGGTTGTTACGCGATCCTGACATGGTGAATATCTCTGTATTATAGTTGGTTGTTACACAACCCTGACATGGTGAATGTCTTTGTATTGTAGTTGGTTGTTACGC